CAGCAGTTTCGGGTGCCAGCCACCATTTGGCATGGCTCCATGGCTCCGAGAAGGCCGGGCAATTGGGAGAACCTGCCTGGGAAATCTTTTGAATATATTATGGGTATGACAGGGAATAGAGTGGTTGAAAATGAGGGAGAGGTTAGGGAAAACTAGCTAGCTATTTATTGGAAAGTTTTGGGGAAAAGGAGGAGGAATTGTTTAAAATAATAGTTTTAAACTTTGAAAGTCTCTACTCGAAAGTTCATTTAATTGATTTGAATTGCTTGTTTAAAGTTTTGATAATAAAAAAGTAGTTGTCATTTGATTTAATTTACTCTTGATACAGGATAAACTATTTTGGATAGCTTTTATATATAATAGAAGCTTAAGAATCAAGGTTTTAAAAGTGATTCAGCTTAAGAACTTATATGATTAATATTATGCTAATTTAGTTTAGAGGCTGTCTTCCCCATGAATCACTCATGCGATTTGAGAATACTTTTCAATTCTTACCTCTTACTAATTGTTTATTTTTCAAATACTTTAACTCACGATTTTATTATGAAGGTCTAATTAAGGTTTATTTATTGGTTAGGCTAGGATATTCATTAAAAATCAGTAAAATAAGAAGCATACTTATACTTAGAGATCTAACTAGAGCTTACCTTCTTATACCTGTTCTATGCTTTCAAATGTCTATGTATCTCCAACAAAATTACTAATAAACCCTATTTATTCCTCCATCTACCATCAGGAGAAATCCGCTCCTCCATCGCACCAAGGAAACCAGAACGGACGGCCAGTATGCGGGAGCGGGAAGCGCAGCTGGAACTCGTAAGAAAGCGCGGCGTCCTCACCGACACTATCTCCATTTGCTCGTCAAACGGTGAGAATGGTGCGACGGATCAGGGCAAGACACTGGCCAAGTCCTCTGCCGGACAGGAGTCCTCCAGCAAGGCGGCCTCCACGGCCAACAGTCGGACCAGCACCTTTGAGCGCCAGCCCCAGAAGAAGAGTGAACCGAAGATGTCTATTTCCAGCAAGTTGGAAATTTTTGAGCAGCGCTCCACCAACGACGCCTCGGATGCTGCCCAGAGGAGCAGCCTGAAGGATTCGGTTCGAAAAATCAACAGCACTATCGATAGCTATCTGAAGGATAAACGCGACTACGAGAATATGTACGAGTTTGTCAAGATGGGCTCACCGCAGCCGGGTTCTGGAAGCACTGCCACGCCCACGGCATCCACAGCAACACCTCCGCCACCCCCGACAAGGACTAACATCGATCTGGCGGCGGTGGCTGGTCAGCGATTGACCCAGGTGGCCCGGAGGAACAATATCTACTCGGACACCGCCTCCATTGCCAGCTACACGCGCAGCGAGTACGGGCCGGTGCGAAACTACGGACTGAACAACAGCTTAGGTACGTTGACTATTCTATGAAATAAATTGATTTTTAATTATTGCAATCATTTATATTTTAGCCAACATTCCACGGATGATTTCCGCCTCGTATGCGGGTAGCGAGGTGGGAGAATTCGACATCTATGCTCCGTACAGCTACTATGGAAGCGAGGCTGGCGGCGATGTGGCCACGGACATCAATGACAGTGTTTGGGGCATGCCACAGGTGGGTTTTAATATACAATTCATAAATATTTAATTTAATTTAATATGTTAATCTATTTTCTAGGCCAACAAAAACCGCAGCAAGGCCACGAATCGTTTGCGCATGCGCAAAGGACGCAGTGTCGTGCACAAGACCATCGAGGACAACTACACCGCCGTGGTTGTGGCCAACCACGAGGCCCTGGCCCAGGTCCTTGATCAGGTGAGTGACATTGCACCCTCAACTTCAACCTTAATCCTAACCCCCTTGTCCTTGCAGCTTCAGCAAACTCCCGCAGTTCCGGCAGCACTGCGTCCTCTGGCCAATGCCATCAATTTGCGCTACGAGGACTTCACCATCCTGGAGGGTGCCCAGGCATTTGTTGTCGGCAAGAAGGCCTTCCATGCAGCGCTGTGGAGCTCGTCGCCCGTGACCCTTGCCCTTTCGGCCGACTGCAACCAGCTGGCGGGAGTGGGCGGAGAACTGAGCCAACTAACCGGCGGCGTGAGCGATGTCCTTAACCCGGTGACGGAGTTCTGCGACCTAGTGCCCAGCTACCAGCTGCCACTGATGCCCTCGACGGAGGTCACCCTGCTGCAGGCCACCATCTCGGTGCTGCCACGTCTGCAGCTGGAGACTCTTCAATCCATCGGGGCCATTCTTAAGGGAAAATCCCAGGTGCTGGACAAGAGCAACTTTAACTTCCGGGGATCTATTCCGAATCTGAGCGGTCTGAAGGAGGGCGGAAATTCGGCACTGGGCGGCGGTAATCTGAGGAATGTGGTCTCGGTGCAGAATCTGAGCACCCTAAACGAGGAATCCTCAAGCCCCACAACGAGTTCTGGAGAGGATGGTGCGACGAGTGCGAATGCCATGCCCGCATTTGATGATGTCATGACCCGGGAGGTGGCCTTCATCATGTTGCAACTGGTGAACGGAATGAAAAATTTGCAGGCCAAGGCGATTGAGGAGACGCCGCTCAGTCTTTCCAACGTGGTGCTGTCCAAGGACATGGACAATAAGGACGCCCAGGCGCGACTCTGCGTCCTGCAGGGGTAAGTTTAAGCTTTCCTGAAAATATTTATGATGTTAATAAAATTTAATTATTCTTGCAGCAACAACAACGACGACGAGGAGCCCATGGGCACCTTGTGCAAGTGCGCCCACTCCGCCCTTACCGACATGCTGCCTCCCACTAAAATCACCCCCATCCTGGCGGACATCCTGCAGCAGGAGCGCTCCGATTCCCTGTCCAAGGCAAAGGCCGTCTTGGAGTTTGTTCTGTGGGGCCCTTCGGATGTGGCGCTCACCGGATCGCTCAAGGAACGGGAACTGGCCCTCCAGCGCTGGTTGGATCTGGAGCGGGCCACCGTGCTCCATGGCCTGGTGCGAACCCGGGTGGAGTTGACCGTGTACGACGAGTGTCATCTAATGTTCCTCGTCCGATCCACGGCCAAGATGATGAACGATGCGGCCAAAATCGTGTGCAGTTTCCAGCAGGCTAATGGCACCGCTGGCCAGGACTAGTTCCAGCTGCTCTTCTAGTTACCCCTGCTCAATGCTTAAGGAATTTTCTCTATAACTACTATACGAAACTGTCATAGACACTTAATCCATAAAGTCAACGAAAGATATATCGAACCATATACATATATAAATAATACATAAATAATTACACTTTTTATGCCTTTGCCCAGCGTGCCAAATTGTTTCGCGCGGAAATTGTCATGTAAAAATAAACTTATCAAAACGATTTGTGCAACTTTAGTAAATTAATAATCTACCATTAAGTCATTAATCTATACGAATATTTATACTTTCCTGTACGCGTACGAAATATACATACAAATATACTCAATCAGATTGCAATTATTGTATGCCAGATAACTGGTTACTAAGACAAAACTCTTTGGTGTTTGAACAAATAAATACAATGTATGCTACATATTATATATAAATTATAAATACTGTCTAAATAAAGAAATCGAAACTTACGCAATTTTCCACGGTTTGTATTAAATGGGTTCTGTTTGGAGGAATCATAATATTAATTGTAGATAAAGCCAAGCAAACAGGTCCAAGGTTTGCCAGTCCAACAGGTGTGTGCTGATGCAATAATTGCTGATTTTCATGAAAAATGTTTAAATTATTGAATGAAAAGCTTATAGAGTTTCTTTTCTTGATTTGGAACTTTAACTGATTAGATTCCAAACAAGAAAGGAAAGCTAACTTCGGGCGGAGCCGAAGTTTATATACCCTTGCAGTTAAAACCGGATATATATCGCAAACATCGGATATAGTTGGCCGATCCTTATGGGAATAGGAATATATACTCCAATTTATTACAATACAAAATCTAAAAAAAGTCCCAAGCTTCTATCTTCAAAAATACGAAAGTTGATATTTCTATTAAATACCATTTCCGATCGTTCAGTTATATGGCAGCTATAGGATATAGTCGGCCGATCCTAATGAAATTTGGTAGGTTGGATCAACTGACCAAAAATGGAGTCTGTACTAAATTCCAGCTTTCTATCTTCAAAAACACGAAAGTTGGGTCATTTCCGATCGTTCAGTTATATGACAGCTATAGGATATAGTCGGCCGATCCTTATGAAATTTGGCATGTCGTATTATTTTGCCAAAAATAGCTCTCACCTAAAATTTAAACTCTCTAACTCTAAAAATACCAAAGTTATACCATTTCCGATAAATCAGTTATATGGCAGCTATAGGATATAGTCGGCCGATCCGGGCCGTTCCGACTTATATACTGCGTGCAAAGGAAAGAAGGGTGTGTGCAAAGTTTCAAGACGATAGCTTTAAAACTGAGAGACTAGTTTGCGTAGAAACAGACAGACGGACAGACAGACAGACGGACAGACGGACAGACGGACATGCTCATATCAACTCAGGAGGTGATCCTGATCAAGAATATATATACTTTATAGGGTCGGAGATGTCTCCTTCACTGCGTTGCACACTTTTGGACAAAATTATAATACCCTCTGCAAGGGTATAAAAATATTCTCTCTTTTCCTAGTCATATTTTTCGGCCTATGACAATAACTTCAACACCCAAACATATTGTAGTCTTTATTAATATACAATATTATAGGCACTATTATTCTTTATGAAATAGTGAAATAACTATTTTTTTATATATACAAATAATTTTGTTTTTTATAAAAATTAAAAAAGCACAAAAAAATATTTATTCGTAAACTTTTATTTGATAAAAGTACACATATTGCCATGTGTTTTTTGTTAATTTTCTCATGCTTTGGGTAGTTTTTTTTTACGTTCTCTGAGATACATTTTCAGAGAGTTTTTTTGGCGAAAGCTCTCTGGCCCCCAGAAATATAAAACTTGTAGAATTGTTTGAACAGTTTCACTTTGGCCGCGAGCGAGCAAACAGAGTTGATAAGCACGAAAAATGCTTAAGAGGCGGTTAGGTCTATATTTGTTACAGTCGCAAAAAGCGGCTCTCTCTTCCACTAAACAAAAAGTAAACAATAATAAAATTTCACAAAAACCTAATAGAATAATAGAGTGATGATTCCAGAGATGGCAGACCAATGTGGCAGCAACAAACGAGGCTAGAACCGATCCGGAATGGTTGAATGCCAAACCCTTTGAAGAGCTTCCCCGTGCCAATGCTCTCTCCCTATTCCCAAAGATTGCCTTCCCGGGTGGCAAGTACAAGAACATGGAATTTATGGAAATGATAGAGGCCATGCGGCAGGATTACGGAGATATATTCTATTTGCCTGGATTAATGGGAACCTCTGCCTTTCTGATGACGTACAATCCCGAGGATTTCGAGGTGGTATTCAGAAACGAGGGCGTGTGGCCTCTTAGGCCGGGCAGCGAGACATTGAGATATCATCGGACAGTGCACGGGAAGGATTTCTTTCAGGGAGTGGAGGGCATTATTCCCTCGCAGGGTAAGTCCTGGGCCGACTTCCGATCTGCCGTGAACCCAGTGCTCATGCAGCCCAAAACTGTGAGGCTATATTACAAGAAAATGTCTCAGGTCAATCAGCAGTTTATACAGCGGTTAGTAAATCCTATATCCAGTTTAATATTTGATATTTTATGTAAAATTTATAACTTAGAATTAAAGACATAAGGGATCCTACGACCCAGGAGGTTCCTGAAAACTTTCTCGAAACCATCAACAGATGGACTTTGGAGTCTGTCTCTGTGGTGGCCCTGGACAAACAGCTGGGATTGCTCAAGGACTCTGAAAAGGACAATGAAGCCCTTGAGCTTTTTAAAAACCTTGACGAGTTTTTCCAGCTGACTACTGAACTGGAGATGAAACCTTCTCTTTGGCGATACTTCAAGACCCCTAAACTGCAACGACTGATGAAGGCTTTGGATGGTCTCAGGGATATAACGCTGACCTATGTAGAGGAGGCCATCCAGCGTTTGGAGAGAGAGGCCAAGGAAGGAGTGGTGAAGCCGGAGAGCGAGCAGAGTGTCCTGGAGAAGCTGCTGAAAGTGGACAAGAAAGTGGCCACAATCATGGCAATGGATATGCTTGTAGCGGGCGTGGATACGGTAGACTCTCCAAATATTCCCTAAAGTCTTATCTTATCCTACAAATTATTTTGCAGACCTCTAGCACTTTTACTGCACTTTTATTGTGTCTTGCCAAAAATCCAGAAAAACAAGAAAAGCTGCGAGAGGAGGTGATGAAGGTGCTACCCAACAAGGACACCGAGTTCACCGAGGCTTCCATGAAGAATGTACCTTACCTGCGAGCCTGTATTAAGGAATCGCAGCGGATATATCCTCTCACTGTTGGAAATGCTCGTACTCTTGTTAGGGACACTGTGGTTGGAGGATATCGTGTACCAGCTGGAACCAATGTCTCCATGTGTCCTTTAAATTCCTATTCTAGCGATAAGTACTTCCCAAAAGCTACTGTTTTCATGCCAGAACGATGGCTACGACCTGCTAAGGACGAGCCTGGACAATGTCCTGCAAGTGACCTGAGGACTAAGAATCCGTTTGTATTCCTGCCCTTCGGCTTCGGAGCACGAATGTGCGTGGGTAAACGTATTGTGGACATGGAACTGGAGCTGGGAATCGCTCGACTGATTCGAAACTTCAACGTAGAGTTTAATTATTCCACAAAGAACGCCTTCCGATCGGCTTTGGTGAATCTACCGAACATACCTCTCAAGTTTAAGTTTTCAGACTTGCACAACTAATAATTATTTGGACCTGTTATCGGTGTTATCTGTTGATAGATAAGGCTTTTGATTTGTGTTTTAACTTATTATACAGTTCTCTAATATTATTGTAATATAAATGATATTTAAAACATGCTAAAAACAATATCTTTCTGAAGTCTACATTGGAAGTTTTATTTAATTACTAACCTACCTATGTCTTATTTAATTAAGAGGTGCCCATTATTAATTACATTCTCTCTGAGTAATTAAAATCTTTAGCTCTTATAAAATTGATAACGGGCTCATTCTCTCAACTTATCTATATAATATTTTGCGTAGTCGTTGAACTTGTTCAGTTTAATTTCAACAGTGAATGAAACAAGTTCCAATACAAGAAACAATACCGCGAAAATGTTGAAAGCTCTACAAACTTTATCTCTAAATCGTTCTAAAAACGCGATCTTTTCGCTTGGCGCTCAAAAAGTACATAAATGAAGCAAAAATATAAACAAAAATAAAATTATATTTTCTATAATGCGTTTTAGCGTTGGCAGACCAATGTAGCAGCCTCGGAGATCAGGGAGGATCCCGAGTGGCTGGAGGCCAAGCCCTTTGAAGAAATTCCGCGGGTCAATACGCTATCCTTAATTATGAAAACTGCTCTACCTGGTGGAAAATACAAGAATATCGATTTAATGGACATGTTCGAGGGCTTGCGACAGGACCATGGCGATATTTTCCTAATGCCAGGCGTAATGGGTTCTCCGACATTTGTCATGACCAGCAATCCAACGGACTTTGAGATTGTTTTCCGCAATGAGGGAATTTGGCCTCACCGTCCTGGCAGTGATTCCCTGAGGTACCACAGAGAAGAAAAAAGAAAGGATTTCTATCAGGGTGTTTCGGGGCTCATCCCCAGCCAAGGAAAGGCCTGGGGGGACTTTCGATCTGTGGTAAACCCCGTCCTAATGCAACCCAAAAACGTGCGGCTCTACTACAAGAAGATGTCGCAGGTCAATAGGGAGTTTGTAGAACGGTAAGTCAGGGATAGGAAATGTATTCGTCTTTAAAATACATCCTATTCTTTGAAAACAATATAGCATTAAAGAACTCAGAGACCCCGAAACATTGGAGGCTCCAGATGACTTTATAAACACCATCAACCGTTGGACTTTGGAGTCCGTTTCGGTTGTGGCTTTGGACAAACAACTAGGCTTGCTAAAGGATTCAAGAAGTAACGTAGAGGCCCTTAGGCTATTTGAATACCTCGAGGAATTTTTCGTGGTGGCGGCGGATCTTGAAATGAAGCCCTCTCCTTGGCGTTACATTACAACTCCCAAGCTAAAAAGAGTCATTAGAGCTCTGGATGGAATCCAGGAGGTAACGCTGGCCTACATTGAAGAAGCTATTGACCGTTTGGATAAGGAGGCGAAGCAAGGCATCGTGCGGCCAGAGAATGAGCAGAGTGTCCTGGAGAAACTCCTCAAAATGGATAAGAAGGTGGCCACTATCATGGCAATGGACATGCTTATGGCTGGCGTCGATACCGTGAGTGTTTTTGGAGACTCGTTAAGACTGTAATTTTAACATAGTTTACTTTCAGACTTCCAGCACCTTTACAGCTCTATTATTCTGCCTCACCGAGAATCCTGAAAAGCAAGAAAAGCTGCGGGAGGAGGTAATGAAGGTTCTGCCTGAAAAGGACTCTGAATTTACGGAGGCTTCCATGAAAAACACTCCCTATCTGCGAGCCTGCATCAAGGAGTCCATGCGAATTCGACCTCTGGTCTTCGGGAACGGACGTGCCCTCACCAAGGACACTGTCCTTAGTGGCTACAAAGTTCCAGCTGGAACTCTGGTAACCATCTTATCCCTGAACTCTTACACGAAAAATGAATACTTTCCACAAGCTTCCGAGTTTCTTCCTGAACGCTGGCTACGGAGCCCCAAGGATTCAGAGTCACAATGTCCAGCAAATAGCCTGAAAGCCACGCATCCTTTTGTCTTCCTTCCCTTTGGATTTGGTCCTAGAATGTGCGTAGGAAAACGCATTGTGGATATGGAACTGGAACTGGGACTGGCCAGAATCATACGAAACTTTAAGGTGGAATTTAATTATTCCACAGAGAACGCTTTTAAATCGGCATTGATTAAATTACCCAACATACCTTTGAAGTTTAAGTTTACAGATTTGCCTAATTAATTTAATAATTCCTTAAATAAAATGTCCAGCTGGGTTCTAGAATATTATTTTATGTTTTCAGGTTACGGGGTATCAAGAAGTCAGCACTAAATCGCTCTTGTTTTCAAAAAAAAGAATAAAACATTTATTAGTAATTGGCTCTCCCGAAACTTGTTTATGGTTCTCCGCACACAGCTACATACAGTATCTATCTATCTATCTGTGAGCTTGCGTCGTTATCGTCAATTTAAGCATTAAAGCTCTCACTGCTTTGGGTATATTAAGGCAATAGAACGAGCCCAGTGTGAGCAGTTTGTTTCGACGCTGAATGAGCAAAGTTTGCCGCGAAATTCCGCGAAAATGTTGAAAGTGCGCAGTGGAATATCTCTGATTCGTTCGCAACCAGCGACCCTCACGCTGGCCACTCAAACGGTGATTATTCCTATATGTTTTATAAAAAAACACGCAATTAATCTAACAAATATCTAACGACATTTAATCGTAACCGTGTTATCATTGAGGCCATGAACTTTTTTTTAATATCATCCAGAATATACATATTTTTAACTTTATCAAAAATATAATGGCAAACCTACTGATTATATTATTTCCTGCAGCGATGGCAAACAAATGCAGCTGTAGCTGAGCCTAGAGAGGATTCCGAGTGGCAGAATGCCAAGCCCTTTAAGGATATACCTCGCGTCAATATGGTCGCTTTGATAGCGAAAATGTCGCTCCCCGGTGGAAAGTACAAGAACATGGATTTCCTGCAAATGTTCGAGGCTATGCGTAAGGACTATGGAAACCTATACTTTATGCCAGGCGTTATGGGCAATCCGTCGTTCCTCTCCACCCACAACCCGAAGGACTTTGAGACGGTCTTCCGGAATGAAGGCGTCTGGCCCCATCGTCCTGGCAACGAGTCACTTCTGTATCATCGGGAGGAAGTCAGGAAGGATTTCTACCAGGGTGTCATGGGTGTCCTTCCCACACACGGCAAAGCCTGGGGGGACTTTCGATCTATCGTTAACCCCGTCCTAATGCAACCCAAGAATGTGAGGCTGTACTACAAAAAGATGTCTCAGGTCAACAGGGAGTTCGTGCAACGGTAGGATAAAAGATACACATTTTGTTCATCTTTATTATACCTCCTTGTTTCCCGCTCATCATGTAGTATCAAAGAACTCAGAGATCCTGAAACCTTGGAGGCTCCAGACGATTTCATAGACACCATTAACCGTTGGACCTTGGAGTCTGTTTCTGTGGTGGCGTTGGACAAGCAGCTGGGATTGCTCAAGAACTCTGGAAGCGAAAATAACAGCCAAGCTGTCAAGCTCTTCGAGTATCTGGATGACTTTTTCGTCTACGCCGCAGATCTGGAGATGAAGCCCACTCCATGGAGGTACTTTACCACTCCCACTCTGAAGAAAGTATTGAATGCCCTGGATGGTATCCAGGATATTACGTTGGCCTATGTAGGGGAGGCTATCCTTCGATTGGAGCAGGAGGCTAATGAGGGAATCGTGCGACCGGAGAGCGAGCAGAGTGTTCTCGAAAAACTTTTGAAGAAGGACAAGAAGGTGGCCACTGTTATGGCTATGGATATGCTCATGGCTGGTGTGGATACGGTGAGTCTTACAAAATATCCTTTTAGACTAAAACTAATAAACTTTTTTGCAGACTTCGAGTACGTTTACAGCCCTGATGTTGTGTCTGGCAAAGAATCCGGAAAAGCAGGAAAAGCTACGCGAGGAAATAATGAAGATTCTGCCCGAAAAGGACTCCGAGTTTACCGAGGCTTCTATGAAGAACATGCCCTACCTGCGAGCCTGCATCAAGGAATCCCAGCGTGTTAGTCCCCTGATTGTGGGAAATGCCCGTGTCCTTGAAAAAGATGCCGTTCTCAGTGGCTATCAAGTTCCAGCCGGAACGTATGTAACTATTTCCCCGATCAGCTCCCTCTCCAGCGACGAGTACTTCCCCCAGGCTTCCGAGTTCCTGCCCGAGCGCTGGCTGCGAAGTTCTGCGATGGATTCGGAGTCCAAGTGCCCAGCCAATGACCTGAAGTCGAAAAATCCCTTTGTATTCCTGCCCTTCGGCTTTGGCCCAAGGATGTGCGTCGGCAGACGTATTGTGGACATGGAACTGGAGTTGGGAACGGCTCGCCTCATCCGCAACTTCCAGATAGAGTTCAATTATTCCACCGAGAACGCCTTCCGTCCGGCACTGATTAACTTGCCCAACATACCGCTTAAATTTAAGTTCACCGACTTGCCCAAGTAAACTATTTTCCGATGGGTGTGATTTGTAAATAAATGTTCGTGTTACAGCAATTGATTTTATTTTTCCCCATTGCTACTGCAAATCAGGATTCAATTAGTCCCAATGAAGTTTTAATTAACTGCAATGCCCATCCCATCCGAGGAAAATAAAACAAGTCCGTTTTTGTTTATACATTTAAAGCTATTTCATTTCCTGTTTAATACACACTCAAATATATATGTATCTTTATGTTTGTAGATGTATATGTATACGGTTACTAGACGTTAGTACAATCAATACGGTATATGGTACATTTGTGGTAAACATTTTACAACAGTTTTACAGTTAAACAGCTCATGGATTTCAGTTAGAAAGAGGGCAGGTGCAGTGACCGAACTGCATCGCATTCGATTGAATTCGGATATTCATTTTTCTTTTAATATTTTTTTTTTCTTTACCAATTTCAACAATAAAATAGTTATCTAGCTTAACTGGCAAAATGCTTTGTAGAGAGTAAATATTCAATGGAAATTCCTTTGTTTCTTTTTTTTTACGATATACATAGAGATATATTTTTTTGTTTGCAATTCTATAGCTTCTTTGCTTTTCTTTGTTAAGTTTTTGGGTTTCTTCTAAGTACGGATTGGTCCAAATTGGATATTGAAACTTTAACAAATTGGTTCACTTGGTTTTTTATTCGCTTTTTATGTTATGGGTACACATAGTTTGTATTTAAATGACTTGAAAAGTATTTCTTTTGGTTTTGATTTCCCGTTCAATGATCTGATTATAGAAGTCCACTAAGTATCGTTTGTATGCTTTATTCAATGTATTTTATGATTATAAAATCAATTCAAATTCAGTCCTAAATTATGGATATGAGAACGTTTTCCTTGAAAACCCATCATACATAGTTAAAGAGTATTTATTTATTGTTGGCATGTTGAATATTTCCTTATGTTTTTTGGCCAATTAAGGTGAATATCATCGGCTTCGTCCATCCAAAGAATTCCCATCTTGTTAGGGCCCACATACGCACACTTGGCTAGTTATACACATTTTATTGTACGCATCTCTGGTCGGCAAACAGAATGAATATGTTTATACTTTAATGTACAATCGATACGGCCGAAGAATACACATAACGTGAGGGGGTCTGATATGTGCCAGGGTGTGTATTGCAGATGTGTGCCAATAAATGCCGAGCAACAAGAAAATGAAAATGAAAATGGAAACAAAGGCGGAGGCGGAAACGGAAGTTGAATGGAGCCAGGCTTAAATCCTAAGCCAGATGTGTGATTGTGTTCCCACGCCTCTGTTTGCGGTGCGTGCGAGCGCAATAAAATTTAATTTGATGCAGGCACAAACCAAACACAGCCAGCATAAAACACAAAAAAGTTGAATTTTTTTGTTCCTCGATTGAAAAAATAAAACAGCAAAGCACAAAAAACGTTGCATAGTTCTGGGCTGGGCAAAACAAAACCGCAAATGCGGGCGGGACGGAAGTGGTTACAACTCCATGAAAGGAGGATACAAAAAGCGACACCCACCCCCACTTGCCAGCTTAGGGCCAGGAGGCGTGCCAACAACACAACATGCAATAAAAGTGTGCAAAAGGCGGGTGCCTGGCAAAGGACCCTGAGGATTTCAAAACCGCCCTATCTGCTCCCTTGAAAAATAACTCACAATGTGGTATGCAGTAGTATGGTCTGTGTGCCAGCGTATATCTGTGTGTGGGATGTTAATTAGGTTTTGTTACAACGCTTTGAAACTCAATTTGAGGTGCTTTAAGCTGACCTTTGCTCGGTGGCACTTGACCTGCTTTGGATAGACAAGCGCCAAGGCTCGTACCGCCATAAATTTAAACAGACAAGGACATTAGACAGGCGTTTCTTTTCCATATGCAAGCAGGCGAATCAATTGTCGCGTCGCCTGCTGCCACTGACAGCGTGCCCGGGGACTCGCCGTCCTGCAAATTGCGATTGCATGCTGGCCGGTTTTTGGGACTTTAAACACACACCTCTCGCACAGGGATTTAACTGCCGACTGCTGACTGCCGACTGACGGCGATCGATGCTTCATTAAATATTTGTATATAAGAACATTATATATATATGCAATGCACATGCGAAATCATAAGCCATCAGCTTGGCGCTCTGGCACACATAAATCAAAATCACTTATTGATGTCTGCGCCATACACTGCGTATACTCGATGACATAGACGGGCGGGCAAACAAAGGATAACAAGAAAAGGAGCCACAGAGGACGGCGTATACATACACGTGACATCATTTTTCATGACAATCGTATTAATGAAATACATTAACTAATGCGAAACTAACAATAACAGACTAAACGAAGCGGGGCCACATCAATCACGAGGCGTGACCATAAATAGATACACCAATTGCGGCGGGAACTCAACTTCCGAAACAGGAATGAGGAATATGCAAATCCAAAATGCCTTCCACCATTCTCCAACTCCGTGTATAAACAGTGCCGTATGGACTACAACCTGCTCAATATTTGCGGCCGAAACTTGGCGTGCCGGGATTGAGCACGCGACAATAATGTGAGCTGGTCACGCCATAAGGATCCTGATCCCCATCGTCCTCATCCTCCTCGTCGTCGCCGGCATCCACTCTGTGTGGCTGTTGTTGTTGCTGATGGTGGTAGTGGTGTTGCTGCGCCAGATGTTGCTGCGGCGGCTGTTGCGGATGCCGGCGGCGCATCGACAACGGTCATTGGCGCTGTTGGGCGTTGCTGATATACTCGCCGTGCTTTTGCACCTGAAAGATACAGATATAAAACATATTTCATCAAAACCATATTCAACAAGCTTTAAACTGTATTGGGTTTTTCAAAAACCTTGACTTAAACTTACCACATCGGCCACTATAGGCTCCTCAATCTCGAGACCCTGCAACGTCTGCTCGCGGGTCAAATGCAGCTCGTAGGAATCTGTGGGCGTGACGAACACCACGCGATGCTTGCGTGTTTGCAGCACATTGGCAATGACCAGCTGACGCGGAAGAAATTAAAATTAGGCGGTTCTAGCTCCCCACATCCGGGCCACAACTTCTTCATCCTTTTTTGTATTTTTTTTTTGGCAACTCACCTTGTGCTTGTATTTGTTGAGACTGTCACGTGCCTTCACAATCAATAGGCTCTCGTCCGTTTCCAGCTTAAAGGACACCACAAAGGCGTGCGGCACCCACAAACTGGCGAGGGGGGCCAGCATTTTTGGCACCAGCTGCAGCGAAATCGTTGGCGCCCCGTCTCCCGATTGCATTTTGTGGGTGGGCTGCAAAATCGGATTCGTTGACAGCGGTTAGTGTTTTAATGGAATGACAGTCGACAGCCGACAGCCCACGTTGCGTATACGCCGTGTGATGGGATTGCTTGGTGGGCTGTTTGGCTGGTTCGTTGCCCACAAAAGCCACCGCAGCTACATCCTCTTAAAATGGAAAGGACGCACATACAATGCCCACACAAACACAATCACACACACCATCCCACTGGCAGCAAAGTGTCCTTGCAAAATAAGCAGACTGACGGAAAAAATGAAAGGCCAGGGCTGCCTTTCTGTTTCTGTTTCAGATTCTGTTATTTTTTTCTTTCCTTTGCAGCCACGTGGCATATGAATTACAACTAATTGAAAGCATAACTCAGCCGTAATGAGCTAACAGCAACGCCTGGCTGGTCGTCCTCTTTAAAAGTGGAGGCTGCCTTTCAACGAAAAGAATATTGCTCATACGCCGTGAGGGACGCAGTGGAAATAAACCAGCAACTTGTTGAGCGCCTCTGTCCATTCTCATTAACTGAGCAACGCCGTAAGCGGCTCTAAGCTCCTGACCAGTCGTCTCATTTATCCGGCCCAACTGGACAATACAGTCCGTCCGGGCACAGCCAGATAAACGGACACGCGGACAACCGGACGGACACGGCTAAGTAGCCGGGGACATTGTGCGAGGAGAAATGAAAAATTTAGCTCAAGGCACACTAAGTCGACAACGAAAAGCGAAAGGGAACCCGACGACGAAAGAAAAGGGCCTTAGAACTTAAAGCTTCTGGGGAGGAAAAGTGTCCTGCTCCGGTTTGCTGGGAAATGCTAGCAGCTGTTGACATTGAATTCGCTTTTCAGTTTAAGTTTGTTGGTGCGTTGATGCGTGCTCTTGTAAAATCTTTTGATTTGATTTGCGGATTTCGGCACGTCGTCCTTTGTCTTTTGTCCTGCCTGGCTTCGTTTGAGGCCTCTGCTTAGTTTACTCTTTTAATTTTCTATTTGTTTTTACTTATTACAATTTGCTTTTCCTTCCAACGCCTTCCCGCCACCCCCTAAATTAATTCAAATTGTATGGCAAGTTGCCTTCGCCGCTGCCTGTGCATAAATTTGTAAGGGCTTTTAGGCCATGTTTTTCTGGGGGCGTGTGCGATTCACAAATTGAATTTTTAGTATCGTCTTTCAGTGTACTGTATACAGTACATATATATACATATACTATATATGTGCCCAGAGCAGGGGACAAACTTTCAAAAGTGGCTCAGAAACGGGAGTGTCCTGGCTGTGGTATGACTTGTTGAAATTCAGTATGGGATATGACCTTGGTGGAGAGGCTAAGGCGATGGCAGCCAGATCTTTGGGAATGACTTTTCAATTTGCCAAGAATTTCTGCGTCGGGCTGGCTAATGCTGGAATTGCGACCTTTTGTTGCCTACTTTTCCGTGCCCCGAGAAATCCTTGAGATACTCAAACGGAAAAATATAAATATGGTTTTCTATACATTCCATTGACTGCTTCTATTTGTGCCATGCCCGTGAACGGTCTTTATGCAAATCTAAATCGATTTGCAAACAAATCGTGTAGCCGTCGGGAAAAGGCTGGGAACAGCTCTTAAAGACGATGCCAAATATGCGCATATATTTGCTAGACGCGCGAATAAACATCAACAGGCCATTTTCGCCATTTTCCTCGATTTTTGCTGAAAAGGAGCAGGAGCTCCGACTATCTCCAGCTAGGGGCTGCTGTGGGGGAAACGAGCCGTGAGGGTATCAAACAATTTAATCAAGTGAGCGGGCGATTTGTGGCTAACACCCATGAACACGAAAACACGGAGGAGCACAAGTTCCTAGGCACGTCCGCAGACAAAACAGGTCTTAGCCAGAATGTCTTCCATGGAGAGGAAATGCACGAGTTGAGCGGAAACAAGTCGTGGGAAATGGCTCGACAATGCTCAGATCTGAATCAAAATCAGGCAAGCAAGAAACTGTCGTGCTTACCAACCATATAAAGAATACTTTTATACGAAAAATAAGAAAAAATATATATATTGAAGGCCATTTTAATAAAAATGGAGGAGGTCCTTTAAAGTGAAAACATTTTAGTTGAAAATTTAATTACAACAACTTTTCAATAACCCAGTTACTGAGCTAAAAAGTAGAGAGCACTAAAGGATGTGAAACTTTCTACTCAACTTTAAAATGAATTTAGTGAGATAGTTTTAGAGCTTAAATCAACATTTTTAACTAAACCAGAGACTGGTTAGAGACTGCTACCTTGAATTCGCTGAACTATTATTTTGATAGTCACTGTGTGTTTGTGGAATATGCACATGACATGCAAATTCAAGTGGGCAGGTGGACCTGGGGACTTGGGGAGGACGGAGTGGCAGAGTGGCAGGCAGGCAAAGCCATTCACGCCCCACCAATGGACATTTGATGCACTTGAAAGCCTTTTGCTGCTGCCACCGCTGCTGCTGCTGAATATGCGCCAACAAGTCAGCTGACAGACAACGTGAGGGAGGTTGTTGGGGTGATACAGGGAAGGGTAGCGAACAAGGACATTAGTAGTGTGGGATTTGACAAGTAAACACGCCCATCCCGCCCACTCAAACCCAAGCGAAAGGTGAAAAGATACTAGAAAAACGTCAGGGAGCGGGTGGCATTTAGATGGTGTGGGTGGTGGTGGGGTGGCAGGAATCAAGTGAAGCGTAGAACAGAAACATGGTAACAAGCAAAATTATGCAAATCAAATTATACGACGACAATGTTAAGGCTGCTGGCGGACAAGGCCATTGTGAGTGACACTGACAGGCTGTGATAAGGCTCCAGCGGCCGGCAGAAGGAGCCGCAGCGGAGGAGGAACAGCAGCTGGAAACGAATCAGGAACAGGAACTCGAGAAGCAGTAGATGCCATAGTTGACTTAGCCCAGTCGAACGTCAATAATGTGGAGAGGAAATGTGTCAGAGGCAGTCTGGGGACTTGGCCTGCGACCGGGAATCGGATGAAGAGCAACGGAACCGGAGATGCACAGAGAAAAACGTTTATCCTGTAGGGAGTGCAGTTTCCTGTCATTAAAGCTAAGAGGGTTATTGGAAACTTTAAGGTGAAATAAGTTTATTCTCTCCTTTTATCCTTTTTCTTTCGCTTTTTTCCTGTCACTCCTTTATTATGTGAGAAAACTATTTTTCTCTGTGCCACTTTGGAAATCGATAAAAACCAATTTCCACTCACTCAACCCCACACCCGAGTGTGCACCCACACCCACTGACGAGCGCAATCAATTACGAGATTTCCCACACGACCACCTCTCGCATTTCCCACTTTAGGGCGCCCCATCCACTCAACCGGGCTCTCATCTTACCATCATGTCCTCGGGTATGTAGAAATCGGATACGGCAGCAGCCAGGTAGAGCACCGCTCGCTCCTCGAAAGCCGCCAGGCACTCGCAGGCGGCGCGCAGCAGCCACATGTAGTCGACCACGCTGGTGAAGTTCACGTACAGGATCATCTGCGTCTCGCGGGCAATCTTGTACTTGGCCAACACCGGAGCAAACACGTCCACCGAGTCCGCCTTGATGGCTATCGTCGAGCTCTGGCTGTTATCGGCAATGTCCAGCATGTCGAAGAACTGCTGGCCGGTGAAGTGGCGTGTGAAGGGCTCCAGCGACTTGTGGCGATGCATGAAGATCACGGCGTAATCATTATCGAGAAAGTATTCCGCCGACGCAGAGCCGCGAGTTCCGGCACTAAAGTTGTCCACAAACCGGACGGTGTTGTGTTCCAAAGGAACTGTAGTGCCGCCGGACTGAAATAGGAGAAACGAGACAAAAAATTCAACAAAATTATTCAAGAGGAATACAGGTCGTATGCGTGATATGACTTTACTGGCGAAATTTAAAGCTTTAACTTTTAACTTAAAAGGATGTTATGACCAAAAAATGTAACATTCCAATTTCTCATTAGTTCGGTTTTTTTTCTAGTGGGTTTAAAGATATTAAGTATACGCCATGGCTTGAAGTCTTTACAGTCTGCTTAAGAAATACATACGTACTTATATATTTTAAGCTATTATTCTCCATTAAAATGGAAAATATCACATGTATAGAATGCTCACATTAAAGAGAATCAAGAGCCACTAACAATTTTATCGTCGCTATACTTTTAAAGGCTATAAAATGCTTTAAAATAATGTGGTAATTTGAAGAACCCCCATCAAGTGTAAGATTGAGCTTTTTATTGGCGCAGCCTTAAATTTATTCGCGTATATGCTAATGACCTGAGCCCCTGGTTTCTTACTTAAGCTTTCACCAATATTCGCAGTGGGTCAGCTTAACCCCAGAGGTCATGCTAATTAACGGAGTCTCGTCTCAGCTTTGCTGTCGTGGTTTTCAAATAGAATTCTTTACACTGAAAATATATATTCTTAGAGTATTTAAAAAGGGGAACTTTACTTAAAAAATCCTTTAACCACACCCGGATAAGTTAATAAATTAAATTTAAAAAAAAACTTGGGAATACAGGTCGTATGAGTGATATGAAACAAGACTTTAGGAAACCTCTTTTTTCCTCAACATTAACATTTTTTTTGTCTTTTTGCTAAATTCCCTAAGCTTTATAAAAAATAAATAAAATTAATCAAAATGTCAGCTTTCCACAAGCCCTTTAATGGGATATACAATACTGATTTATCATTCCCAGTACCAGTACACTCACCGTGACAAGGACAATGCGGTTTTGGAGCTTGTTGTGGCGCTCACAGAACTCCTTGAGCAACGAGCGATTATCCTCAAAGTCCGCAGGCGGCAGGTGCGTGTTGTAGAAGTCCTCCCAGTGCGTCATATTTGGGCCGGGAAATCCTTGTCTCAATGGTCTTGCTGGACTTGACTTAAACTTTATCCGCTACTAATTGGCCACGAAACGGAAGCACGGAAATAACGGAAAACTACCGCCGGAAACTATGCACTGAAAATTAATAAACAATGGAGATTGCGAGCGCGAATTTTGCACCGAAAGAGAAACTGGATTGGATTAATTACCACCACGCACTGCAGCACGTTGTCGTACTATTTTAATTGATTGATTTGCACTTTTGAGGGGGGGCGTGCTGGGGAGCGCTAGCGGGCGGATGGGCAGGCGGTGCTGCTTATCAATGGAATTGTAGTGGGGAGATGGCGGAGAGCGACGCGCGGAGCGGAACGAAACGGAGCTCTCTTTCCGGAGAGGAAACGGCGAGCAAACGAAAGCGATGCGATGTGCTCGGCTGCGAGTACCGCGGTTGTCTGAAACTTCAACTGCTGCGATATATCCTTCGGAACGCGGACAGGCGCACTCAAACTCGTAGTCTAATTCACGAAACGAGGCTGCTGTCGCAGGTTCAAAGTTCAGGCCAAAAAACGCGAGGCACCTAGTCAGCTGATGAGGTAGTGTTGAGAAGCATTTAAAAAATATACTTTAGGAACTGGTTCCAACTGCTCTAACAAACTTGTTGCTTGTTGAAATTTTTTAACTAGGTAAATAAAACAATAGAGCTTTTAAACCGTATAAGAAAATGTTGTCAAAATATATCTAAGACATACATAAATTTTTAATTCATCTTCTCAATAATTTAATACATTTTTTCTTTTATAAACCAAAATAAAGGGAGTCGCCAAAACAAAGTTTTTGGCAATAGTGTTGGAAAAACAGAAAAAGCGCTTCATTTGAATTTAAACTTTGATTTTTTCGTTCTTTATTATTAGCTAACTTAATATTATAGATGAAATAATTATTTACTGAATAGGAATATTTACTCTTTAAGACCTAAATAATGTTTAATAATCTGCGAATTTGGAAGATTTGGTAAATGCTTTTTTCAATATCTCTTTAAAATTATTGGTGTTATTTTATTATCAATTACGTTGGTTCTATGCATATTGTTAGTGAAAGGACGTACAAAAGAATCTCTAGAACAATATCACAGAAACTTAATAACTAATTGGCGTTGTCAAGTGCGCTATTTGAAAGTCTAGACGACCTTTAGCACCACCATTAGAGGGTAATTGGGAAGCGGAATGCTTTTCAGCTTGTCGTGGAAATTTATGGCATTCATTATAGACAATTGCTCGAGTTCTGTCTATTTCCATCCTCGTTGTCACCGTCTTTGTCATTTGGATTTGGATTGGACCGCTCTCTCAACCGCTAACTAAAACCAGGCCCAATTCTCGCGCGCTGCATCGGTTTTAATCGGACCAGATCGAACTGACTACGCCCGGGGCGTGGCCGTCGTCGTGGTCGGAGCGTAGACTTGATAATCAGCGTCGTCGATGCCGGCCTCCTCCTCCAGATCCCGGTTCACCAGTCGCTCTCGCATTCCATACCGCTGCCTAAACAAACAAAAAACAATATTAGCACTCTGCAAATTAAGCCAATTAGCCAAAAACTTACTCCAGATGCGAACGCCATATGACCAGGCCGGCATACAGGCAGATGGAAACCAAGGCCAGTGCCACCACCACGATACCGAGCAGCACATGACCCTCGCTGACGGCATCCGCTTGCACATCGACGGGCGTCACCTCGATGTTCTCCGAGGCGAAGGTGTCGCTGTCCGAGCTGAAGACCACTCCCCTGCCCTTGAATCGCTCCTCCAGCTCCTCGCTCTCCGCCGAGTGACTCTCGTCACCGGACTCGAGGATCTCCACATCGTACTTGTAGTTTCCGGCTAGGACAACATTGGTGGCCGAGTTAAGTTGGTCTTCATCGCGGTGGGGATAGGACTGACGCGGTTCTAATTTCTCTTCGGACTCTACCGAAGAATTCATATCTGCGTCAGAATCCTGAAATAAATTAGATTTGATATTTAAATTAACTTATTTTGTAAATATAACCGTGTTTTAAAAATTTCATGATTGTATAAATAGAACTTGGTCCATAAGTATACCGTTAGCAATAGTAATGGTTATTTAATTTCAAGAAAATATGAACTTCGCCCCGTCAGAAGTTAGCTTTTCTTTCTGGTTTTATAAAGTGTATTTAAAATGATAAATCGTTTTGTTATAAATGTAGAAACGTATTTAATAGACAATTTTTTATTTGCCCACACTTAATCAATACAAAAAGCGGGTCATCAAAGATACTTTCGCCGGCGCCATTTATTATTAATTTCACTTTGCACGTGATGCTATGCAAGTTCTATTAACAATTAGAAAACTAACAACTTCCAGTGGGTGCTTTAAAATGGTTTAAATTAGGTGGAGGCGTATTTTTCAATGGATCGTCACTGAGATCATCCCATAATATTGACAAAATATTACTTTTTTTACTTATTACATGAACTTGGCATTAACAAGTTTTTTTCAAAACGCGTTTAAAATTCCTAATGCAAATAATTTTGTTTTATAATGCATAAATTTTTTTTAATATTTCAAGTGTCAACTGTTGGCTTAGCAACGAGCAGTAATGCATTCAAAATTGTACTGAAAGGAAATCGGAGCTTATACTGACTCACATGCTAAAAATTTCAACAGTTTTTTGCGCGCCAAACTTTTCTGGACCTATTAATCATCGCTTAAGCCCCGTCTCATTTTACTTGCGTCTCTATTAGCCAGTCTAAGGTGATAATTTTTCACTCTTTATTACCAAACACCTAGGAAATTGTACCTCAACTTGGGTTCCATGCCACTTACAGCTGTTTAAATTAGCCACGTTATCAGAAAGGTCACCAAAACTTATCTTTCATAATTTGTTTATCCATTTTTTCATATCGCATGGTAATTAGTGGCTAAGCTTTGTTGTTTTGAAGAAACTACCAACAGCCAGAGATCACTCTCACTGCAAATTATTTAAACAAGCCCTCTTTAGATCTCTGACCTTGATGACCGAAGGGGTCGGGATGTGAACTCTCTGTAATTGGGCAGAAACAATATTTTACGACTACGTGACTCGTTTCCGACTCAAATCCGAGACAGTCACTTTATTTCGAGTAATTGGTCGAATTGTTTACAACTAACGACAATTGCATTGACAATAAGCAAAAAAACTAAACAAAAAGGTGACAAGCACGAGATGTGGATATGATCATTTGGAATAGTTTAGTTTTTGAGATAGACAATCATGAAATCTCAGGTAATCCCCGGGCAAGATACAGGGGGGATCGGCATTCAAACGTCACGAGTCGAGGAATTACCCAGAACATCCAGTCCGATTTGTTTCGGTGACTCATCAAACTAAGCTCTCTGATAGGGGAAGTTGGAGTATTGTCTTTACAAATTTTAAGACCCTGTTTTGATGGAACTTCGTGACTAAGCCGTTGGAAAAGCTCGATACGCCTGGTAGCCGGGGTTTCTTTAATTTTATGCAAACGCCCGGGCCACTGAAAGTTTTATTGCGTATGCATATTTTTTGTATTTTTTTTTTTTTTAAAGCCCCCTTAAAAGGCAAACGCCGCGCGTGTCTTCTTGTGGTTATGCATTTAATCAAAGTGAAAATAAATAAACGTACGTAAAGCGTAAATTTCCGGTTCTGGATAAAAATAAACCAAAAATGCATCGGATCGTATTTCGTGCGTCAGTCAAACCCGAGTGGTTTGTCTGGGGCTTTGTCCCGTTCTTAAAACTTTTTAGCCCAGTTACCCCAACATTTTCGGCTTTTAAGGTTTATTCCCTTCGACTCACTCACCTTTACGACATGTGTCTGATTTTGGGAGACCAGATCACTTAGCTCCGTCGGGGCACTTGGCAAATCCTGCGAGGGCTTGGCATGGGCTAAAAGAGAAAACAATTAAGCCGAAGTGAGTTATTCAGTTCGCTTGAATTGGCCGGGTGTTTGGTTACAGCTTATCGTACTACCTGAAATCTTCCTACTTACGGAGAAGCGCAAATATTTGTGACGAGATTTCGTGGCTAGCACCTTCGCAATATTGCGGCCCATTAAAATACACGCGCAGATATGTTTGCTTATCTTTAAACTCTGATTTTATTCAGAAGTAACCAGACCCAGACAATAAGGAATGTTTTATCAGTTGACACGGATTCTTGGCCAACTCTTTTTTTGGCAAACCATACTACGGGCACAGCAGCTCATGAATAACTAGTACCTCCAATTAAAAACCAAACCATATAATTGATAAGATTAGTCTAGATTCTAGAACTATGCTGAGACCCTTTATTAAATTATTATTCCACCATATTATCTTAATTATTAAAACGCGCTTATATCTTTGACCGCGGCTGTATGCGAATAAAGTTTGCCTTCCAAACCAGTCCATATATACTATATGGCACAAAACAAACAATAAACACATTTCTAATGCCACAAACGACTGGCACAAGTTGATTACCATTCGATTCGCATAAACCGCTCGCAAAACGCGTCCAAATCGCCAACAACTTGATAGGTCCCCCGAAAAATTCCACAAAAAACACCTGATATAGCAATGAAGTCTTGCATTTCATTGCATTTGACATTCGTAATTCACCCACTTTAAATACCACCACCCATACGTGACGGTGACAAAAGCCTTGTCTTCTCCCAATGATAACATGATCCACTTTTGAAATGTGTCAATGGGTTCCAGAACTTCTTATCAAAAAAACCCCATCTGTTGGGAAACTTATTTCGCCCCAGACCCATAAACTCAATGCATAAACATCTGACACCTCATAATCTTCCAGTATAAACTGAGTATCTTTTGGCAAAGTCCTTATAAAGGTGTATATCAGGCAATAAAGTAAAATATTGCCACCGTTTATGAAATACACGTGCTGGTTTTCTATTTTAAATGTTTTTAAAAGTTAAACTTTAATGATTTTTCTTTGAAATATACTCTTAGACCCAGTACTCTATACCAGTTTGGGGGAAAAAGTTTTCTATATGAAGCTCTTTGTTTAAAAGTAGCAAGAATTATTTTTAAAATATCCTTGTTGATGGCGAGAGGTATCCTTCTTTCTTTTTTTTTTCAAGAAATATATATGTAAATGACTATAATTTGTTTCCACAATTGTTCTGGTAACTGCGTATCAATCATGTAACCACAAACCAACAAAGCTATGGAAATATCTTATCTGCACGGCGCGCCAGCTGGAGTCCCCTGGAATTAAAGTCTTGCCATTTTAATTTCGCGGCCTGATGGGACCTTGATGGACGATTCATGGCTCTGGGACTGCAGGCGGTCGTCCACCATAATAAAAACCCCATATTTATACGCTGTAAGCCAGGTTTACAAAACAGCGCAATCAAACCCGAACCCGAACCGGACCTGGGTCTTGACTCTTGGCAGGCACTTAAGAAGAAAAGGGTGAACCGTAAACTGTTTAACTGTCTGGCCAAGTGGCGGCTCCATCTATAGCACATCTCTTCCAGCTGCGCTCGAAACTAGTTTCCCTGCAGAAGAAGTGGAATTATCGAGAGCTGTGCGTCTGTTTGCCTTGGGTCTTGGGTCTGGTTATCTATCTTTTATGGCCCGCTTGTGTCATTGGTAGCTACATACATATATCTATTTCTGTGGTACTTACAATCCGCCAACAGCAGCACCAGAAGACCAATGCTAAAGAGAACTAATTTTTTGGGCAGTGCCATTTTTTGCGATATTTTGCTTATGCGGGTAGGAGCGTCACTTCCTTTATCAATTAACTCCTTATCACACACGCACGAATTAGTCGCCACTCGATCGGTGGATATGTATATTACGCCGGATGAATAAGCCTTATAGGTTCTGTTCTGGGTCTTTATATTCCGCTGCCGATTGTCGTGTGAACGCGGCGAGCTTTCCGACTCAAATGAGATTGAATGAAAGGCGAACGAGGTTTTCTCGTCGGCCGAAGCTCGCTTAAATGTTACCTGATCAAGGTGTCGGTTGGTAACAGAGCTGTTAACTTGTTTGGGGGTATTCGCAATGGACTTTAAGTTTTTATAATAAACATCTTACATATAGATATTCAGAATATTTATCGCAAATATATAGTATAGTAATCCGTATAAGATATTATTATAAAACCAATCTATTGGAACACAGAACTTACAAAAAGTCCAAAAGTCCAGTTCTATCTTCAAAATACTGTTCAGTTATATGGCAACTAGAGGACAATATAGAGGATATGATGGGATCTGCATTAAAATTCAGAGACAAAATATTTTTTAGATTTTTTGTCCATTTTTCGTGATGGGATCCCTTGAAATGGGGTTTTCCCCTATAGGGTCCACAGTGATGGCTATATCTTCCCCAATTCTCATCCGATTCTCAAGCGGAGTACCTTAAACGATTTCTGGATCGATTCGCCACCGTTCTACATCAAAATCCTGAGACAAAATATTTTTTAGATTTTTTGACCATTTTTCGTGATGGGATCCCTTGAATGGGGTTTTCCCCTATAGGGTCCACAGTGATGGCTATATCTTCCTCAATTCTCATCCGATTCTCAAGCGGAGTACCTTAAACGATTTCTGGATCGATTCGCCACCGTTCTACATAAAAATCCTGAGACAAAATATTTTTTAGATTTTTTGTCTATTTTTCGTGATGGGATCCCTTGAAATGGGGTTTTCCCCTATAGGGTCCACAGTGATGGCTATATCTTCCCCAATTCTCATCCGATTCTCAAGCGGAGTACCTTAAACGATTTCTGGATCGATTCGCCACCGTTCTACATCAAAATCCTGAGACAAAATATTTTTTAAATTTTTTGACCATTTTTCGTGATGGGATCCCTTGAAATGGGGTTTTCCCCTATAGGGTCCACAGTGATGGCTATATCTTCCCCAATTCTCATCCGATTCTCAAGCGGAGTACCTTAAACGATTTCTGGATCGATTCGCCACCGTTCTACATAAAAATCCTGAGACAAAATATTTTTTAGATTTTTTGTCTATTTTTCGTGATGGGATCCCTTGAAATGGGGTTTTCCCCTATAGGGTCCACAGTGATGGCTATATCTTCCCCAATTCTCATCCGATTCTCAAGCGGAGTACCTTAAACGATTTCTGGTTCGATTCGCCACCGTTCTACATCAAAATCCTGAGACAAAATATTTTTTAGATTTTTTGTCCATTTTTCATGATGGGATCCCATGAAATGGGGTTTTCCCCTATAGGGTCCACAGTGATGGCTATATCTTCCCCAATTCTCATCCGATTCTCAAGCGGAGTACCTTAAACGATTTCTGGATCGATTCGCCACCGTTCTACATCAAAATCCTGAGACAAAATATTTTTTAGATTTTTTGTCCATTTTTCGTGATGGGATCCCTTGAAATGGGGTTTTCCCCTATAGGGTCCACAGTGATGGCTATATCTTCCCTAATTCTCATCCGATTCTCAAGCGGAGTACCTTAAACGATTTCTGGTTCGATTCGCCACCGTTCTAAATCAAAATCCTGAGAAAAAATATTTTTTAGATTTTTTGTCCATTTTTCGTGATGGGATCCCTTGAAATGGGGTTTTCCCCTATAGGGTCCACAGTGATGGCTATATCTTCCCCAATTCTCATCCGATTCTCAAGCGGAGTACCTTAAACGATTTCTGGAGCGATTCGCCACCGTTCTACATCAAAATCCTGAGACAAAATATTTTTTAGATTTTTTGCCCATTTTTCATGATGGGATCCCTTGAAATGGGGTTTTCACCAATAGGGTCCACAGTAATGGCTATATCTTCCCCAATTCTCATCCGATTCTCAAGCGGAGTACCTTAAACGATTTCTGGTTCGATTCGCCACCGTTCTACATCAAAATCCTGAGACAAAATATTTTTTAGATTTTTTGTCCATTTTTCGTGATGGGATCCCTTGAAATGGGGTTTTCCCCTATAGGGTCCACAGTGATGGCTATATCTTCCTCAATTCTCATCCGATTCTCAAGCGGAGTACCTTAAACGATTTCTGGTTCGATTCGCCACCGTTCTACATCAAAATCCTGAGACAAAATATTTTTTAGATTTTTTGTCCATTTTTTGTGATGGGATCCCTTGAAATGGGGTTTTCCCCTATAGGGTCCACAGTGATGGCTATATCTTCCTCAATTCTCATCCGATTCTCAAGCGGAGTACCTTAAACGATTTCTGGTTCGATTCGCCACCGTTCTACATTAAAAACTTGAGACAAAATATTTTTTAGATTTTTTTTCCATTTTTCGTGATGGGATCCCTTGAAAATGGGGGTTTTCCCAATAGGGCCCACAGTGATGGCTATATCTTCCCCAATTCTCATCCGATTCTCAAGCGGAATACCTTAATCGATTTCTGGATCGAATCTCCACCATTCTGCACCAAAATCCAGAGACAAAATATTTTTTAGATTTTTTCTCCATTTTTCGTGATGGGATCCCTTGAAAATGGGGTTTTTTCCAATAGGGCCCACAGTGATGGCTATATCTTCCCCAATTCTCATCCGATTCTCAATCGGAATACCTCAAACGATTTCTGGATCGAATCTCCACCATTCTGCATCAAAATCCAGAGACAAAATATTTTTTAAATTTTTTGTCCATTTTTCGTGATGGGATCCCTTGAAAATGGGGTTTTTTTCCAATAGGGCCCACAGTGATGGCTATATCTTCCCCAATTCTCATCCGATTCTCAATCGGAATACCTTAAACGATTTCTGGATCGAATCTCCACCAATCTGCATCAAAATCCAGAGACAAAATATTTTTTAGATTTTTTCTCCATTTTTCGTGATGGGATCCCTTGAAAATGGGGTTTTTTTCCAATAGGGCCCACAGTGATGGCTATATCTTCCCCAATTCTCATCCTATTCTCAATCGGAATACCTTAAACGATTTCTGGATCGAATCTCCACCATTCTGCATCAAAATCCAGAGACAAAATATTTTTTAAATTTTTTGTCCATTTTTCGTGATGGCATCCCTTGAAAATGGGGTTTTCCCCTATAGGGTCCACAGTGATGGCTATCTCTTCCCCAATTCTCATCCGATTCTCAATCGGAATACCTTAAACGATTTCTGGATCGAATCTCCACCATTCTGCATCAAAATCCAGAGACAAAATATTTTTTAGTTTTTTTCTCCATTTTTCGTGATGGGATCCCTTGAAAATGGGGTTTTTTCCAATAGGGCCCACAGTGATGGCTCTATCTTCCCCAATTCTCATTCGATTCTCAAGCGGAGTACCTTAAACGATTTCTGGATCTATTTGCCACCATTCTGCATCAAAATCCTGAGACAAAATATTTTGTAGATTTTTTGATCATTTTTCGTCCCTTGATCCCTTGAAAATGGGGTTTTCCCCTTCCCTTCATAGAATCCCTAGGAAAGATGGTAATGTCGTATTAATTTATCAAGAATAATAGCCTCTGCAAGTGTATAAAGCTTCATGACTTTAGTCAAGAAAAAAATACAATATTTCATAATATTTTTAGAAAAGGTACTGAGCGTTTTATATCCAGAAACATTTATTTACTCAATACAGAAACTAAAGTTGAACAAAGCTGGACACAGAAATTCAATTCTTTCAATCTTTTAAACAAAGTAATAAAATTCACACAAAATTTGATTTTTTCGTAAAAGTATTGGGGGTTTTTATTTTCTACACGTGCTAGGAGCCTTTGAGGATGTTCGAATACAAAGGATTGGAAACTTAACACTTATTTCTTAAGAATTCACCAGGAGCTTTAATGGTAGATCCAAAAATATGAAAATTTTATTTTTTTTTAGACATTCTGAGTGCGTTCTGCCTTGCGTACAACTCATTGGATTCCGTGTGTACAGTCAATTTTTCGTTGCCCAGGCTGCGCCGGGCGAATTCCGTATTTACACGAGATGCGATCTCTATCTTTATAATATGGTTGATGTGGGGGAGGCCTTAAAATACCTAAAGAACTCTATACTCAACAATTTGCCTTAATGTCTCTACTGTTGCGTCTATGCCGCCAGGCATAGTGCGCTTGCACTTTAAGCTTCAACGTTCTAGATTTAGTCAGTTTAGTTAGGACACTAGCGGAGGAACCACGATCCCGACGGCCAATCCCCGCACCGACATCCCTCTCCTTACCGGGCAGTTCGGTAGGGGGCGTGGCCGCAAGGAACGAAAGGTGCGTCGCCAGCCGGAGGACTGCTGCGGTCCGGAGATTGAAGGGGCGGAAGTGTTTCAGGACCGACCAGCAGCCCATGGCGGACAAAACTTTCAAAGCAATCGAAAGCGAAACTTTTGTACACACTGGTGGAGTCCTGCAGGTCGAGTTCGTGGTCAGTTCGTCGTCTATGCTCAGTGTCCAGTGATCTGTTCGTTTTGCGGTTTGAGAAATTATGGAAACTTAAACTGCTCTGTAAAAAATAATGGCGGGTGACAGCGCGCTAAACAAATTGTTCCTGGCTGTTGGCGGATAACTCCATCAGCCGCCAAGCAGCTTTGGGATTGAGTTCGTTGCGGTCCCGGCACAGTACCCAGACGTAGTGCACCCGCATCACCTTCTCCGGATCACCTTCGACCACCTGGGCTTTTTGGTCTCGCACGCACATGATCTGTTGCGCCTGGAACGTGATGATCAGCACGGGTCCTTGCTCCATTACTTTGCCCATAGCTAATTCGATGTTCTCGATATCCAGAATTTTGGAGTCCAGGTAAAGGCCAGCCTTTTTCGCTTGCGTTATGGGGGTGGCGATAATATTGTACGTGCTCTCAAAGCACCAGTCCTTTAATATCTCCAAATCTCCCCGGACAATCGCCTCTAAAATGTTAGGAATAATGTCCGTCTCGCAATCGTGTAAGAACTCCTTCTGGTCAAAGCTCGGGTCGATCTTGACAAGCTCCGTCATCGTTTCGGAAAGTTCCGTCTTCGAGAAGAGACCTCCCATTACATCGGATACCTTGTCGGTTAGGAGGCGGGATGCTCGAATCATAGGGTTCTCAGACTCATCATACTTCATCTTCCAGTCAATTACTTTATTTACATAAGAATTGTTGTTCTTAAAGTTCTCCCATGACTGGTAGAACTTCGAGTCCTTGTGCAGCTCCACACCTGCAGATCGGGCAAAATAACATTATTATTATAATACTTTAAGGGTTGACCTTTGATCAAGTCTCCAAAATAGATCACTAACCAGTTGCCTCGGTGTTGGGCTCGACAACGCGATCGCTATCGCTCAGGTCTACCTGGACACGCTTGCGCAACTGAATCGGAGATCGATACACCCTGTTGTCTATACTCGTGCTGTCCATCTCCTTTTTGATAGCCGTCGTCGTGCTGGAGATGGCTTGGAACGCGCCAGACTGTCCCAGCTTGCCGCTGGTGTCCGTTATCGTGTCACTGACACCCTTCGCCGTCTTTGAGAGCTCCTCGCTAACCTTTTTGGCCAAGTCCGACTTGGTAGCGTCATCCAGGACATCGCCCACCTTCTCCTTGATGGCACCCAGCTGTTCTTTGAGCTTGCTGGACGACTTCTGAGCTTCGGATTCGACGATGTTGAACTTTTGGCGGGCCGACTTCAAAGCATCCGACTCTTCCAGCTTCTGAGCCTCTTCCCGAAACTTTCGAATGTTGTCCTTGATCTCCTTATTCTTGTCCATCTCGGAACGCATGTTGTCAATGAACTGAGAGAAGAAGCCGGCCCTCCTTCCTGGAGCGCTATAAAACCGTGGCTACAATAAAAGCGGAATCTTGAATTAACCTTGGGTTTGATTTGGAGCTCAATAATAAGGACTCACCTGCTGCTGCTGAAGGTTCTGCGTCGCCTGCTGGCACGTGAAATAGCAGGCACGCTCCCGTGCAAGGGCAGCTATTCTGTACTGTAATGGAAAAGTTTGAATAAATCTTTTGAATAACCTCGAAATTCGCACATGTACAGGTGTTTCTGAGGACCTATTGGAAACCAGAAATCTGAGTGAACCTACCATGGCGATGGGCTGATGGTTGTTCGCGGGGCTTTTTAGCTGAAGCGAATCTTCTCGAGTATCGCGTCAGAGACTCTAAACTTTATGTAATTCCTGCCGCGAACCACGCACGTATCAGCGGTCAGCTGTTCTCTTCGCTTTCGTTAAACGCGGCCGTGTTGCAAAGCGACCGTCGTTTGCCGATAGTTCGATTACTTTCGTCAGGTGGTCTGGGCCTATGCGGGACGCGCGAATATTTGAATTGTGTTGTGCAATGGCAGTAGATAGATGTGACGGTGAAGCGTGTTTGTTGCCGCAGCAACGGGGGCGTGATCTGTTATGGAGATCGTTTTTGTTTTTTTTTTGATAGGTAAGACAAACATGCTAGGTTTTTTTTTTATGTTTGCTCTGCGATTTTTTGAATAGTTTGCTGCCAGTTTGGCCACCATGAAATGTCTCACAATCTTGCATATAAAACAAAATAATAATAAAGACCGATCAAAGAAAAAAAAAAATAATCTACAAATAATTATCAAGCCAATCCTTCGCAAAAAAAGCTAAGACCTATCGATAACATACTTCACTTATCGGCCCATCACAGCGACTGCTTCTTAGGCTTTTGCCATCGCTTACCAAGTACCGTTACTTGGCGCCAATTTGGACATAATACCAAGAAGCGGCTTCACTTCATTTTGTGCTTGTGTAGCTGGCGCCTGTTGTCTCAGTAATTGCGATTTGCAACATTACGCTGCTTAAACCTAGTTTTTTTTTTTTTTGTTTCAAGTAAATTTTAACCGCGAAGAAGTAGCGCAACAAATACTTCATAAATACACCTAAGCTAGGATTTTGTAGTGTAAAGTTCGCAGGATAACAGTTACTTGGCCGCCATGTTCCGGAGCAACCTGGAGGGCAGTGCAGCAGCCGTAAGTAGCAACAGAATCCTTCGCGAACAATTGGTTAATCCGCCAACGCAGGAGAATTACTCGGCCTTCCATGGAAGGGGCGGGATCAACTTGCTGGGCATCCAGGATATGTATTTGGACACTAGCGGCACAACTGGGAGCCTACCTCCCACTCCTTCCGTTTCGTCTGCTACGCTAAGTCCCCCCAGCACACCGCTGACGCCCCTTACTCCGGAACCAACTGCGCAGGCGTCGCATTTTCCCCTTTTGGCTGATAGCGCAGTCGCAGCCAATACGCTGCTCCTGCAACGCCAATACCATTACCAATTGTTGCTCCAGCAGCAACAACATCAATTGGCCTTGGCGCAACATCAGTTGGCGTTGGCTGCTTCGGCGGCTGCGGCAAATATAAATCATCAGCAGAAGGATGAGATTGCGCGATCCCTAAAGAACTTTGCGCAGCTTACCACTGGCGCATCAGGTAAGTGGGGGCATTAAGGCCATCCTAAATAAAAAAAAAAACACTAACAAATATGGGGCACTAACGAAATGGCGTCGCAGAAATAGAACGCAAAAAAAAAAATAACAAAAGTGAGGGAAAACGAGATGACTGCTGTCCGAAATACAGTTGCACCATGGGCGTCGTGAAACAAGGAAAAGAATTTTTAAAAACAATTAAATTATAAAATTTTAAAACAGTATAATCCCTTAAACTAATATTCCTAAACTTAATCGTTTGAAATTTTTAAGCTTTATGCTTTTAATACTGGGTCATTGACCTTGTACAACACTTCCTTTTACCAATACTCTCAATACTTCTTTCCGTTCTTCACTGTTTACTGATCTTCGCTTTCGCTCATTTTTGACCGTTTTTCGAGCAAAACGGAGCACGGGAAATTTACGTCTTAAAAATTAACTTGTGAAATTCGAACCAAACCACCACAAAATTTCGTTCTTAACGTCTTCAAAATTAATTAGTGGGATTTAGGCTATAATGGAGCTGAAGATCGACGTAGAATCTATTTTAAAAAGCTATCAACTTTCAGAAAACGCTCATGGATCCATGCAGGATGTGATGCAGGAGTTTGCGGCTAATGGCTACGTGAGCGACGACATCAATCGCTTCCACTATGGCAGTGCTCCGCCACAAGCCTTGACGCCGCCGCCGCCGCCGCCTCCTCTCCTGGCGCCATTGGGACAGACTTCAGCGGCTCAGGCCAGTGCTAATGTTAACTTGGCGCCTGTTTCAGTACCGGCGCCACTGTCGGCTCACTGGCTAAACAATTATCGCGAGCAGCTCAACAACGTTTGGCGGCAAATGTCCTACATGCCCGCCGCCAATGCTGCAAACCTTCAGGCCCAAGCGGCTGTGCCTGTAGCCCCCCTACCGGGCATGGGGGTCAGTCTGGGATTCCCTATTCAACCTGATCATTTGCGCAGTGGAAGCATCTCCAACAACGCCAATAAATATAAGCGTTTCAACAACAAGTCAAAAGATGTGAGTAAAGATCATAGTTCTAAGCTTCCTGGAATTGTATTGCGCACTTTTTAAATGTTTGAAAAAGGTGGCAACTCCGCCACTAAAATGTTATTTCTTTTCCGAGAAATCGTAAATCTGATACTGAAGCATATTTAGATGCTAAATGAATTATTTTATATATTTATTCCAATATTTTACGTTTTATGTATTCTATCTCTTGCAGGTCAATCGTCATTGCGTATTTTGCGAGAACAACAACGAACCGGAGGCAGTGGTGAACAGCCACACGGTTCGCGACAGCTTCAATCGTGTTCTCTGCCCCAAGCTACGCACTTATGTGTGCCCCATTTGTGGAGCGTCTGGGGACTCGGCGCACACCATTAAATACTGCCCCAAGAAGCCGATCATCACCATGGAGGATGCCATCAAGGCGGAGTCGTTCCGCCTTGCCAAGAGCAGCTATTACAAGCCACAAATGAAAGTTTAAACTCTAGAAATCTCCGCCAAAGTCAAAGCTCTGGCAGCTTCTTAAGCGTTTATATAGTCAGAAATATATATGCGCGATCATTTATAGGCTGAGATTACTAGAAGATAAAGATCCATTAACAGGTAGCGCCTGGCGCGTTCGATTTTATAAAGTTTCCAAACTTGTCTAATGGCTATATTACGTACAGTATAGTCTACGACTAATCAATCAACTCAAAACAAATTTATTTAAAAAAATTCATGTTTGTTTCTGTGAAAAGAAAGCCAAATTTGTAATTGAAGAGTACTTACAATATCGTAATATTTGTTCAATCGTCGTGGCCGATAGAAACATCTCGCTATCCGAAATTTAAATGAAGGAACTGGTCTGCATAATTTAGGTGCGAACATGTTTTCAAGTGTTGTTCGTCTCAGGCTGAGGAAATTTCGATATATCTGTAATTGATGTACAGTATGTACTAAAATTTTGAGAAAAAAAAAATTGAGGAAATTGACTTTCGAAATGCCAGATCTTACATATTAGAATTTAATTTGAAACTTGCTAAAGGAAATAGCAAGGAACACTTTCGTTACAATCGGCTACGTTTTCATTTTTATTGTGAGTTTTTAAATTTTGACATTCCGTAGTAGATGGTAAACGAACATTTATTATTTTTTTATTACATGTATCGCGTATATATTTCATTACGCTAATCTATTTCAAATCAAACTATCAATTGTTTTTGAGTATATTATTTTTTTATTTTTTTAACATGTACAAGCTGAAGTGGAAAATTCAATGGCAAAAGAATCAAAATAAAGGTGTATTTCATATTAAAAGAGGTGGTTTTTATTGCTAGAGAAGCTAGTCTGCTTCGCCGTCGCGGCGCTTCTCGAAGAGCGCTAGGAAGATTCCATCGGTCAAGTCGCTATCCGGTAAGCAGTACAGAACGTTTTTGCCAATTTTGGCGTATTCGGTGTCCCCCACATTGTGCCACTTGTTGCGAAGCGCCTTCTTGCAACTCAGCAGCTTGAAGGAGGGATTCACCTGCAGGCAACGCTTCACCACCTCCTCGTTCTCCTCCTTATACAGTGAGCAGGTGCAATAGGCGATGCGTTTCACATTTGGAAAAGCGGTCATGGCGTGGGAAAGGATCTTAACCTGCAGACCAGCCAACTTGAAAAGGCGCTGGTCGTCCTTTTCCTCGTCGCACACATTCATTCGGCTTTGCATTCCGTTGCCGGAACAACTGGGATCAACCAGGATGTACTCCACATCAGGGCAGTTCTCGGCATCTAAAGTAGATTTGGCGATAAGTAAATTAGCTTGTAACGAATTCCTTCTTGACCACTTACTCATCCTCAAAGCATCCCCCAGGATGGGAGTTACTATGTCACAGCCAGCCTCAGAAGTGATATTACACAGTACCCGGTAGCGTTCCATGGACTGCTCCACTGCGTAAATTCGACCTTTGTTTTTCATGAAGTTGCACAAGTGCAGAGTCTTCATCCCTGGAGCAGCGCACATGTCCAGCACCGTAGACCCGGACGGAGGAGCCAGCAGTTCAGCGGCCAGGCAAGTGCCCTTGTTTTGAAGAATAAACTTCTTTTGTTTTACAAACTCGTGGGAAGACCAATAGGAAGACCACTTGTGATGGAAAACCAGTACACCCTCCACCTGCAAGTCAGTCATAAATTCGTCCTCCTCAAGGGCCTTAACGGCGGCCAGAAAGTCCGCATAAGAGGCATCGGCGGGCAACTCCTTACGTCGCCAGTCTTCGCTGGCAAGGTACTCCAAAGCCTGCGAAAGGCTATACAGGTTCGTGTTGATGCGGACATAGCGGGGATTGGGTTCTGTTTAAAGTAAAGACAAATAAAAGAAGCATTTAGAATTGTGTCCAGAATGATTTATTCAGTAAGCTCTACGACTTGGATGTCTTTTTACGGATTAACAGTCTGCCACTCCTTCAAGTGAGTGAAGTCACTACGCAGAGTTCCAAATGATATAATTATTGATACTTTTTGGGTTCTGATGATTCCAGCTCGTCTTCGGCTTCTTCCACTGGCTCCAATGGTGGTGGGGCCTTTTCGCGAAAAGCCTTAAGCACATACATTGCTACCACCAAGTTTACAATAACAACAGCCGTCAGAACTGACCAGCAATTGACCGTAAACCTGTCCAGGTCTGGAAAAGATTCCAGCAGCCAGCTTCGCACGCCATAGAAGCCCAAGAAGGGCAGCGTGAACATAAGAACACTGTAGGCAAGCAGCCACAAGAACACCTCAGCGCTGGTGTCCTCTTGGGGACTACGCTGAACTGGAAGAGCTTGAGGAGCATCCTCCTCTGCCACAACCTCCTTAGCCTGTTGCTTCTTTCCGCGCTTGCCCATATCAGCTGGCTAATACTGCTAATAATTTGTTGGTAAACCTGCCTTTTTTCTCAAATCCTGCACCGCTGATCGCCTCTTTCAGTTTCTCCTCGTAGCTGAGGACCTTTTGTACGGGTTTACTCTCGCCGTTCAACTTCTTCCGTACGAAAATAAGTTCTGTAACAAGAACCTTTGCAAGGCTCGGGTCCAAGTTGGGGTTATCCTTTAGCAGGCCGGTTGTTTCAATGGCACTATCGACGGCACCACGATTTTCGCTATAAGCCTTCAGCACTGCATGCATGGAGCGAACACGCTGCAAGAGCGACAGAGATAAAGGAGTTCTGTACAAGTTTCTTGCGAATATTGGGGCTTGGGGACTTACCGCATGCTTTTCCTCGAATATTAGGGTCTTAATAGACTTCTGCTTTTCCACTGCTGCTTTTAGGATCTTGGCAGTTGCCCTGTATTGGGTGGGAACTTTTACGGAATGCGGTTTTTTACTCATTGTTGTCACGTGTGTGTGTTGTTTGCGTTAGAGTGACCATGCCAACATCCTTAGTTGCACAGTGGGTCACAAAATATTTAATAGATATTTTAATTCACTTTTCTTGCCGATTTTTTATGGAGTTTTAACGATTAGATTAAAGGCTGATTAATATACCTTGAAATAGTTAGTTACTTTCAGCTTTAGGAGCTTAAGGAGCAGAGTACATGGGGGATACAAATATATCCTACGAAAAACAGTGCTATTCGCAGGTGTATATAAGTAGAGTAAAATAAGTTATGAGCGGAAACAAGAGTTGGGTGAGAATTATCTGAAATAAGGCTTTTTAAACATTAAAATTATTAAAAATAAAGTTATCGATAATTACGAAATAAAATACCAAAAAGGATTTAGTGTGACTGTTGCTGAATAGATAATTTAGCTTCATTCATCTGGCAACACCGACTATACCTAGAGGTTTGAGAGGTAAACTCCCATAAAAAATCGAGAAACTGCTGCCAGCCAAGTGGAACTTTTATTGATTAGAAATTATTATTTGCGTCAACGTGTACTGTAAATTGTGATTGTAACCAAAACGTATGTACGTAGTGGAATTACATAAAACGCAGTTGTTTAAGGCCAGCACTTTTGTCTGCCTGATGACGAGTGGTTGTCATTGTAGTTCCCGTCTGTGTGAGGCGTGTAAGCACGTATGTGTGAACTTGTGTTGATTTTCCGTGCGGTGGAGCAGGATGGGGCTATTGGAGAGCAGAGCAGAGTTTCGATTTTCCATCCATATCTACACTGGCAGCGGAAAAAGAGAGCGTGCAGAGCAGAGCTGCCCCGTCTGGGTACATTTACCACACTGCCATACTGCGTCTTTGTCTTTGTCTGTCGTCGTCGAGTTGGGGAGCTCTCGCGTCCGTCTGGTGTGTAATACTATTCACTAATTGTATCCAAAAAGTAGTTTTGAAACGCGCCGTGGTGGTGTGCGATCGTGTGAAGTGCATTTGGGTGCCACAATACCCATTGACCTGGCCTGTGTATACCAAAATCGAAAACCACGGGCGTAACTCGCCCCATCATCATTGTGTTTTGAAACGCCAGTCAGCGTAATTGCCAAAAACCAGCCAGCCAGCCAACAACACAGCGCCCCTAGTATACATATTCATATAACCAAGTGCAAAACGAAACGAAACGGGGAAAAAAAAGAGCAGTCGTCGATGAAGTTGATTGCCATGACTACGCAATAGCAACAACAAGGGGCTAGGTGGGTCCTCTCTCGCGCTCTCTCTCTCTGCTTGTTTGTGTGTATATGCGTGTTTTTGTATACCCTTTCCGGGTACTACAACTTTGTCCAGATGTTTGTAACGTACGGAAATCTATATATTTTGTTGACCTGGGATACTATCCCATTAACCGTTATCAGATAGACCCAAGTTTGTATTGATTTTATCAGATAAAAAAAAATAACCAGAAAGGGTATATAAAAATCGAACCGCTTTTAGTTTGCTTTCTATTCGCAGTATAATTTATTGTTTTAATTTTGAGAGGCGGCCACTGTCGTGTGGAGCGACCCCAACTTTGGCCCCCTGCTCTGCCCAAGCACTTCAGTAGCTGTAGTTCCGCTCCAGCCCCACTGGAATCCACTCGCACGCAGAAACTCTTTCGGAGTTTTCCTGCTCGTGCATACACACACAGTTGTGGTCAGAATAATAGCATAAATTACAAAGTATCATAGGGCCTGTATCTCAAAGTGTCGAGTCAAGAATAGCATATAAATAGGCAATGAATTATCTCTCTGAACTTTGGCCTCGATTCAAGAAAAACACATATTTTCTTTTGTTTGTTTAATATATTAGGCCACCATTGCACTTATCTTATCAGTTGGTGTGTACGCTTTCCATTTATTCAATAATATGTCTTCAACATTCCTCTTATCACTGCGGGCGTTATCGTCCCGATAAAACTATATAATTCCTAAATTTACTATAACTTTTACGATGACAAGATAACCCAGTGGACTTGCTATTTGACTTTGTTTGGTAACTTTCTTTATTTGTAAATAATTAAGTATTTTTTTTTTTTCATAACTTATTCACTAACTTATCCATTTGTTCTTTGATGATATTTGGACCCTCTTGGACAAATAATGTTGACACCACTGAACAGTGGTGTTTACGGCACCATTATTTTAACCGCAACTGTATATTGAACCACGATTACAACCATATAGTCGTTATGATAGCGAAGCATTTGTATATTGTACTGCCTGCCTATTTTTTACATCTAATTTGCATAACATTGGCATTACTACTCATTGGCCGCAATTAAAACCAGGCTTTATATTATATACCTATATACTTGAATATTATCCCACATATACATACATATATTGCTAACCAAACTAAACTAAAATCCAAGTAATTAGTTTCTCAACTGAATGTAATAGCAATGTTTTCTTTTACTTTTATTTTCTTTGTTTTAGCATACATACAATATTTTATTGCTGGTTTTGGTGGTAAATTTGCATTGTTAACGGCCGTGGCCAGACGTGCCCTGCTTCTTTAACACACACGTCTCTCAAACGAATACCGATCATCAAGTGTTTCCCCCCTATTGACTTTCGTATATAGCCACATGTAAAATATAGAAAATAAAAATAAAACCCGAAACAATAAATACTGATACTGATACCGAAGCAACTAAAACGAAAACGAAAATGTATTCCATATACAATATGTACCACATAAGACTGCCATCTGCCATTTGCCGTTGCCGTTGACACTGTGTTGTATCTGGCTGTATCCGTATCTGTATCTCAAACTCACTGACCAACTACCGCAATCGCAAATGCAAAATGCAAATTGCAAACTGCACACACCTCAACCTCAGCTCAACTCAAGCTCAGCTCAACTCTTAAACGTATAATCCTCGAACTGCCTACAATACCAACCAACCTATATCAACCAACCTCAACCAATGAACCAACCAACCAACCTATCAACGGTCTACCGCAACTGGCAACTGAACGGCTTTAGTTTGTAAGCTTTGTTATCTATTTTTTTGTGTTTTTTTTTTTTTGTTAAAACTTTAAACCTGTTAAACATATTATAGAAGACTGATAAAAAAAAAAAAAAGAAGAGTACAAAGTGCGATTAGACAATTTGTAATTATTTGTATTTGTCCTATGTTCTTTTAATGGTTCCAATACGATCTAACCCATCCATATATGCTATATACTATATACGAAAACACGACTTTGTCACACTGTTTGTTTTTACTTTGCACATGTTCGTTTTCTACTTTACGCCTAGTATTTATATTACCTACTTATAGAGCACACACAACAACAACAATCCAATCCAAATCCACAAAACAACACAACACATGTACGTTAAGTGTAACCCTCTTTATCTGTCGCTCTCCTGATCTGGAATCTTTCGATTGTACTAACGGCCCATGGGGCGATAAGCGATAAGTTTGTAATCAGTCATCCGCCCCTCAACCTCGATCCATTACATCCATCCATCCAACCAACCATCTACCCAAAACCTAAAACACATAAACAGAGCCACTAATATTGTTTTTGTTCAGTTTACACACAGTCTCATGTAAAAGCAACACCGAAACGAATCTAGAGATAAATATGTATGTATGTATATATGCGAGGGCAGCTTAACGATGGGTTATCGTGTTTAACAACTTAAACTGGAATTGCTGGAAGTGTAAAATTTGTCGTTCCCCACTTATCATTGTCGGACGGAGTCCGGGCAGGCCCGGGGGGAATAAGCTCACATATACACATACATATACATACTACTACAATTTTGTATCCGTAATTTAACTTAATATCGTATTCTGTATCCGTATTGGCAGCTTTTCCATAAATACCCTATAAACATGAATTTATATACATTTATATACCTACTATATATATATATCGTACTTATATCCTATAGTTGAAAAACTAACCACGCACGTATCTCATCTCAGTTCCATATAATTGACAAACCTATTAAAGCTACACCGTTAAAACAAACTGAAAAATTGTTGCTGTTTTATTTATTACGATTACAACCAAACAAACATATATCAACAACAACAACACACATAAACACACCCACACGTATATATACATTTCAATATATACTACCTATACTATATATTTTATTATCCTTGCCTAAGTAAGTATTTTGCCTACCACCTACTATATAGAACCATAAATGTTTTGTTATTGAGCATGTTGGCTTGTTGGTTGTTTGCTTTCTGTTCTGGAGCGCGGGTCCGGCTTAGAGTACTTCCCCAAATAATCACATATTAAAAGACACTAAAAGAAAATATGAGTATTTAAGCCATCTTGACATCTTGAGCATACAATCCCTATTCCGTTTTCGATAATCGATATATGACGCGACCTTCCAAAGTTGATAAAATGTCACAATTTTCAAAAATTCAATTGAAGTCTTTTTGAAATTGTTGTTTTGTTCGATTTTGAGTCCGTCAGAGGTTCTGAGGATTGCAAACGTGGAATAGGGCCTGCTGGTGCCTAGTTAAGTGTAAAAGCGGTCACTTTATAAGCCAAACGTTTCGTTTACTCTCTTCTACTCCCGCCTCCCACCCACAGCTGCGTAAATAAAAGATTGACCCAAAGATAGCTCTCGCCCTCGCCCAGTCGCAAGTCGAACAGGAACAGCAATAACAACGTTACGAGTTATAGCCACCACCATCTGCCGCGCAGCAACATCCTCGCAGCAGAGCAAGCTCCCGGAGCAGCCGCAGCATGCTCAACTCAAATGCCAGCAGCAGCACCATGAGCAACCATGGGGGCAGCAGTCGCCGGCCCTTCTCCCGCAACTCCTCCTCGGCTCGATCGCATCGCGGAGGAGGCGGCCGCATGCTGTACTCCCCACACCCCCATCCTCATGCCCAGCAACAGCAGGCACAGCAACAACGCTCCAACAACAACAACAACAGCCTTCTCCCTGGCCATAGTCCCTGGTGCAATGTGAACAACAATAGCAACAACAACAACAATGCCAATAAAGACGCAATCGATGGCCGAAATTCAAATTGGTAAGAGCCGAGAGCTGCTTGCGTTTTAGATACAATCCTTGCCCCGATCCGCAGCGATCGGGCTTATGTTAGTTATATAAGTGACATGACATGAAAAAAAAGCGAATTTGAAAATAACCCTGGATCCAAACCGAAATCCCAGCCCCAACTTCCGACTCCTTCCATATAATTAACCAAACATATTCTTGATACTCGCTCCCACGCCCAGCCCTTCCTCCCACCGACTAGAAATGTTTGTCAACTTTCTATCTCTAATATATATCTTCTTCGTAACCAACCAACCAACTAAATACCACCCGAACTGAAATCCAAAATCGCTTTTAGGCTAAAGGGAGAATTTTGTAATTAATGTCGCGTGTAGTAGTGCAACATTTAAACAAAAAAAAAAAAACATTTGAATTGGTCCTAACCGTTGAATTTTCGAAGCACTAAAAAGCTTGCATCGTCCAACTTAATGGCGACACATAATGAATATAATACTGTTACCGTTTACTTCTCGATCATTTGTAACTATCTTGCGTTCTCTTACGTAACATTACGTACATTTTGTGTTTTGTTCCCCGTCGAAATTGGCACACATAACAACCACCTCCATCCCAAATATATACTAATTACCGTTGTATCTATCTCCGCATTCGCATAAAACACCAACATCCAACAACAAACATAACGACTTTAAAACACCAACATACATACTCGATACACCCCACACATCAAGTTTTGATTTATCTAATGTTTGACGTATGATGTACATTTCTAACCGCTTTTATTATACCATAACGAATATTTTTGAAGCAGTGTCGAGTTGCGTAGAAGAAATCGTAATAACCGAACTATCAGAACTATTAATTTTCATTGTAACAACTTAAAGAACGTTCAATGTTTCAATATACGTATTACGTAAGACCAACAAAACAGTTCCCAAAGAAAATGCATGAAGAGCACTCGAAAATGGCGAACCAACTTATTACGTAGAAATTTCTCTTTAGTTACGTAGTCGTTCTTTTGTCCCCAAACGCTTCTTCTTGATTTTGAATAAAAAGCGCGCCTAAAGGACTTAAGTACTTACAGCATGTTATCTCTATCCCCCCACAATATTCCTCTCTCTCTTGCTCCGACTCATGAAGAACATCCATTCCCAGGGTATTATCCTAATCCATACGGACATCCTTTCTTTTCCCTTCTTTTCTATGGTACGAGCATAATCTTGTGTTGGTAGTTTGTAAATTACTTGGATACCTGAATAAGCTTTTAGGTAGTTTGGTGCAGCAGGAAGCGGCAGAGGATTTTAAGTGATTTTTATTGATTGGTCACGGAAATTGCAAGACTGGCTTTGCCGGTGGATTCACCTGCCTAGGAGCCCAACGACAATCGACAATTAAGTAATTACAGAGCGACAAGGGAGGGTAAGTGCTTTTCATGCATCGACAAATAGATGGAGTTGCTAAAAGACTACTGGACAGCAATTAACCTTTTCAATTGGTTTTAAAACAAGATGTTTGAGTTACCTCATTTTGTCAGTCTAGCAGACATAGATTTTAAAGAATGGTCGTTCTTCGAACCCCCTGATTAAAGTCCTCGCCCCGCACCCACAATGTTTTTATTTGACCTTTGTTCTATTTTTTTTTTTTTTTTGGTTAAATTCCCTCATTTTGCGCATAGTGTCGCTTCACGTTATACGCTATTTGTTAAATTAAAACTAAAACAAAACCAAAAACAAGAACAAACATAAATGCGATGATAAATACATATGTGAAATGCAACCGTGAAGAGTGCAAGCCAAGTATGAATTTAGTTACAAAATTTCCTCTTTATCCAAACCGTACCGTAACTAGTTGTAATTTTCTTTCGATTTCAACATTTTATGAATGATGCATTTTAGTTGAGTTTCTTGATTGATAGCTAAGTATATTGGTGAATTGATGTATTTTGCTTAACTTTGCGTAGGTCGAGGAGCCGAACCGAGACGAGTTTTGCAAATGATCAACAAACTCAGCTTAATGTTTTACTTATTTATTTGCATTTTGCACACTGCGGCTTAGAATGTTTGATAAACAAACCAATTTTAATGTACCTCTTAGTAATTCCAAAACCAACAAAACCAAAAACCAAACCAAAAAACCAAATATTAATAATTGTATGGAACAATAAAAAAAAAAAACGTCCAATTATCGAAATAACAGATAATTCAACTCAATTCATAGTTTGAGCATTTCCTTATCTTACGTTATCTTATCATTTAGTCCTTGCTCTTTCTATCTCTATCTCTCTCTCTCTCTTGCTCTATTTATAATCTAATGATTGTACGTGCGTGTGTGTGTGTAACTTTAACAATAAGCCAGCCCACAATAACAATTGTCACACTCTGTTTATCAAGTATGTTCTCTTCTATAATTTGTCGTCTACCTATTATAGTTGTTCTTTAATTTCTAGCCAGTTGCTATCGCAGCTTTTGCATCTAGTCCGTAAGAGTTGCATACTGCATAAATACATACATATGTTACGCTGACACCGGCTTACGTTACGATAACCGATTACGTTCGGCGCTTAGACACGCCCCCGTCCTCCAACTATGTTCCCCCCGCCCCCTTTTACACTCTCTTGCTGTGTGTGTGTATATAAAAAAACAAATAAAATCCATACATAGGTCTAAGTACAAATTTTAAAATGTGTTCCCGGCTCGATCACGATCTTCTGGATCTCTAGGTACATCGTTATGGTGTACCGTTAACGTTTCCGTTCTCACCCCGCTAATAAAATAAGACAAAGTATCTCGTAAAAGCATTCTCACAGGCTGAATAAAGCTCAAGCTTACAAATAACTTAAGTACGAATTGTTTTTGTACCAATTTATTTAAGTTTTCGGTTTATGTTCTCTTTTGTATAGTTTTGGAGCATGACCAGCACTCTCTCTCTATCTATATCTCTCTCTTTCAATATATATATATATACGTATCCAATGTATTTCTCTCGTGTTTAGCTAGTGAGAACGGCCTTACGTTGTATTACGTTCCAGTTGCCTTTTTGCCGTTACATTAAATTTGAATAGTGTGGAAAGCAGTGTGCGATTGGCATTTCGTGTTTTCATTTCCGTTTCCGTTCCGTTTCCATTTCGATTTTTGGTAAGCGTAGTGTGCATAAAAACAAAGCGAGCAACAAATAAATAAATAAAATAGAAAACTAACCAAATTTTTCACCTAAAATGCATTCAAAACTCAAAAGACATGATCTAAAAAGATAAAAAAAAATATATCTATAAAAAAAAAGCTGCAAATGATGTGAAAAAATTAGTCCGTACGTATTTGTTTTATACTAAATGCATATGTGTGTACATGTGTGCATATGTAGGTGTCCCGATCGGAAATGTAATACATATGCACGCATTACCGTTATACCATTATATGTGTGTACATATCGATATTATATATATATATCTATATTAAACTAATATCTAATTATTGCATTTTGCCATTTACATATATATTATTTTTATCTTTTTCGTTTTTCTTTCTTCTTCATAAAAAAAAAACCTGAAAACTACTGCAAAATAAAAAAAAACAATATAAATAACGTATATGTGTGTGGCTACCACTCTGCATATATACACCACTACTACTACTACTACCTACTACCTGTACATGTATTATGCATACAAATAACTATATATGGGTTGTGTTTAATACTACCACACACTGCTACTGCATTGATTTGATTGAACAATTTTCAACTGTATCTCGTACAACCGAATATTATACTCTCTATATATACGTATATATGTTTAAATATTATCTAAAACAAACTGCAACTGCAAACCTAAATCGAAAATCCAGCGATGTACAAACAAGTAATTCTAGCGGAACTTGTATTTATAACAATAGCAAAGCGCATCATCATCACAACAACAGCAACAACAATGGTCACACTCAGAGCCACAGTCACACTAATCACCCCCATTCCCCCCAGTTGCACCACCAACACACCCACTCGCATTTAAACCCACCACAGTACAACAGCTACCGCCAGCCCCCATGCTCACCGAACTCCCCATCTCACAGCAACAGCCATCATTCCATCAGTAACTCTAGTAGTAATCTCAGTAGTATTCGCCAACAAGAACATCCTTTAAATCATCCCTCCTCACACCATCCCAATTACTATGATACGTGCGGCTCTCAGGCCCCCCGTACCTATGGTTCCATGTCCGTTTCGTTGGTGAGACTGAATCCAGCCCGACTATGCCTGACCCTCAGCCCAGCCACTACGCCTTCCCCGCCCACCAATCGCCACCACCCGAACCTGCCACGACGCCCCCTAGTAGTGTCCTTTGCTCCCAGCTCCAGCTGCAATTCGAGTGGCAGTGATCAGCAGAGTCACTTCCATCAGCAGATGCCACGTAGTCATAACCATTATCCCAACAATCCGAATCAGTACCATGTTCATCCTCAACACCATTACCACCCATTGCATAACCCGCAGACTAATCGCCAATCCCTCCCGCTAACACGAACGAATTCAAATTCAACCAACGCAACAACTCTCAATCAAATCTCAACCAATCCAACAACAAATAGTAATCCTACTGATGTTGTGAATGTAAATTCTTGTACCGATATAATTCCTCATGGGTCTTCTTCGCCTTTGTCTGCGTCATCGATGCTGTCCCAACCACAACAACGTCGTCAAATTAATATTGCATCTGCATCACTCAATAGCCACAGCCAGGGACAGGGTCCTGGGAACTCCTCCAACATGGGCCACAACCACCAGCGTGGCTACAATCGGAACGGCATTGGTAACGGTGGTAATGGTAACCTGAACGGATCCCCCGATTATATGAACTACCGGCGAGGCGTATGTCCGGCATTGTCGCGGGATTATTCCGGCCACAACCGTCGCCACATGGGCGAGATCCATTTGAATAATCCCTCATCGTCCATGAACGGGCATTCTGGTCATCACCAGCGTAACTACAACGACAGAATTGTGAACGTAAGTTAGATAGTCTTTCCAGTTGCAACCTTTTTAACGCTGAAAAGTATGCTACCATTTAGGCAAATAAAATTAGTTTCCTTATAAATGTGTGTGTGGGTACTTCCAGGATGCCTACTAACTGCAAGGATCTATCCTTGCTATAGAAGGATCTATGGAGATGCCCATATTTGACTATTTTTCTTTTGCTCTTTGAAAATTCAATTATTTATTCTATTTCTTCGTATCTTTAGCACTTTGGGGGCTCAGATCAGGGTGGACCTGATCACCGAGATCGCGGCGATGGCTCCTCGTACAACTTTATGCGAAATGGTGGAGGAGGATACGGACGCAATGGTTCTCACTACCAGCACATGGGATATGGTAACAACAACAATAGTGCCTCCACATCCTCGGGCGGTCCAAGTGGACTGATGGGTGAGCTACCCTCAGGTTCGGGCCTGTCCGGATCCTCGCTGTCGCTCAACAACGGACCCGGCGGTCTAAACTCGGACAGCCCATCGCGAAAGCGGCGCCGCATCTCTGGAAGGCCACAAAATGGACCCCAGTCGCAACACCGGTGCCTTCTGGCTCAGGTAAGCACTTGTCCCATAATTCCCAGCCAACAGAGTATAATAATTCCTTGCCCGCCAGATGCAACAGGGAAGCCCCCCGTTACGACGCCCGCGATTGCGGGATGTGGCGACCTCTACTCAGCAGCAACCTCAGCCGCCGTACGGCCAGCCCCCGCATCACCCCCAGCAGCAGCAGCCACCAACAAACTACCATCCGTTGCACCACCACCAGCAACAACCACCACCAACCCACTATGCTCCACAGCAACAACAACAGCCGCCACCACCTCACCCCCAACGGGCGCCCTGGGATTTGGGCGGCAACGGAGGTAGCGCCGGTGCTGGTGGAGCCCCCTCCAGCAGCACTGTGGGTCCCATTCTGCAACAAGTTCCGGCACCACCTCAGCCGCCGAGCCACCAGCAGACTGTGGGCTACCCACCGGCGCCCCCGCCGCCTGCTTCACTAATGGTGGACCTCAATCTGAACCAGGTGCCGGCGGTCAGCTTGCAGCTACGCCCCTCGGAGCCCATTTGGGCCTCCTTCTGCACGTATCCGATTCCGGCTCAGGCGCGTCTGGCTCCCTGCCTGCATGGTGTCTATACGCAACCCTTCCCAACTGCCCCGCCTCCTGGTCTGGCAGCGCCCCCTCCGCTGCAAGTGGCCCCCGTGCCATCGCAGGCTCAAATGGCCGCCGCCGCGGCTGCTGCCCAGCAGATGATCGCTCAGGCTACGTTGACCGCTCAACAACAGCAGCGCGACGTGATTGCAGTGGCTAACCTGGGTCCTATAGAGGCACCGGGTGCCCACCACTTGGATGGACACCATGGCCCTGGAGCCGGACCGGCTGCTGGGCCACATGGCCATCCCCACGCCCACCCCCACGCCCATCCGCATCCCCATCAGCTTCCGCACGGCATCCATATTACGCCTCTGAGCGGAGCGGCGGCTGCGGCCGCTTCTCACCACCTACATTCCACGGCGGCAGCTGCGGCCGCTGTCGCTGCCCAGGCTACAGCTCAAATGTCCGCCGGGCCGCAGCAGATTATCATCTCGTCGGACCGCCGAACATTCCCACCCCACCGCCGCATCCAGCGGTTCTGGCCGGCAAATCATGGACACCGCCACGTACTGCCGCCACAGTCTCTGGCAGCCCACCAGGCGCCCGTGCAGATCCAGACCACGTCAGGCATCATTAATCCTGGATTCCTGCTTAACTTTTTGTAAGTAGATTGTAGTTTGTTGTTTGGTTTACATTTTCGCAGAGTTTCTAATGTTACTCTTTTTTTATAATTAGGGCCATGTTCCCGCTTTCGCCTTATAATCAACATGACCTCAACTCTGGTGACACCAACGAGACGGAGAACTATGAGGCGCTTCTCAGCCTGGCCGAGCGTCTGGGTGAAGCTAAGCCAAGAGGTTTAACCCGCAATGAGATTGACCAGCTGCCTAGCTATAAATACAACCCGGATGTGCACAACGGTGAGTTGAATGGCCTAAATATTCTTAAAGAATTGGACAAAATGCAAGGGCATAATAGGGATCTAATTATTAACATTTATCGATTATTAGATTTAATCTCTATTAAAATGGATTACCATCTTAATTGGTTAATTGGTTATTAGGTTCTTGTTACTTGAGTTTCTAAAGTTGGATGACAAATTTACTGAAGTATATGAAAGATTCTTTATTTAATAAATATTTATCTCAATAGTCATTTTCGGCAACACTGCGTATACGTAATACAACTTTTTGCCCGCAAAAGTAGGCAACCCTTTTTGTATTTTCTGCAATGGTAAAATCCAGTCAGAAATAAATATGTTAAATTCATTAAAAAAAATCAATACTTATTTAATTTTAAATTAAAATAAATATTTCCTTTCTAGGAGACCAATCCTCCTGCGTGGTGTGCATGTGCGACTTTGAGCTGCGCCAGCTACTCCGTGTCCTGCCCTGCTCCCACGAGTTCCACGCCAAGTGTGTTGACAAATGGCTGCGGGTGAGTTGTGAAAATGGACTTCTTGGTCTTAAAATCATTTCAATGACTTAATCTTCCAATGAATAGTCCAATCGTACATGTCCCATTTGCCGAGGAAACGCTTCGGACTTCTTCGACGGTGCTGATCAACAACAAGCGGCACAGGCCACCGCCAGCGGAACAACTGCGATCAGCGGCACAACCCCCAGCAATTCCGTAGCCACGGGAACCTCCACTGCAGCTGCCGCTGCCCCAGCCAATCCTCAGCAGAGCCAAGCAGCCTAGACACGTAATCGCAATCGTATATTAAGCAACTCTTGCTGCACCGGCTTTTCCGGGCGATGAGTGGACGAGGAAAAGAGTCCGGGGGTAGGGGTTGCCATCACTTGGTGTAACGCGCAACGAATCCAACTGCCAAACCGTCGTCGCTTCCTCCTCAGCTATTAAACCTCCGCCCACCTGGCCAACCTCCCTGCGACTTTTGCTCCTCGGCCACGCCCTCGCACATCTCGCCGCCTCTTCAATAGCTTGTCGTAGACATTAGTTTGTATGTGAGTAATGGTAATCGTAATTAGGGTTTCGACCCTATATATACACCATCAGGAAATGGACTATATATATAGACATATATATATTAAAAGAAAATATTATTGTATGTATAGGGGAGACAAGGCCGTATAAAATGTGTCAAGCTTTGCACAACGTTCAATGTAGATTTTCTTTGTCTTTTCAACATTCGAGGATACTCTATAATCCATTATAACCACTTGGTATGGTCAGAAATACATATATAGATGCATATGCTTGGAAATGGTGTATTAATGTCCTTTGCCAAACCAGAGCGATTAGGAATTATTAATCATTGGAAAGTTAAAGAAGAAATCGCACTTTGAGGGACTCGGAGGTTCCGATCATTTAAAACTGTTGCTGTCCACACGCATACATAAATACATATAACTCTATATTATATACAAAACAACATATTTAAAGTAAATGGAATATATATGCCTATATTTGTATTTGTAATTTAGATTTTTGTTTACGGCTTTTGAGTTAGGCCTGCATATTTGCTGCTTCCTCCTCGTACTTTATATTTAATACAATTGCGTTTAGATATTTTTTATCTTCAACTTACTATATTAACTTAACCCTTAGACGAGTATCGACACAAACATACAAAATGAAAAAAAAAACAAAAAAAATTAATATACTGCATTGCATTTTATACTAATTGTACGAACTGAACCCACTGAAGAAGTTCTTCTTCTTGCACTAAGCAAAAACCAAAAAACAAGAAAATAAATCCACATATTGGTAATATGGAATGGAAAAAAAGAACAAAAACAAAAATCATATATATATATATTTTTTGTTTCTACTGTTTGAGAATTAGTAACTATAAACAACAAAAAACGGAAGCAACTAACTTTGAAACATATAAGCAATCTTTAAAATCGACTAAACCAGATGAACGGAGGACGATTAGCGTTTCAGCAAATTTACTATATATAGTATAGATGCATATATATACACTCACACACACACACTTTTACAGTAACCAAGAAGGAAACCAACGGTAATAAGAATTTAGCATGCAGGCATAGAAGCATATGTATATTGGTGGGCTTATTAATATGTATTTGTAGTAGATGTGTGCGTAATTAAATCTAATGCAATCGCTATGAGAACGCAAATATCGTATCGTAACCAGACTTTTTCAGGGTCGATTGGGATCGGTGACCGCCCGCCGACCCACTTGCCCGCCCACTTCCGTAGTATTTTGCCTTTTGAACTGTAACGTCTGTAGCTCTACACAGAAGCATTAACATATATCTAAAATCTAAAACCTCCTTGAATCAATGTGACTTGTCTATTATAAAATTATAATTGAGGAATACCTATAGTTAAAATTAACTAACCGCGCATCAGATGCGAGCATTACGAGTATCATATAAACATATACACCAAAAGTTATATAGTGAGAGTTTCCTTCTGATACGCGATTCAAGCCAACTACGTGCACTAGCCTTTTTGAAGACGGAGTCGGAGACGGATGACAGCCATAAAAATTTTTACCAATATATGTACATGTACAAGTACCATACAATAATTATCTATATCTATCTATCGATCGATATACACCAAACATAACCAATTAACGTGGAACTAAACCAAACCAAGCGAGAGATGCAAATGAGATAAATATGATGAACAAGTAAATTGAAATGATTCCTGCCCTCCATTCGTATTAAAAACCATTGAAACTAACTCAACAACTTTTTATAGCATATATATACATATGGATAGCATTGATTTTTTGTGAGAATGGATATACATAACGTTAGTTTAGCCTTTTCAGGTATGCAGCAGCAATAGTGTGGGATGCGCGTTGCTTATAGCGAGAGTTGCCAGCACGCCCCCCCTCTCCCCATCAATTACCCTCAGTCCCCGTGGTCCCATCCTTCTATAACAAAGAGTTCTCAAATCCTTAATACGCTATGCATTACTGAAATCTTGATACCTAGTATATATGTAAAACGTGTGTGTATTTATTTTTAATCTATATGAATGGTATTTCCAAAAGACCATTGTAAAGGTGTTGTGCTTTTCTAGAATTTTATTAGTAGGAACATCAACTGAACAATTAACGAAAACCCAAAATAAAAGTTTATTTTTTGTCACAATAACAAAACGTTATGATAAAAGCAAATAATTATATATAGAATATATATTATATACATGAATTGATTACCTTTTATACGTGCACTGACATACATACTTATGAGTATATGTAAACCAATATATGTATACTTGCAAAATAACAATTCAATCAACAAGCTATGCGAAAAAAGCTCTTTACTCAATAATTTTTTATCCGGTTTCGATATTTTGTGTTCGTTCTATATCTATCCTTCTATATCCTGAACTGACAGCACTAATAATAGGTGTTTCCATCGAATAGTTTTTCTCTAACTCCTCTCCTTCAGGTTTATTATTTTTTAAAACAACAGAAATCAAAAGCTTATCATAAAAATATATTTATAGTAAAAAAAAAAATACAAATAAAAAATACAAAAAAAAAAACAATTAACACAAATAAAAATTATAAAGTTTTGCTGTGATGTACGTTATATATATTTAATTACATAAAATGCAATAAAATTTAAAACATATAATGCATAATTCCAAATTATTACAACAAAACAAAGTAAAAGAAAACAAAAAATGCAAAAGAATGATTATGAAATACAAAAACCTTTTATGCATGAGAATTTCTCCAAAAAAAACGATGCAAAAACCAACATGTACGACATACTAAAACATCTTACACTTGTCTAGAATTTATGCAATTTTAAACGTGACTATTATTTTACATTTTTGTAGACAAGAACCGAGACACTCTCTTCTAGTAATTGTAAAATCAGTTAACCATAGTATTAAACCAACGTTTTTCAGTGGCATTGTAACGGTGAGCGGGCGTTTTAAATGTTAATTGCATTAATTTAAATTTTCGGTTTTGTATTAACTCGCAAGATTTCAATAAAATTCAATGAACGTCAATAAAATAAAGTTTGTTTTTATTGAATGGGGAAAATGAAATGGGTTAGTAAAATTTAAAGTTATAAGAGGACTTGTATCCTATTATTTATTCTTTTTAGAAATCCATAAAGAATATATCTATAATCAAATATTTATCTGAGAGGTAACGAAAGTTCTGCGTTGATTTGAGCTTTGTTAGTATTTTAGTATGTTATGGATTGTACTCTTCGAAGTAGGCAGCCACACTTTTCGCGGTCAATACCGCCATATTTTAATTTCGCCATATTTAAAATATTAATGAATAATTATTTATCGAGAATCTTTTATCAACAATTTATTCGATTTATAATAGAATTTTGGAATTACAAAATGAATTAAAGCTTAGACGCAATTATTTACGTTTTGTTATCCACAGAAATAAATCTATGTTAAATGAAGAAATACGTTAATATTTAGTTTGACTTTTTATTAAATCATCTGAACAAGTAGTTATTCGTAATTTATCCATTAAAGAAGTCCCTGGAGGTCTGTAAGGCAGCTTACGAAACCTGATTGAGATTTAAACAAAATCTTGACGCGACTTTCAAGTGGGTATCAAAACGATCACGTGATTTAGTCATTTGAATCAATTAAATCGAATGCCTGTCTTTCACGCCCGAAAACCACACTCAAAATGTCGTTAACCATCTTTACGATGCCATTCCAGCCTTTAACAAACATTAGATGGACGCATGGGTGTGCAATCTGAGGTTGTCCCAGCATATGCTATGTATGATTGGCAAAAAATTTAACAACAGATGTCGGCTGCTAAAAAAACAAAAAAAGGTAAACGAGTTGCCAACTAGGGATCCAACTAAGGCCAATAAAAAAAAATGGTTTCGAGTGAGAGCGGGACGGTATACTGTAAAAAAGATATAAATCAGATAAAGAGCAATAAATCATTCAAAAAATTAATTTTTATAACCCATTGTGATCATAACTGCAGATTAGAATAAAATTAATTTTTATTACATTTTACAGCACAAGGAATGTACACTTTTTCTCTGTGTATAGGTCACAGCAAAGAGAATAGCGCAACGCAGAGAGAGAAAGAGAGAACATGTTTATTTACCACCCACAACTGGATGCTGGAGAAGATCACCCTGCCTGTTTGGCAGCAACTTTGGCATTGGCACTGCATTTTTGCCATTTTTTCCAACGAATATCTTTGCCGCTTTTGAGTTGTTAGCCTTTTGTTTTTTGTTTTTTTTTTTTATTGCCCTACTGTCGTCACATTGTAGTTAGTGCTCTGGCATTATTGTTGTGTGGTTATTGTTACTGTTGCCCACCACGACACTTTCTACAAGAAAATGTTGAGAAATCAAAAAAGATGCGACAGCTTCTTCTCTATGTATGTAATGTCAGTGTGTATGCTCTTGAGTCGGTTGGCTGTTTGTGTGTAGGTACATATATAAATACACATGTATCTGTAATAGCCGCAAAAGTTCATTGGAAAGTGCAACCTGAACCTGCTGGGAAAATAGACCGCAATTTATTGATAAGAGTTTCCATTTAAAAGCAAGACGATCAATCGATCGATCGGTCTGTTCTGCTGTACTCCCCCGAAAACAAATGCAACTCATTCAGAACTTATGTGGCTGCAGATGCAGTTTAATTGATGAAAACCCGAAGAGGAATGCGATCGGGGAACGTGCCCGCGGTCACAGTGGGTGCAATTGGCGGATTGCCCCTTTAAATGCCCCAATTGGCGGCGAAAAAGTGCCAGAGAGAGCCAGCGAGGAAGAAGAGGGACAGAGACGGAATCCCACTCCCACACACAGCTGTTATCAATTGGACACCAATCCGATCACTGCACAACGCAGACGCTCTGGCACGCATGCTAGCTTTTTATTCGAACTGCAATATGCGGGTTCTTTGATTGAAATCGACGTTCAATTCATCCATCCGACTCTGTTCGACTCTAATCTGTATTGCTTGTTTTGATTAGCTCGTTCGGTTCGATCGTACGTCGTGTGTATTCGTAAATATGTGGGGATGACATCACCGTCGCCTCTTTCGCAGACTGCTCCACACTCTCTCTCTAGCTCTCTCTCTCACCTAAAGATCGCTCTCTTGCTTTCTTGGCATCCAACACCTTTGCACCATGTGTATATATATTGGAGCTACAGTGGGCGTATGGGAAATGAAACATTTTGTTTTTCTATTTTAAAATATGTTTTAGTTTCGCAATAATATGACAGTTCTGATTGAAGCAAATTTTTTGTGAATTTAATCAAACTAATTTTTGTATTAAAATTAAAAATATATTAAAAAATTTGGATTTATTTATAAGTAATACTATTATATTGTTTAAATTATAAGCACAAAATTATTAAAATTACCGGATTTTTTACCAGATCTCAATTAAACTCTCAGAAACCAAATCTGTATTACCCACTAGGCGTATGAGTAATTACTAGTCGTATACGTAATTTTTTGTTGGTTGGTGTCATAAATCTACTGAATTAAAATTAGTTGCTGGAATTTTAAAATACATAGTTAGAAACATAAAAAAAGACGAAAAGCATTTCTAAAAACGCTGAATCTCTTGTATTCCAAGCTAGAATTGTTTTAAATAAGTTTAAATAAGCCTATAAAACTTCTATATTTTCTATACTAGTGCCCACTAGTCGTATAAGCAATTTATTTGAATAAACCTCACTGTAGGCCTAAAAGCTATTATTTCAGTCATCGCTTCACTGTGGCCAGTGCGGAGGTTGATTTTTAGTTTGTTGGCCAACAAATGCCGAGAGCGAGATACATGGAAGCAGTGAGATGGGAGAGCGAACGCCAACGCTGACTTGGGGCTTCGGTTGTATTTGTATCTTCTAGGTTGCTCGTCGAATTTCCAATCAGTCTTTTGGAATTCGCGTAACAATGCGGTCGCCGTACGAAGATAGCGCTACTGCCGCTGACCACAAACACCAATACCAGTACCAATACCAGCAAACCAGCGGCGCCAATAATAACAATAATTACTATAAAAACTATAATGTGAATGGCAATGGGCAGGCGAATGGAAATGGTAATGGAAATGGAAATGGAAATGGCAGTTTGAATGGCCAGGGAAATGGAAACGGTATTCCTTATCACGCGCGCGAGAACTCGCTGCCATTCAGCTATGGAATTGCCAAAACGTCGACGCCGCTGCGCAAAACCTCGACGCCGACGCGGGCGGATAGTTTTCTAGACTTTGATTTCGGTGCCCCGACCAGCTCCGCTGCCACCTCTCCATCCACTAATGGCAATGGTATCGGAGTTGGATCCAGTGATATGATAAAGCCCCAACCTCGGCTGACGAGCCCTTTGCTTGTGCGCAAAACACTGGGCAACGGAGTGTCTCCCACGGGCTCCACCAACACCAACACCATTGCCAATACGTACCACTACAGGTCGAACAGTGCGACGCCGACACCGCTTCGAGATGATTTCGAGCAACTGCTGCGGGAGCGACGCGAAAAGGTCTACAACGAGTACAAGGAGCGGGATGGGGAGCGGGAGAGCCGGCAGAGGGACCGAGTACCGCCCACACCGCCCCAACGGCAGTACTATCCTAGCAATGGATATGGAAGCAGTTTGAAAAACGGAAGCTCTCCGGGTAATGGTTACAGGAACACTCTCTCCAACGGTCAGGGGAGCAAGTACAACTACGATTTCGAGTTCAATCTCAACCTGGACGATGTGGAGCGCAGTTCCCTGCCAGCACCGGGTCCGACGCCGTACACCACACGGAATATACATTTCGAGGACTTGCGGCTGGAGCAGGATGTGCCAGATGGCGTGGTCAACAGACGGCTGGCCTCCTCGAGCTTGGAACGCAATTATCACACAATTAACAGCTTGGAAGCGACCACAACGACCCACAAACGCGAGCTGGAGCCGCAACTGGGCGCCGTTTATGGCCAAAACAACCTGGAGACGCTCACGCGCACTCGCCGCGATCTCTCCTTGTCCACCTCCCCGTTGCCGTCGTTGCCGCCGGTCCCAGCATCGCCCATCTATGCCACCAGCACAAAACGAGCGACCAACCCAAATACCAATGGCCAGCAGATGACGCCTAGTCCCACCAGCAGGCCAGAAACGCCCGCCTTTCCGGTCACACCGCGCACGCCTTTTGGGGCGTCATCGGGCGGACTACCTTCCCAGTTGCCAGCTGAATCCATCTACCAAACGGGGCCACGTCGCGGCGTGGGGGCTCTGACCCCCATGGAAGTTTCCCCGGACTCGGTGCGATTCGCCAAGAGCTCGGCCAAGTACTGGTACAAGCCAAATATTTCGCGGGAGGATGCTATTGCTCAGTTGGCCGGAGCACCGCCGGGTACTTTCCTGGTTCGGGACTCGACGACCTACAAGAACTCCTACGGTCTGGTCGTGAGGGTGGCCCAGCCACCGGCAGGATCCCAGGAGCTGGTACGTCACTTCCTCATCGAGCCCACGCCGGGAGGTGTGCATCTGAAGGGCTGCGACAACGAGCCGGTGTTCACCTCGCTCTCCGCGCTGGTCTTCGAGCATTCCATCAGCCAGCTGGCGCTACCCTGCCTCCTGCTGCTGCCCGACCGGGACATAGTGCCTCCACTGCGGGCCACAACCCCGGCCCAGCAGCACCTGCTCGCCCACGGAGCCGCCACCAATGTGCTGTGGCTATTTTCCTGCGACACCGAGTCTCTGACCGGAAACGAGGCCATTCGGAAGGCCATTCGCCAGATGTACGCCCAGAAACCGGCGCCGCAGCCCACCGAGGTCCACTTCAAGGTATCATCGCAGGGCATCACGCTCACGGACAATACGCGCAAAAAGTTCTTCCGGAAACATTACACGGCGGATGTGATCTCTCACTGCGCCATCGACCCGGAGAGCCGGATGTGGACGAGCGAAGGGGACACCGAGAAGAAGACCATCTTCGCGTTTGTGGCCCGAAGGTCGCACAGCTCCACGGACAACCAGTGCCACGTCTTCTGCGACCTGTCCGTCAGCCAGCCCGCTGCGGCGATTGTGTCCTTCGCCAATCGCACCCTGCCCACTGAGAAGTTGCGCAACTACGTCCTGTAATTATGGCGGCCAGAAGGAGTCCTGTGGAGCGGAGCAAACGAGCAGGTGAGGTGCAGTTATGGCTAGAGCAATATGGCATTGTGGGTGCGGAGCGGCCTTGCAAAGCCAATCCTACAGATTACAGAGGTCACTCGATGGGAGGAACAAGTTTTTTAAAAGAAAACACTTTGGAGTTAAGTCCCCAGCAGTTAGGACTTCGTAACTTTCTGGAGAACTTGATCAGTTTTTGTTTGCTGATATAAGTAGGTTCTTCGCATACTTCCCGCAGCACATTTCTAGTTATCCAATGGTCTGAAGTGTTTGCTTTACCAGGCAATCACCGTGAATACATCATTCTTCGCCCCAAATGGGAAAACTATTAAAAAACGCTACAGTTTCTTTGGCCCAGGCCCAGGCCCTTCCGTTCCTGCCTGGGTTCGTCTTCAAAATTTGTTTACTTTACATAACGCCCGGCTGGGGCTGTTTGTTTGTTTGTTTAACGGTTTCCATATACTGCCGAGCACACATTGAGGGGCACGTAAGCATATATACATATAATATATAGAAGCATTTGGCTATACTTTTCGCAACGGAAGTTTCTGTCATGAGTCAGTTGCCTATAACCGATGATTGGGATCCGAAATAGAAGGGCGGCCCACTCCGCATCCCCATCATCATTGACAGGTCGGGAGTAGAGTTCTGGAAGACCACACCTACTGGGTGCCAATTTTGGTGTTTCTTTCGATTTCGATTTGATTAATTTCCCCATTCACGGTCATGTGTTGAGGTCGCTCGATAAGGCCATAACGCTTAACTGTGCATTGCCATGCTAGCGTATGGGCCACTTTTTACCAGATATTCGCTATCAGCCAGAGTCAGAGTGATCCATTTGGCTAATTTGAAAATTTTTTCGGGCGGAAATTATCTAAAAATATGTTTAGGTTTATAGCTAAGGGGTGGGATGACTATTTATTTTTTTCGACTCGTTCGATAAGGAACAAGTTAGTTGTTCATCTCATAGAGAAGGAGAAACATTCTAAAATTATCGCTTGATTCCACCTTGAATTTTTTGTGTGGAATTTTTCCCATGGACTATAAAGCTAAAATATGCAAATAAACAGCCGTTCATAGAAATCGATTGTAGCCCAATCGTATATAGCGCAAAAGTTTAAATAAATTCATTCGAACGGCCGGCGGGCGGCAATTGCGCATTTTAGAAAAACCGCACACCACCACCACCCACCCAACAACACACACAAAAATTAATTCCAGACGCGTTTGGGTTTATTTTTTTGCTTTTCGTACCCCCGGGGACTGTGGATAAAAGTTAGAGTAAATAAAATACTGTAAGGTCTAAAAATAAAGGGAAATTAATATTTAAAAGCAAGTCGTTATTCAGCCACAGGCCCCCAGCCCCAGTTCCAGGCATTGTCTGTTCGATCGAGTGATCTATTTGATCTGTAATTAAGCAATTATTCGAGTACGTTCGGAATTTATAACCTTGTTGTGGCGGATCAATATACATATATCTTTTTTTTCATCTCTCTTCCAGGCAAATGGAATTTGTCCGGCTATGCAGCTATGTAAGATGTACTAACTAATCACTACGAACTTTTGTTTTTCGATACAATAATGAGTTTAACTACGAATATGTTAACGGAAAATGATGTCAGCCATCAGGCACACACTCTCAGACGGCAATATTTATGGCAAAAGCTAAAACATATGTACACATACTACACATAGTATGTATTATCAACTCGAATCGACTAAACGCACAGTGGGACGAGTGGACTCTGAGGACCGATAACGCTTTCGGCTAACGCCAAGTCATACTTGTTTATAGGCTCTAGGTATAAACAAATCTATGGATACTCCAAAAATGATTCCGAATTTCGGACCGAAAGTCCTGGGTCAGTGTACACAGGTTGAAGTTGATCACCGAATGTTGACGTTTATTAGAGGAACAAAAATAGGTGTGTATATATTTTTAAATCGAGAGTGTGTGCTTTTACTCGGCTACAGGGTGCGCTTGTCAGACAAACGGAATTAAATTAATCTACATAATGATAATTTTAAACGAATTAATGCTAAATAAGAGAGTTGTTGAATAATCCCCCCAGGCAGATTGTCCTCTAATTTATACCAGTAATATCTATATATGTACATGTATTTTTGTAATAGCCGTAAGATGTACTAATGCAGAGTCAATATCAATAAAGTGCAATGTTGTTAAACAGACTTCTAAATTGGTTTACTCTGTCGGGAGTCATGCCACCCCCATACTTGAAAAGAGAATCAGCTTATAGAAATTTTTAATCTAAGCAAAAGTGTAGATAGGGGCCTTAAAAAAATTCAGGGCTGTAAATGTCATATATCAACAGATGTGTACTGAGTCGGTTGCTTTTGTTGAAGAATTAATTGTTTATATACCTAGGGGCAATATATGTATACTCGCCCATATGCATATGTGGGGAACAACTGTCTGCCCCATAATTGTTTTGTAATTTAATCTTATCGTTTGACGACGCAAAGATCTCCATGTCGCACGGTCGGCCAACAATAGGATATTGTGGAATACGTTTTTTTTTAGTGGAATACTTGTGGCGGCGAGCAGTCAGTCACCCTTGCTTCAATTGGATTCGCAATTCCCAGATCCCCAGAATAGTATTGTTGTGCCTTCTGGGCAAATGCAATTTATTTAAAGAGAGACCACGATACCCCACGACCAGGAGGAGATACAGAACACAAAACAGCGTCTACGGCGGCGGCCCACAGTCAAGTGTGCCAAGTGAAATGAAAACGCGTCCGTCGACACGACCTTGAGATCAATTTGTGGCAGAATGACGTCATCGCCTTCCAATAGCAAAAACAGCTCACAGCTCAGAGCAGCCAAACGACAGCTGCCTTTTGCTTTTTAAAATGTTCTTACAAAAGTTTACAAAACTGATTCCTAATGATCGCTAGGCTAATGCTCCCGCACGATCTGATCTGCACACCCACTAATAAAATGATTTCAGCATTCGATGTTTATTCTATTTTGGACGGGACTGCTAATTTCCTACTTGTGAGTGAGTGTTTGCCAGCAGCAAGCAGACTGAGACCCCAAACGAAACCGAAACCTGTTTGTCATGTTCTTTGCCTAAATTTGATAATTAATTGAACGTCGGAGAAACGGCATTCGGTGCGGCAAAAACAGCGACAAACTCCGGTTGTGCGACGCCTAATCGGGAGGGAGCTCCACGACTGGTGCTGCTGCTGCTGCTGATGGCAATGGTGACGAAAGCAAATCCATCGAGATTCCAAGCCTCCAAGCGAAAATCAGTGCTTGTTTTCGTATCTTACATTTAATACATTTGGATTTGGTTGTGTGTACAAAAGTGAACATAAAATCAACGTTCGGTGTGTGTGTTTATATATCTACATAGCTACATACAATATCGTTCGTTTCCATCATATTCAGTTAAACATAATAAATACAATTTAATAATATATACTCGCATATGTATATATAACAAATAATACATCCAGTTTCTGCACCCGCACATGGACCTCCAGCAGGCAGCATCGATTCAACATTGCGAATGAAAAACAGAATACAAAAATATCTAATAGACCCTCCTATGCCTATGCCTCAATTTCAATTTAGAGAAACTATCGGAATCAATGAAATTCCCAACAAGAAAATAAAATAAATAATTTTGAATTTATATAAAAAGGCTGAACTGTGAAGATTTAACGATTCTATGCTGAATCAGTATATGAATCGATAAACTTTCACTTTCCACAATAACTCTTGCAATTATTCTAAAATGCACTTTCAAAATATCATCGGACATTAAAATCCTCAGAGCAAATTCAGAAACATCTACTTATCCTGTGCCTAATTATTACGGTGTGGGTGTATAGTGTTTATCTCATATTTAAGCATAGATACAAAAATTTCTCTAGGTTTTCACGAGCCTATTGCCATATTGCCATTTTCCGTTCATGTTTCTGTTTCTGTTTTCACAAGCTGTCTTTTAAATGTATAGCTACTTAATTTGACTTTGCCGAATACGGACTAGTGGATCCCACCGACGGAGGCGTAGGCGTTGCTCCACTGCGAATACCATCGCCTTCGCACACATATTTTCCTAAAATGAAAAGTTTTGTTAATCCCGTAGATACATTAAATCATTGTTTGTGTTAGCATACCGGAAACGAAGCGTCGTTTCACCAGCGACAAGCGGTAGCCGCTGCCCTGCAGCTCGAACTCAATGCCCGAGAGCGTGGTGCCCTCGCAGTTGAACTGGGTGGCCAGAAGGGCTGGTGTAGAAGGACCATCGTTAAGCTCTAGACGGGCACGCAAGGTGCCCACGCCTCCATCCTGTGAGTTTTGCGATATGTCGGTAAAGTTCCATACCAAACGATTGGATTCACCCAACCTAGACAAACGAAAAATACGGGTTAGAAGGTCATCTATTTAGATTACCCTTAATATCTTACCATGCGGAATGGGGTTTCGACTGTACATTCCGAACAGATCCATTAACCGGCACCGAGAGCGTAACATTCAACAAAGGCGAGGCGTTGGCCATAGCATGGTTGTTGTACTTGTAGTCCACTTTGAGGGCTGTGTAGCTCTGCTCGCACTTCCAATAGCTGACCAACTGGAAGGGGCACGAACTGGCACCCGGCTTGGTGCGAACCTGGTACTTGAGTATGTCCACGTTGAAGTAGGAGGCTGTCGGATTGTTTTCCGCCTGTCTTCGCAGAAGGGCTGTCAAAGCTCCCATGTTGAACTCGAGCATGGTGCTCAAGGAACTCGATTGCTGTCGATCTCTGATGGGTTTCAAGGAATAATTAAAGTTAACCAATAACGCATTTTGCGCATTTTACTCACATTTGCACCAGTTTCCCATTGGGCACCAGGTTCTCCAGATTCTGAACGTTCTTAATGCGAAAACCCAGCTTGGCTGGATTGGGATTATTGGCTAATAGGCCGGCAATGCCGGCTGGGAATGATAACATCATATCACCAGACACCTTCACCTGGCAGCGCGACTCGTCACTGCCCCGGAAATAGGCGTGGATAATCTCGTGGAAGGCCACTGCCAGCGGTATGGTGTCCGAAATACCAATCGTTAACGGTGAAGGTCCCCGCGAGGAGCCAACCCCCCCGATGGCGGTGCGGAATTCGAGACTGCCGATACTCTCTGCTCGATTCATGGCCGTTGTCACCGGGGCCGGAGACATGCGACCGCGTCCCGGCGCCGTCCCAGTTGCCGCCGGTCCAATGGCGATCATATCGGAGCGTCGCGATGGCGGCCGTGGAATGGCTATGCTGCCCCCTGTGGACGCCGATGTAGGAGTGGGTATCTGTCTACCCGGCGGTTTGCCCAGCGTGGCCGATGCCGGCGCAGACATGCTCATATCCCCCAACTCCGAGAAGATGTCCCCCAGATCCGCATAACGGTTGTTGCTCGTGTTGTTCGCGTTGTTGTTATTGGACAGTGTGGGACTCTGCAGCGGGGCATACGGATGCACGCTGGCCGTGGGCGTGGAGGCGTTAGATATCTCCGGGGACTGTTGTCGGGACGCTGGTGCTCCTCGCGCTCCCTGCAGTTGTTGACTGTGATGCTATTGGATGGAATAATTATTAAATAAAGTTTATAAAAAGTGCTGATTAATAATCTCACCGAAAACGCCGCTGTTGGTGACAGGGAAATGTTTTCCACGGTAGCGCGAAGCTCATCAACGCTGGCGGACATGGGTGCCTGGCCATTTTTCAGCGGTTTTATGCTCACATGAATCCGGCGCTCCTGCTTGTCGTTGTCGGAGTCCGTATCCGAGTCGGAATAAAAACTGCCAGCTAAAAAATCTACTCTTAAGACCATTCCTTCCAGTAAGATATATTAAATGAAAGCTTACATTTGTCCTGGTTCTCTTCCCAAGCTATTTCCTTGGCTGGCTGAATACTAAAGCCTTCTTCATCCACCTCGTAGCCTGTTCCGGTGGCATTAGCACCTCCCGGCGCAGTAGTGGATGCAGAAGTCGTGAGGACACCGGCATTCGGCAGACTGCCTCCAGCACCAGCGGCTCCTCCACTGCCGCCCATGCTGCTGGCCCCCGCCGAATCCACGCTGCCCTGCGCCGAGGTGGCCGACAAGGCTGCCAGGCCACCGCCTGCACTGCTGCCGCTGGAGTTCTGCGTCTTCATGCTGCGTCCATGGTCATCGTAGTCCAGCAGTGTGTTGTTGGCCCTCTCCACGCTGAAACAAGGTTTAATGAGCCTTAGATAGGAGGAAATAAAACCCAGTGGCTAACGTTACCTAGTAAGACGCTCTTCCTGTATGTGCTCGGCCGCTTCGTTGTCCTTCTTTTTCTTAGCCTTTTTGGTTTTTGTCTTATCGCGACGGCTTCGTAAAATGCCAGAGACTGCCGGCGAGATATAAATCACATGAATATTAGCAAAATGTTACCTTTTAAAGACAATGACTAAGTAGCAAGCTGAAGACTTTTATATTACACACAGGAAATGGAGGTTTCACCTTAACACTGATGGCTAGGGTGGCGCGGTATAGAGAGAGATTGTGGTATAAATAGAACAGTTGACAGTGGAAACTTAAATGTAACTCCTTCCTCAGAACTCAAACACCGCCGTAAAGTGCTTTAAAATGGTTCAATGTTAGTTGGGAATGAGAGAACAGTCAGCTGTGCACACAAGAAGCCTTTAACTTTACATATTAAACCTAAATTCATGCAGTTTATGGGATTATACAGGTGGTTCTTTGATTAGTAGGAGTCCCCGGGTGAAACTGGGTCTGGGATGTTGGGGGGAAATCACTTTCGGTTACATTCTTGAATCATTTACCCTGAGAGTTTGATGAGAATATATTTAAAAGTGACGTTGCACGTCTGGACGTTGTCGTTGTGACGGTGGCTGCTGCTGCCGATGCTGTGGCTCCTGCTGCTGCATTCTGCTGGAGATGGTCTTGATCATTTAATGATTTCGACAGCTGCTGCTCGCTGGTCGTTGCATTTAATTGCTTTTTGCCAGAAGTCGCTATCGATGCTAAGGCCTCTGCCGGCTGTTGCTGTGCCTGGTCTAAAGTTTTGGTTTCGATTAGTTGATCGGTGCACGGATGATGGGTATGACATGGTATTGGGATGATGGATGTTGGATGATGGATGATGAGCGATGGAGTGGAGACAAGACGGAGAGAAGCATAGAGAGAAAATTGCAGTAGTTAGTGCGGTTAGATATACAAATTATTGACTTTTGTGTGCTTGTGAGAGTGTGCGGTGTTTTTGTGAGTAAGTTCCAGAGTAAGGTCGGATTGTTTGGCTGGTGTTTGAGTGTACAATCTGAGACATTAAAATAAAATTAAAAATAACTTTAAATAAAAAATAAAAATAAAAACATGAAACACATAAATATTTACAAAATAACCAAACATTCAAGGCAATAGTTCTCTTTTAAGACGAAGTACTATTGGCATTGAAGTTTGAAGCCAGGAAGTATTTCACAATAGCATCAGATGGAGTTAAAAGACAGTAACTAATAGTTTGGCACAAATACAGTGAAGAACCAATAACCATAAATATAAGAAAGACCCATAAATAAATAAATCAAAGACAGAAACCGAAAAAATCAAAGAGAATGAACCTTGACTGGTATTATCCTCAGAGTTAGGGGAATTTTTGGTGATATTGGTGGTGAGATTATTCGTGCCAGCTGTTGTTGTAGTTGTTGCTGTTGCTGTGGTGTTGTTGGTGTTTGAATTGTTGCTACTGCTGATTGCTGTAGTTGTCGTGGTGGAAGAGGTGTTGTTCCCGGAGCTTCCGGTCATACCGAAATTTCCGGCGGCAGTCTGTTGCTGCTGCTGCTTTGCGGTTGGCAAGAACCAAGAGCGCAGGCTTTTCACCGTGGAGGTGGTGCCACCGCCCGCTGCCTGCCCCGAAATCGCATTGGCGCCCAGCATGTCCGGAGACGTGGGACGCGGCGAGCCCAAAGCTCCAAGAATCGGGTCCTCCACATAGGGAATACTGCCGCTGGCTGCACTGCCGCTGCCCACCGAGATGCCGCCCAGAGCATCTCCCCGCTGATCCATGGACACCATGCTGCCCGAGGGTGGTCCGGGGGCGGTACGCAGGGCGGCCTGGATGCTCGTGGCCGAGTTCGAGTTAGAAGCGGTGGCCGAGGCCTGGGGCTGCTGGAGACGCGACCCACTTGACAAGGTAATGTACTCCAATTCCGGCATTTCTTAAAAAATAATCAAAGTTATAAGAGTTTCAAATATATTGTATAGTGTTACCCATACCTGGTTTCTCCAGACCCGTATACTTGTTGAGCACAAACTGTTCCAAGAGCTTGTCCACCGACATGTCCACAAATTGCCGTTTGAAGTCAGAGTGCACCTGACCCACCATATCGTGGTTGTTTTGCAGCATCTCCAGGTAGGTGGACAGAAACTCCTTCATTTGTCGCAGATGCACTTCCTCGATTTCTTGGAAGCGCTGATTGGTGGAAGTATACAGGATTAACTTAATATTTAAATCTAAAATCTTATAGGAATCCTTACCTTGCAGGTCTGAGTCATGCGCCTCTCAAACTCGTTCTTAATGGGATTGTGTTTGTCCATCAGAGCCTTGTACTCCTCCTGCAGCTTCTTGAGCTTAGCCTCCAACTTCTCGGCATCCTTGTGCGAGCCGTTGTCCTTGCGCAGCTTCTCCAGCTCCTGAACCTTGCTGGCGTACAGATCCCGCAACTTCTGCACTGCTACCGTTGACGTTTGGATCGCCTGGACGCACTCCAGCGTTTGTGACTCCTCCTCCTTGACGGACTTGTGCTTTTTGTGCAGCTCGTCCGCATACTTGGCCACGTCCTTGACCAGCTCGGTCAGCTTCTGTACCATTTGCAGGTGCAGCGTGGACAGCTTCTCCGCGGAGGTTCGCAGAATGGTCCACACGGGAGCAAACGTGCTGTTCAACGTGCCAGCCTTGTGGGCCAGCTTGGACATCATCTTTGAGTTCTGCTCCTCGATGTTAGACTTTTCGCGCAGAAACTCGGACAACTCCTTGCTGGCCACCAGACCGAACTTCATGTTGTGATACAAGACATCGTAGCCGTTGTTCTTCTCGCCCTGCAATAGAAGGATGAGTATGGACTTCTACGTTGTGTAGTTCTCCATAAATACCCAAAAATAGTCGTTGAAATCCACCGTCATGATGCTAATCTTCGGATAATTCCGATATCTGTGTTGCGTTCCTATAAATCGTACAATTCCTCTCCTACACTCACAATAAACGTAAAAGGCTTTCTGGCGTTGTAATTGACTTGACTTGTTGGCAGGACCTTAGAGGATCATGTGTAGCACAGGTGTACGATGCGTACGATGCTACTGCCTGTCTGGGCTGGACTCTTCATCATCAGTTTCAGTTCCGTCCTCAGCATGCATGTGCACTTCTGTAAGGATAAGGCGAAAGCCAAACAAGGATGAATATTTACTCGCCCAAATTAATCAAAGTAATCCACTAAGCACACCACAATAATTACACTATGGAGTTACTTTATTTAATAGGAGAACTGGTATATTTTAATGAAATGAGTATAATATTAAACTTTTCTTCTTAATCTAGTAATCATTTTCGAAGATGGGACATTTTAAAAGCCTAAATACAAGAACATTTAAGTAAACACGACTGAGAAAAAAATAAAAAATGAACACAAACTTAAAGGGTAAAAAAAATGTAGGCTTAGTCGGCTTTTAGCTTGGCCATCTCCTCATCGATGCGCTCGTCCAGAGCTCTGGTGAGGATGGTGCAGCAATCCTTGATGGCGTGGTAGATGATGTTCTTGATCTGCAGCTTGTCCTCGTGGTTGGTGTGGGAGTGCGAGAGTCGGCGGAACTCGTGGGTGAGATGGTAGCAGTGGGTAATGTTCTCGGGCGAGACAAAGTCCTCGGCCACCTTGATGCAGTTGTGCAGGTTCTGGACCTGGTGCGGAGCTCCGGCGGGTATAAATACGGCATCTCCCAGACACTGGACAATGGGATGCCCCTCCACTCCATACTCTTTGAACAACCTGGCCCGCAACTTATCATCTAGGTACCAGTTCTGGTCGTGAATGGGATCGTGGTCGGGCTCCAGGCGGAATCCCTTCTCCAGGGTCACCCGGTTAAGCAAGTCCCTAATCTTGTCGGCATCGCGCGCCGGGAATATGTGCCAGAGAGCTCCCGGCAGGACATCGGGTGACTGGCACCTGGCCCTGGTTATGTAGTCACATCCGCCCAGAGCAATGGCCTTCTGGGTGGCCGCCATCTGCGGCTTGTTGTCCTCGTCCTGCGGAATCCCCACATACACCATTATGTTGACCGCATCCGAGATGTCCAGATGGAGGTTAGTTGTGCCCTTATCCGGGTGCAACGCCGAGCCGTAGGCGTTGTACATCTTGGGTCCCAGGTCCGGCGGCACGAACATCTTGGGCAGACTGCTGGCGATGTTGAGATTGCCAGTTCGCAGCGTATACTCGGGCATCGGCAGACCCTTCATCAGATCCGCGAATCTGGTGGGCAGTATCTCGGCAAAGTCGTCGCCAGGCGGCCAGTCCTTCAGTTTGAGGAGCATGGGCTTCCCGTTGGCGTCCAACAGCCGCTTCTTAATGCACTGGAAGCCCTCCCAGAAGTGCCGCATGGGCTGGTTGGGCACCAGGTTGCCATTTAGGCAGTTTATCAAATCGTTTGGCTTGTCGCCGAAGTCGCGACAGAAGGCCTGCGGGTGCCACAGGTCCAGGTTGAGGGAGCGAGCCACCTCAGAAATCATAACCGGTTGGCCACACTTCCAGACCTCCTGGTAGAGCACCCGGTTGTCGGGATGCAGGGGATCGGTGAGCCGGAGCAGCTTGCCATCGCAGAGCCACTCGTGCGGCACGCCAGGTGCCAGCTGGGTGGAATGCGCCAGCGTCATGGCCCTGGGAGGCAGAAACCGTCTCAGACCTGCTAGTCCCTTCCTCAAAAAATTAATGTGCTTGAAGTTATCGAAAGCCGTGGTGATCGGGTCCTTGCCCAGGGTCTCCTTGGTCCACACTCGTCCTGGGACGTAGTCTATGCCCCGCTCCCTGGCAAACTCCAGTTTCTTGGCGTGCAGCTGCTCCAGGCGCTGCTGTTGGTGGAGCTTCTGCTCGGTGGCCAGCGAGGAGAGGCTGGTGTGCTGCTTCAGTTGCGACTCCTTGATCATGTCCTGGATAAGCTCATCCAGATGCTCGTCCTGCACGGCCTGCTTGCTCAACAGGCAGCCACACACCTGCGGCACTTGCCACAGAGTACGGACCTCGTGCAGCAGCCTTCCCAGCACGTTTAGGGCATCCCCGGCTATGATCTGAGTTAGCATCAGCTCGGTAAGGGCGTGCTCTTGGGGACCACCTGGATCGGTGCAGAGCAACCAGTGGTACTCGTCACACCCCTTCTGCAATGCCGTTTCCACGCGCCGCAACCGCTGTCCCTCCTTCCGATCTTTGAAGCAGTCCAGGCACACTCCGAAGCCGCACTTTCGACAGGTCCAGTGATAGTTAAAGAGAGTGGTGTCGCAGACATCGCAGATCTCACGGATGCCCTGCACGGCCTTCTTCCAGGCGATGGTGTCGTCGGGGTTCTGGTGGAGACGCAGTGCCTCCGCTTCCTGACGCCACAGATAGCAGAACTGGTCGCCAGCGTGGAGCAGGATGTACCGGCAGACCTGAATGTCCATGTAGCCACTGGTGGGGGCAGTCTTTCCGTCCGGCTGCCAAATGGCGTAGTCCTCCGGGGTGGGCTCGCTGTAGGGATTCGGGAATCCAGCCACGTTCAACTCTCCCTTGTCGTTGTACTGCAATCGCCTAAATTCATAAAACCGACAGTAGACGTCGTTGCCGGAGCTAGTATCGGCATCCTCCGCGGAGGACGCACTCCTCTTGCGACACTCCCGGCACTTGGGAATCGGAGCAGACCCAGCCTCGGCAGTGGTTTGACGCAACTTGAAGCAGGGCAAGTCCTGCAGAAAGATGGAGCAGTTGGACCGGAACTCATTGTGACGCTGCTCCTCCTCCTCGGTCAGCTGGACCACCGGGCATGGCTCCTCGTTTTCTTCCACCTCTGGAGCTGTCTTTTCCACTTCTCCACTCGCGTTTCCCGCTTCACTGCATGTTCTCTTGGGTGCAGGGTCGTTGGATATGTGTATCTCAATGATGGATTTCGGTTCGGAGCGAACGGAAGGACTCGAATTGGTGGAAGGGACAGTGCGCTTACGGCTGGTTCTGGTGGAGACCAGGGCCGCTAGTTCTTTTTGTGACATGTTCGGCGGTGTGGTCTTCAGAGAGGACGAGAGAAAAGAAAACAGAGATGTGGTTTACGTCAGAGGAGGATACGTCAACGGCCGGCCTGGTAATGCTTCCCATGAGGAGGTGCCTGCTGCTGCTCCATGCTCCCGCTCTTGATGCTGAATCGCCATAACAGATTATATAGTTTTGCACTTTACGACCGGGTTCTCTTAAGTTACCGGATTGTTTTGTTTACTATTTTTTTTATTTTTTTTTTAGACACTCGGATAGCCTGTAATGTGGCGAACAACTTTCATTGGCTTTCTTCTTCAATCCACATGCACATTTTGGGGGATAGAGCAGAGCTTCAAGAGAATACAGCGCAACTACTCACTGCCTCCACATTACCAGGCACAGAAGTACTTAAGAGCTAACTTAAAAGATAGGTTCTTTGCACCAAAAGAAGATAAATTATAAAAGAAAGCTATTTTTGGATAAATCCTAAGTTATTTTTGTTTTAATCTGAGGTTTCCATAAATAGAAACTTGAAAAAAATTTTTATGACAAATTTATGAATAATCGTTTTATTAAATGAATTTTAAAGCTAAAGAAAGCATTGCTTATTTAAGAAGTATATTAACCCCCATAAGAAGATATTGGGATGATGTAGTTGCTGTTGAATCCAAACTAAGATAAAAATGTAGTCAGAACAAGTACATGTTGAGAGCCTAATATGGGCGTATTGTTCCAAAAACTGATAGCATGACGGAGAATACATACTTTTGAAGAGCGCGCTAAGTGCTGTCGGTAATTTTTGTTGCCAAAGTGATAATCTAATGGCAGCAGCCTAGATAAACGACTTTAAAGCCTTATCTGCTGCGATAGCCCGCGTTTCTGGTTCAGGCCCGAAGATCTGGGGCAACAAGTGTCATCAGCCTCGTGCTGGCCCGTCCGGCGGTTTGGGCCAAAACACGAACCGCAGGAAAATGCAAAGGCTGGATAATTGAAGCGACACCGAGAATTAACCCCTGACTGGCTCGGCTGGCTTGGAAAAGCAAAAGCAACAACGGCTGCACACAGAAACCCACAAACAGGCAGACTTGTTTGTGTTTTTGGGCGTTCACCGCTCAGCCGCCAGAGGTCTTACGAAATGCGGGACGAGAGAGAACTGAGAAAAACACACGAAAAGATACTGAGGAAAAACCCTACAAGCGACCGACCAGGGCAGTAGTGGCCCCACCGTGCCCCACCCCACCCCCTGGGTTAAATTGATCAATCAATTCACTGGCTTTCGCGACCTTTTAATTTAGTGAAGACCTGTGCTTTATATAACACTAGTACAGCCAATAAACAGTGTAATTTAACGAACGAAGACTTGTGCTTCAAATCGAGCCAAAAACCCTCTGATAACGCCGACGCCGAAAGCTGGCACTGCGCTGCTGCAGCACGGCAACACTGCCCTGTTACTACATCGCTCCACAAAATTCTTGTTTTTTGTTTCTTCTTTTCAATGGGTTTGTTTTCGCCTGCCTGCTGAAAATATTATCTTCTGTATTCCTCTGTGATAAATGCATAGTTATTAAGCGCTGGGCGGTGCAGGGAATGCACTCTGTGGCTGCAATTCGGAACGATGCCTTTGTCGCGATTTTTATCAATTTAAATTTGTGTACTGAATGCCACAAACACCACTGCAACACTCACAGAGGCCCATGCACACACCCACACAAAAACTTGGCGTTCCTGCATAGATAGAACCAGCAGGAAACTTTTTAGCTGCCACTTTTAACACTTTTTTGGCCATTAGCGACTTACATTTTCTTATTGCATGTTGTGTAATCGCTCGGTAGTCACTTTTCTTATTCTCGACCCGTGAAATTTTAAATAGTTTTACGAAAAATTCGATTTTTCATTAGCACGAAGCGCACAACTCTCACACTAGCACCAGTGTGACCATTCCTCGAAGTGGTTGGAAAACCATTAAACATTTTAAAATGTTCTCGTTTTTTAACGATAATTTTAAAAATTTTTAAATTTTCCTCAACCCGACCATTATTTAAAAAATTATACATTTATTTATTTTATTATTTTACCAATAATAATATTAGGTAATTTTAATAATTACTCCCAATCACCACTTCCCCCAAAAGTCCAAATATGATAAATGTTTGTAGATTCAAAAAGATGCTTTTCATTTAAGAAGTAGACTTAATGTTTTGTGGCTTTAAAGTATTTTAAAAAAGGCTGCTTAAAATTTAAATAAAATATTTAACAGAAAGATTTCAAATTCCACAATATAATTATAAGACCATACCTATTATTTATGGAAATTGGTCACACTTCCATCCAGCTGCTGTGTCGAAAAAATGTCTTCGACTTTAATAAAATGCCTTAATTTGGCAAAATCTGTGAGAACAGCGACGGTAAAGAGCTTCCTGGCAGCCCCGAAGCCACAATGGCAGGTGTGGAGGTAGGTCTTCACAAGCAAAACCGTCTTCTTCCGCTTCCTTTCTTAACTTTACCATTTTGTTTTTATATAATGAGTAGTGCGGCCGCTCTTCAAACGCCGCATGCTCAAATGCACACATCTCCCCCACGAATGGATCTTATGGAGTTCTTTGATGACAAGAAGCACTGGAGCGAAAACGAGGTGAAGGTGGGACGCGCCTGGCGGGCCGAAGAGCTCCGAATCAAGTCTAACAAGGAGCTCCACCAGCTATGGTTCGTCCTACTGAAGGAGCGCAACATGCTGCTAACCATGGAACATGAGTGCAACGAGCAAATGGAGATCTTTCCCAGTCCGGAGCGCATCGATAAGGTTGCATTAAACTAAATCTTTAAAAGTCTCTTGCTAATCCTTTGACTTATAGGTAAAAATCTCCATGAAAAACCTCGAGACAGTTGTGCGAGAGCGCAACAAGGCGTACCACCTGCTGGAGACGGGTGAGACAGGTGAGCGGCCCCAGCGGCCAGTCCAGAATGCATTTGGCCTTCAGGTCAATTACAAAAGCTGTGAGCATGTGCTGCCTCCTTTTATGAACCTGAAATGGATCAAGTCCCGCAACATCGGCTTTGGCGGTAGGGCAGTGAACCGGTTCCTATTGAAGTACAGGGAGCAACTTTACAACGCCAAGCGCAAGGCGAAGAAGTGAGATTAGAATACTTTTTTAAAACTCATAACACCAATTAATACCATTTTCCATTTTAGTCGCTCCCGCAACGAGGTCATGATGATCCTGCGTCGGAATCCCAACTTTGACCTGGAGGTGCTTCGTCGCAAGTTTCCCGATGTCAACATCGACAAGCTGCGTAACGATGATAAGACCCGAGGCCACTTTGTGCCAAAGGTTGACAGTTAGGCCAGTTATTTAGTTATTAAAACCTTAAAATTGAATCCAATTCTTTATTCGTCAAACTTAATCTTAGTGCCCTGGAAAGCAGCTATTTTAGGCTTCCACTTTTGCTTAGCAACCCAGGAAGGATGCATGCCTTCTGTGGAAGCTGGGGTGGGAGCTCCTTGAATGGGAGCGGGAGCACTCGTTTCGGCCGTTTCTCCATTCTCGCTGAACTTGATCTTTTTACCTTTGAAATCTCCGATAACTGGTTTTTTCTGTTGCTTAGCTAGCCAGGAAGGATGACGATCGTCCGTTTTCTTTGGCCTGAACTCAGTATGGCTTTCAGAATATCTTTTTTGGTAGGTAGATCTGTTATCTTCGTTCCTAAACTTGTTAATGGAAGGCGCAGGCTTATCGTCAGCTTCAGTGTCATTGTTCTCATCAAGAACCACCGCGGTGGACATATACGGCTGACCAGATTCCGTGATGAAAAATGGATCCACTACGTGAGTGGGTCGATCCTTCTGAGGCTTTGGTTCGTCTTCTTCGCTTCGGTTAGTTTCTCGTCGAGGACGCTTTTCAGCATTGTAATCCCGAGGACGCTTTTCGTCATTGTGATCTCGATCATTGTGTTTTTTATCGGCTGGATTTTTCTGGGGCTTCTCTGCAAGATTTCTTTCTTTCTTTTCCTTTATCGGTTTTCTTTCCTTCTTGTCCTTTATCTGTTTTCTTTCTATCTTTTCCTTCCTCTGTTTTATTTCTTTCGGTTCTTTCTTCGGTATAACTTTAGATTTTTCCGGTTCTACTTCTGTTGTTAAGGCTGGTTCTGGCTTGACTTCAGGAGCCACAGGTACGTCTACCTCTAAGCTGGCTCCATTTTGCGCTTTATTTTGCTCTAGCCACTCCAGTCTGTTTTTGGTCTGAGCTTTCTGCTCCTTCAGCTCTTTTCGCTTGCGCTTTTTCTCTTCAGTGCGTTCTTGCTTTACCCTCCGCTTGCTAGACTCTAGGATTTCCTCTCGCCACTTCGCATCCTTGTCACTCTTTAGCTCAAGAGCATCCATAAACTTATCCACCAGACCGTGCATGAGTTTGTTTAGCCGCAGCATGGCGATTCCAAGCTCGTCTGGAGTTGACCGCTCGCTGGCAATGACCGTATTAGGATTGGTTCCTTCCTGAAGCAGAGATTGTCGGACAATATCAAGGCACTTGAGTGCTTTCAGCTGGGCCAGGCACTCTGTGTTTTTTCGTAGACGAGTTTTTTCCTTTTCGCCATCTGGATGTTTAGCCAAAGCATCTTTTGCCTTTCTTAACTTTTGAATGAGCTTGGCAATGGTTTGTGCCCGCGCTTTCTGAATCACCTTTTTGTTGGTTATTACCTGAAAAACGTATATGTTAGCAATGATGAGCAATCAGTGTTTATTTTGAATTATTTACCAAATTATTGAATTTCAATCGGTCCAGCATGTTTTTCAAAGTTTGTGTTGGAAAACGATTAAAATTAGTCTATCAGTGTTGAAAATCACTTTAAAATAAAATACCAAAAAATTGAGACATAGGCGGTTCAAAATCAAAGTTTTAAATTTTTAATGAGTATACAAAGATAATAATTTACATAATAATTCATTTATATTGTTAGCAAGTAATAATTTGTTATAGTTTTATGAAAATATTTTAAGAAGGTCCTTTTGTATTTACTTGTCTACAACATTTGTAAATTCTGTGGAGCACTTAACAAATTTTTAACACATTTTTATATCTGTTCTGAGGATTAAACAGTATCAATATTATTTAACCATGCCAATGCTAAAATTAATTTTTTTAATATTCAAACTTATCTAATGATAAGACCTGCCAACTATATTTCTTGAGTAATGCTACCAGACATTAGTCCAGATATCTGGCAACTACTCCCGCGAAGCCAAAATGGCGACACCACAGTGATGAAGAAGAAGCAGCAGCAGAAATATTATTCACGAATTTATTGTTTTTCTTAGGTGGCAATTAATATTGCAAACTATTAACTTGGCGCCGCGTACCTGCTCGCTGTCACAGCCGTTTAATCGAAAATCGCGAACGCTAAACGTGCCGTTACTGTGCTGCACAGAGAGCGCAGAAAAATAGGAGCGGTGCGGAAAAACAAGGAGGAGCTAGCTGAGAGGCAGCAACAAAGAAGGTCCGGCGACAAAAAAAAAGTTGTAAATAATGCTTGCAAATCGACAGAACTAAACTAAATCAATAACTAAAGTGCCGACAGTTCATAAGGGAGTGGTGATTAAGCTAAGACCCCGCAAAACATTTAATACTTTAGTTTGAGTCATTGATCTCTTTTTGTGTGCGTATGTGCGTGTGCATACCATGTGTGTGTGTGACTATGCATCCGAAGTGACTCAGTGACGTGCATTTATTCCTGCATAATTATGCCTTTAATTCATTTTAATCAATCTTAATTAATAATTTACTTCACTTGCAGCCCAGACACACGCACGCTCACTCACAAGCCCCAACACAGATACAGATACAGACCCGGAGAGAGGCTGCAGCTGCGGGCGCTCGTATAAGAGAAGAACCGATCTCATACCGCGGAATAACGATCCGAGAGACAACGACTACGGCCAATCGAAAACGGACGCCAAATGACGGAATACAAACTGGTTGTGGTTGGTGCCGGCGGTGTGGGCAAATCGGCACTAACCATCCAGCTAATTCAGAACCATTTCGTGGACGAGTACGACCCCACCATCGAGGATTCATATCGCAAGCAAGTGGTTATAGGTGGGTAATCTTGATTACTTACTCCAAATGGCCGTTTTAATCAAATGTTTTTTGAAGATGGAGAGACATGTCTGCTGGATATCCTGGACACCGCTGGCCAAGAAGAGTACTCGGCTATGCGGGATCAGTACATGCGCACCGGTGAGGGCTTCCTACTCGTATTCGCCGTGAACAGTGCCAAGTCCTTTGAGGACATTGGTACCTATCGCGAGCAGATAAAGAGGGTTAAGGATGCTGAGGAGGTGCCCATGGTGCTGGTGGGCAACAAATGTGATCTGGCCTCTTGGAACGTAAACAACGAACAGGCAAGAGAGGTAAAGTTCAAACCTAAGACAATTTCTCCGGTTTTGTTTTATAACAATTTTGAATCCTAGGTGGCCAAACAATATGGCATTCCATATATTGAGACATCAGCGAAGACGCGCATGGGCGTGGACGACGCATTTTACACATTGGTGCGCGAAATCCGCAAGGATAAGGACAACAAGGGTCGGAGGGGCCGGAAAATGAACAAGCCGAATCGTAGATTTAAATGTAAAATGCTCTAAACAGGCGCGCGTTGGTTTTTATTCACTTTTTATTTCTTCAAATGTCGCCGGTTTGTCTGTATGTGTGACGGTGGAGTGACGGATCCAAGGATCGCGTCGTCATATAGTTTACCCACTATTGGACACTCTTGTCCAAGAACACATGGATGGCGAGGCACACACACAACACACACACATGTGGACGCGCGTTAGTTGGTGCAATTGTCAGATAAAAAGAAGGAAATTGTAATTAATTTAAGTAACTAGAGTTTTATGTACGTCAAAATGATTTTGTGAAGTGTGTTTTGTGTCGTTTGGAAGGCTGCGTGGCGCCCTTTTAAGAGTATTAACAATAGCAAACAAAAAACAAAAACAAAAAAAAGAACGAAGAAGGAAAAGTTGAAAGAGATATGTACCTCTACATATGAACTATGTATGAATACTGTTGTAACTGCCTTGATTCAGCTGCTATAACCATTTGTTTTCAACCGGCACAACTCGATTCAATGATGATTGTATATTAAAGGATAATTTAATCTATGCTTAACCCCGATATACGATGAAAATGTAAAACCAATGTAAAACTCGTTTTGTGAATTTCTAGGCATCTATCATCGAATGGTTTTAGCGCGTTTTATGTTCCCCATCATTCAAATTATTTCCCCTATACCCCCGCACAGACACGAGCATAATTAGTATTCACCCTTAAAAGAAAAACAAAGCCGATAAGCATTCAAAATTGTCGCACAAAATCGCAAACTTTGTTTGCCCAGTTTAGATTTATGTATATTCGGCTAGACACAATTACGGGGTGCTATAAAAAGTTTAATTCGCATGATTTTTCGAGTCATGCTTATCTTTCTACTCATCATTACTGACAGATCAATCAGAAAGAAACCAGCAGCCAATTAAATTTACATTATAGTTTGCTTTAAGCTTTTTATACATACATACATTTAATATTTAATTTTTTGTATTAATTTTTTGCCATACAAAAAGGAATGAAATAAATCGATTGTGTGTACTATTTAATTAATAGAGTTTTTGCTTTTGTGGAGCTTCATTTTTTAAAGGCTGGTAAATTTTAGTGGGATTATTTAATTAATCTTATCTGAATCTTAATCAATAAGTTCTCTCTAGAGAATAGACTCTACTCTTATATAGCGAAATAATAGAATTTCAAAATGATTATTTTTTTGAGTGAAGGAATATTATTTTATTCCAAATCCCGATAAAAACGAAAATATTTTAATAACGAGTCGACTATCGTAAAAATGGCTGCTGAGCGTGCCCTGTTATCGAAAAAAGCCGTGAACGATAGGTAGTTTTTCTCCCACCTCTAGACTGCCCAAGCTGTGCGAAAAATCTCCTTCATTCTAGTAATTGATTGTCGGTTTTGTGTTTTAATAAAAAGGTTTTTCTATTGAAAATTACATAATATCTACAGCGCACGTAGAGAAAAACCACTTGCATTTAGCCTACCCATCAGATTAAAGGTAAGTTTTGACAATAAAGAACTAAAAGCGCAGAAATGAGAACGGGCGGTGCTGCATGCAGTCGCCATTTTGTTTTCGCGGAAAAATGTGTACTAGTCTCCCAATTTTCTTTGTTTTGTAGCCGGCTTTAAGCATGGATGCGGGTAACGCTGTTGAAATCCGTGAGAAGGAGCGTGACCGCCGCGGGCGTGGTGCTCGTGGGTCCCGCTTCTCGGACGCCGATGGAAATGGAAGCAATGCCGGCAACAATGGAGGTGGTGGTGCAGGGGGCAACATCCGAGACCGAAGCCGGGAGCGTCGCAACTGCCGGGTGTACATCTCCAACATCCCGTACGACTACCGCTGGCAGGATTTGAAGGACCTGTTCCGACGCATCGTCGGCTCCATCGAGTATGTGCAGCTCTTCCATGACGAAAGTGGCAAGGCACGCGGCTGCGGCATCGTCGAGTTCAAAGACCCCGAGAACGTTCAGAAGGCCATGGAGAAGATGAACCGCTACGAGGTCAATGGCCGTGAGCTGGTGGTGAAGGAGGATCATGGAGAGCAACGCGATCAATATGGACGAATTGTACGCGATGGTGCCGGCGGCGGCGGTGGTGGCGGAAATGGAGGCGGTGGTGGCGGAAATGGAGGTGGTGGTGGCGGCGGCGGCGGTGGTGGTGGCGGTGGCCGCGACCACTTGGATGACCGTGACCGAGGATTCTCTCGTCGCGACGACGACAGAATGTGAGTATCCTTGTTTGTTACACCTACATACATGAACTATGTATTTTTCTTGGTATTCTTGAGCGGAAAAGCAGAGTCGTAGCAGGTAGAGCTTTATACAACTTCAGTCCACAAATACAATCTACAGAAGCATCTCGCATTTATTTAAATTTATTAGCTTTCTTGGCTTGTAGTCCTATTTCTTTGTATCGTCGCCAACAATTTGAATTTTGAATTTTATCTGATTATTTACCGATGCGGTTGTATGTATATATTATGAAGAGTTAGTTTTTCCAAAAGTTCTCTTTTTTTTTTGTTTGGAGGTTCTACTACTTTTTAGGAATATCTACATAGGTATTTTTGCTGAAAGCTATACTATTTATTGAGAGGGTTCTTGAAAGATTTAGGAAATTATCTCTACGTTCGCTACTGTTTTTACTAAAGGGGCCCATCCACAGGCGAGCATGTTCGTCAACATGCTCGCCTACTTGAATTTCATTTTCCCCACTAACTAGAGCCAAAATTCGTGCGAACATCATTTTTCGATCAATTTTTTCGAACATCATCGGCACTCTAATTGCACTTATGGCAATAAGTATTTGCCATAAATAATATTGCAAAATAATATTGCACTTTTTATTCATTTTTCTCTACCAAAACGTTTTTTCAAACTGACGTTCGTGCCAACATTGCCATCCATTGGCGAGCATGTTGTTGCAAACGTTGTCAAAATAGAACGATTTCAATTCCATTCGAACATTTTGACAAACACAAAATTTGACAACGAACACTACCATCCACAGGAAAAAGTTCGTCGAGCACAACATGTTCGCCGAACATGTTCGCCTGTGGATGGGCCCCTTAAATAGGATACTATATATCTTTTGTTATCAGAGAATGTTAATAGTGTTGCTATTCAGGAAATATTAGATTCTTTTAAGAGCGTTTTCAACTCATCACTTTTGAGCGAAAGAATTGGGCCTCGATTTTTGTAGAGCTTGGTTTTTGTGCAGCTGATGGATGTATAACTATAATTGTTATCTAAAATATGAAACATAAAAAGGGCTGTCGGCGAATTTGGTGGAACTCATGCTTCGACTGAGATAGCTTGGTAGTGTTTTGGAACGAGGATATTAGCTGAGTGCATACTTGCGAGGTGCTGTGAGGTGCAAGGAGGCTACGAACATAACGTCAAACTCGATCCTAGGTTGACATCTCGTATCGAATTTCGGAGCTAAAGTTACAGGAAAAGAAAAACAGACTATAAAGTTTTTAAAAGCCGTTTGGAAGCAGTTTTTAACAAAAGGTATCCAACAGAAACACGAATGTATGTAGGTCCTGCGGCTCACGAGACATCTCCCTCTGTCGTAGATGATGATTACCAGCTCTGCTTTTTGTTATCTCTTTTTGGATGTTTGGCTTCTCTTTTTCTAGATCTGGGCGTAATAATTTTAACATGATGTCAAATGATTATAATAATTCGTCGAATTACAATTTGTATGGGCTTTCTGCTTCGTTTTTGGAGAGTCTTGGCATAAGTGGACCTTTGCATAATAAGGTTTTTGTTGCTAATGTGAGTATATTGCTTTTTAAAACTCCAATTATTCTATGTATAGTATTCAAATGGACTGGACTCTGGAGCTAACAAAACTATAATGCGTCAACTGCTGTGAATTTGTTGATAAACCTTTACTAAGGGGCCTCTGTTTCGTATTTATAACCCAAACAGATCATCACACCTTCTTTGAATATCTGTACTTCTTATGGAATTTTATAGGCAAACATCGTTTACTGAGACATAACACCGATTCCAGTTCTACAACAAGCTAAATGTCACTTAATAACTGAAGATTTTATTTGGTTTTTTATTGAAATTGTCCCGCCATTTTAAGGACAACGATTTTGGGTCTGCTTTACTTCCTCCAAGTGACTTGTGTTTGGCTGCTTCTTCAAATTCAAGACAGGGCCAAACTAAATATGATTTCTTGATTCAAAACCTTTATTTGTGTGGAACCGAGCCAACCGATGTCGTCTGCATGAGCAATGCCTGGGACCCATTCTCCAGATGGTTTGGTTGTCGTCTCTTAATCCCCTACACTCCTCGAAAAATGGGTTATAAATATGAAGCAGTCGCGGCTTTGGGCCACTCGATCCAAGCGTCGGCGTCGTCTTGGGCTAATTGCAATTGGTTTTTGGTCTCCTAAGATTCTCCATCGATCCATCGCCATTATAGCTTAGCAGCATGGTTTTGTCAAAGACAGCGGTCCGAATCAGCATGGTCACCTTTGCCAACCATTTCAGTGGCTCAGCTCAGTCCTTTATATTTCGTTTTTCTAACTGCTTCTGATTTGGCACTCCCTTCAGCTGGACTACAAGGTGGACAACAAGAAGCTCAAGCAGGTGTTCAAGCTGGCCGGCAAGGTTCAGAGCGTAGACCTATCGTTGGACAAGGAAGGAAACAGCCGTGGCTTCGCCGTGATCGAGTACGATCATCCCGTGGAGGCCGTGCAGGCCATATCCATGCTGGATCGACAGATGCTCTTTGACCGTCGCATGACCGTGCGTCTGGATCGCATCCCGGACAAGGGCGAGGGCGTCAAGCTGCCGGAAGGCTTGGGAGGAGTCGGCATCGGCCTGGGACCCAACGGTGAGCCGCTGAAGGACGTGGCCCACAACCTGCCGAATGGCGGCCAGAACCAAAACCAGCTGCTGGGCAACGTGCAGCAGAGCGGCCAGCTCGGAGCAGTACCTTCTGGCCAGGGAGGCGGCGTCGGTGTTGCAACTGCCAGCAACCTTCTGAACAATCTGACCGGAGTGATGTTTGGTAACCACGCAGCTGTCCAGCCATCGCCAGTAGCTCCAGTGCAGAAGCCCAACAACTCCGGCACCGGCGGACTCAACTTGAACAACCTTAACCCAAGTCTGCTGGCCGCTGTGGTCGGCAATCTTGGCAGCCAGGGAGCCAACTTGTCCAACCCGTTGCTCACCTCGTCGCTCAACAACCTTGGCCTCAACTTGGGCAACTCGGGCGGCAACGATGACGCCCTGACCGCCAGCAATGTCGGCTTATCCAACAACTACAGCAGCGGCGGCAGCGGTGGTGGCAACAACTACAGCTCCGGAGGCAACAACTACAGTGGTGGCGGCGTCTCTGGCGGAAATGTGGGATACAATGCCTACAGCAGCTCCGGTGGTGTCGGCGGCGGCAACGGCGGTGGGGATGGCAACGACTACAATTCTGGCAACCAATTGGACATGTTTGGAGGCAACAACGTTGGCAACGCAAATGTCGGAGCTGGAAACTCGGGAGGAGGAGTTCGCAAGTCGGACACCATCATCATTAAGAACGTCCCGATGAGCTGCACCTGGCAGACATTGCGCGACAAGTTCCGTGAGATCGGAGACGTGAAGTTCGCTGAGATTCGCGGCAACGACGTGGGAGTGGTCCGTTTCTTCAAGGAGCGAGATGCAGAGCTGGCCATAGGTGGGTACTCTCTGACAAGTTATCATTATTAGCTTACTAATTGTCCTTTTTTTCGCAGCTATTATGGATGGCTCTCGACTGGACGGTCGCAACATTAAAGTAACATATTTTTAAGTTATACAATTAGACACCAACATCATTATTATCATCATCATCATCGGTGGGGTCCAATGGAGATGAAAAAATGACATCAATCCTTACTTCCTGTCAGTGTCATACTTGGCATCCCACCAACGCGAACTCATTTTACCAAAAGCGCCACACGATTGTAATATTTTTATAATTAAACCCCATATTAATATATGTAATATGATTGACTTTCAAAAGAATCCAACCGAACCCAACCAATCCCCAGACGCAATTCATGTTATTTTTAAGTCATTGAATTAAAGCCGATCTAAGAAATATATAGAATCCAAAATACACCAGGGCTTTAATGGTGAAATGTGGTTTATTGGGTTTGTTCTTAATTACTTGTTCTTAATTGGTAAATGTATAAATGTGTTTATAAATGTGCACAATCCAATCCTAAGCAGATAAAATTTTACAATCCAGTGTTATGAAGGTAGGGATCCTTCCATACAATCCTACGAAGATACAATATTACAATCCAATCAAATTTTCAAATGTGGGTGATCTTATTTGGTGGCGGCTGCAGGGGCTTCCGGCGTAGTCTTGAACCTTTCCAGGCGAGCGCGAGCCTTTTCGGACCATACGTCCTTCGAGTCGGCCGGCTTATTTTTCTCGGTTGCCGGATCGGCCGGCGCAGCTTTGCCTGCGGCTTCAAAGCGCTCTTTTCGCTTTTGCAAGCGCTCCTCGGCCAGCGTTTTGGGTGCCTTTTCCGGCACAACGTTTCCGAAGCGTTCGGCGCGCCTCTTTAGAGCTTCTTTTTGCTGTTCGTCCGTCTCCTTGTTGCCCTTGTTGTCGGTAATGGAGGCGCTGGAGGATTTGTTAACTGCAGTTGCAGCTGCAGCAGGCGATGCTGCGGCAGTTGGGGTAATCCCAAACTTCTTGGCGCGCAGTTCCAGACGTTCCTGGGGGGTCAGTTCACTGAGTTTCTTGTCAACCGAGGGTTTAACGCCCTCGGGTCTGTTGCCCACAACGATGGGCTTATGCTTCTTGACAGGAGTCGCCTCAGTTGAATCACTGGCAGCAGAAGCATCACTGGAAGGTACTGCATTCTCCTTGGCTGTGGTGCTCCCCGCGGTGGCAACGACACCCACAGACTGTTGCGAGTTGTTTCGCTTGAGCACCACCTTCTTCGCCGAAAGACACGCAGCCACGGGAGCTGCCGCAGAATCCGTCGGCTTATCGTCTGCCAACAAATCTGGCACCGCAACAGTCGTGGGCGTGGTAACCGGACTCTTTAGTAGCTCTTCCTCCTCGTTCTCGTCTGCCAGAAGCTTGTGCTCATCCTCGTCAGTTAGGGACACATCGTCATCTATGGCGTCCGCTATTGCACTGTCCTCCAGTGAAATGTCGCCTTCTAATAGCGCGGTCTGCAGGCGGTCTTGGAGCTCGTTCTTGTTTCCGTTGAGGGGCAACCCCCGAAGTTTTAGCTCTCGCTTTAGATCGGCCACCTACGGAAGGGAACGCGTGGCTTAATCGTACCATCGACTTCTTATTGTTTTTGAGACCCACCTTCATTTTAGTTACGTCGCTTTCAGGCATTTTTTCAGAGAATGTTTTGTATTTTCTAGCAACGAGCGACTTTAGTTCAGAGTGGACTAGATTAGAGGTGATGAGACGTCTATGGCAACATTGATTAATCGATATTTTTTGTCTTCAACGCATAACACATCTTTGGAACCAGTTGACTCAAAATCATCGATATCAATCAATTTGAGTACTTCGATACGATTAGTCTGTCAGCTATCGATAGTATGCTACCCAAACTAAATCTAAACCTTTTTGTAGCTGGAAATTATGAATGAAACATAAAGTAAAACAGAAGCACTATATAGATTTAAGTAAAAAAAGATGTTAATAAGGACAACAGAAAAGGCGTTGAAAATATCTCAAAAAGAAATGTACAAAATGGACGAAAATTAAAAAAAAAATTAAATGTTTCATTAGGAAACCAAGTACTGTTATTGGTGTATAATTCAAAATTTTTTAGTATCCAGATAGAAATTTTCTTATATCACATATCTATACTGAAAAATATATAGAAGTTAATGATTCATACATATATTTCTTGAGCCCATAGAAAAAGAAGACACGGTAAATCAATAAATCTACAGTGAGGTTTTAAAATTTTTCGGATTTTTTTTAAGAAACTTTTTTGTAATACATTCATACATATATACTCACTAGTAAATTGTACCATGATACAATTATATTATTAATTGTATCATGAATTGTACAAAATAATTGAAAAGGACTTGTTCAAGAATGAAAAAATGATAAGGTATAAAAATGGTGAGGTTGTGAAAGAAAATCTGATATATCTAAATAGGGGAAAGAAATTACACACTAGCACAGCAATTACAAACCATAAAACATATTTGAACTGGGTCCCCGTCTAGCTCTGCTTGATTGTTATTGGATCTAGCCATATTTGTTTTTGTCACTCCAGCTCTCACCCTTATAATAGCCGTTGCAGACCCCGTACACCAGATAAGATATAATATATGAGTGCTGTTCAGAAATAGCACCCGTTCATTCCGCACCCCCGCCCAAACCGGAAACGGGAAATGGAAACGCAATGCAATATTATCTTTTGTCGCCTGCTCCTTGTGCTATTCTTATTCGCCTCTCCTCTCGGCAAATTTGATTCTTTATCGTCTTTAAAGAGCACTACGCCCCCGACCTTGGGAGCAGCGCAATTTTCTCAACCGGATTGGATTTATTTCAAGTACTCCTTGCGTTCTGCACCTGCTTCAACGTACTTAAGGCGTCTCTTTCGTGGGCCCACAATCTCTTTCCATATAGACACACATGTTGCTCATCTGCTGTGATGAGCCAGTAGCTGTCCCTAATTGGAACGGCTGCATACTCATATTTATTAATAATTTTCTTTCATTTCCCTTTGCTCTGACCGCCCGTCAGGGAGGTCGAAGCCTTTATCACTTGACCTTTCTTCCTTTTAAAGAGCGCCATGCCCAGTGCATGGCTGGTTCTAATTAATGTAATGCTCCATCAACGTGTCGTCTAATTGAACTCATTTACAGCTGTGCCACATACTCGCAACATTTTTGGACATAGCTTTTTGCCCCATAAGGCGGTATAAGGTTTAATTACCGTTACAATGGCAAAACGTAAGCTCGGGCTTGAAAACACGCACTGGCTAATGTCGTTGATTAATTGCCCTTGGTTCAGATATTATTTTGGAGTTAAAGTGTGGGGAAGTGTGGATTTAAAAACTACAATAGATTTAACGCAGTAGTTTTTGGTAAATTTAAATATTTTTCGAAATATTTTAAATACAAGATTATATTAAACTTGTCAAGTAAATAAATCTCATTCGACTGTTGTAACCACAAATTACTTATTAAATTAGCTATAGAAAATTCTCAATATATTTATTTTATTGTGGTTTAGAGATATTAACAGTCATTAAACAAGAAATGGGAATTTCATAATCTTTGTTTAAATTTTTTACGTTACTTAATAAGGGAAAAGCCACAAATGTATTTTTAAAAAAGTATCTCATCATTAATGCATAATAAACGGTACAACTTATCTTTTTTCATATTAATTATGAGTTTGTTTTAACTCTTAAGTAAAAAATAGAATATTTCCGAGAAAAGTAAATTTAAAATATAAACGTATGGTCTTTTCGCCTAATCTATTACTTAGTATCTTTTTATTGCAACCAATTTCGCTGTAGGTGAGCATTAAAGTTCCATGTAGAAAAAATGCTTATGAAAGTTACTCCTTATCAAAAGGCAATCCAATCTTGGAGCAGCTGATAAAACGAAAGCCCAATCGGGGATTCAGAGAGAGAGTATCTCTCGGATACTCTCGCCCAACTACTCTCAGATACACGAACGGCTCGGGCTCGTCGGCGCTGGTGCAGCTGTTTGAGGTTGTTTAGTTGCCTGACGACATCCAAAACGATCGGTTCGTTTAAGCCAACCGGGTTTTTAACGTGTAATCTCTGCCACTCAGCGATCAATTCGCACGTCATCGGCCAGACGTGTCGTTCGATTGGCTATTGCGAAAACCAGGAGTACGGGAGTATCTATAAGTACGTGCCAGTGCAAAGTTAAACCGCATACGAAACTACACAAGTTTGCCCCAAAATGCAGCTACAATAGATTAATAAATAAACCGATATAATAGAATTAACACCCAATGACCTTGCGCTCTCCGCCGTGCGTCGGTGTTGGGGGCTTACTGAGTGTGTGTGCGCCACCGAGTGATTATAATAACAAATACAAAAGAATTATCTTTGGTGTAAACATTGTTAGCATAGATCAGTGGAAAATGGCCAAGAAGACAGGGTAAACCCTTCAACCTGCCAGCCTGGTGGTGGTGAGGCTTCAAGATCGTTCTTTATCACCTGAGTCACTTTTGTATGGGACTCACGTCACCGCCCCCGCCCCCGCCCCCGCCCCCACCTCAGCCCCCCCTCGTCCAATGCCTGTGGCTCTGGAATGCCAAACAGCTACACTCTCTCTTTTGTTGTTCTCTCGTCTGCTGCTGCTGGCCAGGTCTCCTCTCGTCTGGCTGGTCTGTACTCCTTTATGGATCCGTTACCATGTTTGGTTGATCAACAATTATATGGTGGCAGGCCCATTTGGAGGTTGCCACAGGAAGCAGAGTACGTGAATTCCCAGCCAATCAGACATCCAATCACTAATCAATTCATTTTGACCTATAGGCTATATAGCATCATAAATATTACGCATTAACCTCAATTAATTTAGCTAATTGGGAGCGCGTGCCCTTGCAATCTATGTATTTCGATCCAATTGATTCTGGATTCGCTTTTTTCCCCTTTGTCCAGGTACTCATAGATTGCCATAGTTCTCCTTATCGCCGTTGCTCTTTCAAGTCCAATTCCCTATGTACATCGCCCTCACCGACATCTATCTTATCTAATCAGTTTATTAAATACGAAAACCCATGTGAGAAACCATAAAAACAACCCACACATTTAACCAAATTGTATGTGTATAATTTATTTTTGCAAAAAAGAAGAGGAATTGAATTAAACTTTTTTTTTTCTGGTGTGTTGGTTATATAGAAACTTGCCTATATACCTGTTTTAGAGTTCCATTCCAGTCTGGTTATTTCAGAAAGGTGTAGATTAGTTTTATTGATCTCGGACACTTTAGATCCATTCGATAGAATTGTTTCATAAATGCTATTTTCACTATCGTCTTGATAAAGGGAAAGTTTAGCCAACCGAAAGCTACAAAGTTTCTGGACTTACGCAAGATGCAAATAATCTCTTTCCTTGTCCCAGTTATCTGCAAAGTTTCAAGAAAAGTCTTAGGAACCACTGACGTCAATTAGGAATAAGTTTTACTTCGGTTTATTGTGTCATGCTACTTTTTTTTTATAGGCCTCTGGTTTTTTTTTGTCGTAAGCCAGGAATATTCATATACTATTTAACATATTGACTAATCGACAATACTCAGCTTACAACAGATTTATTTATGGACGATAATAAATGTAAATTATGTACACATATATGTACATATGTACATATGACGGAGGAGAACGCCTATGGAATTGATATTAAATAAGGCGCTGGCTGATAAGGCTACACAAAGACGGGATCTGAACTGAAGTAACCCAACCGAATTGCACATGAATCTCGTCTTTAGTGCCGATTAAGTCAAATAAAGCTCGAGACCTTTTCATCTTGGGAAATCGACGAGTGGAGTGTGAAATGTTGCAAGTCTTCCAAGAACGACGAGACCGTAATTTGATATGAAAAGTTTACAAGAGGCCAAGCCCCGCAACGAAAACAGCAGCACCAGATAACAAAGAGCTGGCCTGGGGGCTATGCATACAAGTAGTGCATGCGGACTTCATATTTCATAGCGAGTGCATTGAAAATAAGAGCAGCAATTATGTTTAAATAATTTATTGTGTGTATTAATTACAATGCTTATGTTTAGCCTAAGCCTTTGGGCTTTCTCCGCCTGATAAAGCGTTTCCGTTGCTATTTCCACTTCATGGATGAAAGAACCATATAAAATACAGGGTAACACCGGGGAGATTCGTACCAAAGGTCTATGGCTAATAGGTATTCCATCAAGAACACCTGTTCTCCAACCATCAAGTTTACATGTTGAAGTTTCCACTCATTCATGAGTTAATTCCAGGGAATTGCTTAATCAGCTGGTTATATAAATAGCCGATTTCGGTAGCAATGGGACTTAATGATTTGCACTCTTCTGTAGTCACTAAAACAGTTCCCAAAGCTGTTTGTTTATAATAATTTAAATTCAAGTCCAAAGAGGCCAAAACAAAAGGCAAATGTGCTGTTTATTTAGTTTTGTTGTTGCTCCTGGCCAAGTCTGTTGGTTCTGCTGTTTTTGGCGGTGGCTGTGGCTACCTAATAGCCGATTGTTCACTTTGTTTACCAATTTGGCCAAAAAAAAAAAACTCTATTTGTGGATATAAGTTGCCACTTTTCAGGCACGAACGAATCCGATTCAGTGATAGCGTCATTGTAGCAAAATTATCCAAAAATTTCATTGTACTTTTAGCTTTTATTTCATCAATCAAATGCGTACCAAAGATATCTGCAAAAAAGATTCCATCTTAATGGAAAATTCAGAATCACTTTAAAAGGCAATAGTGGGAGAACGTCACTTAACCCCATGTGAAGACCCTCGCATCAATGATTATACTTTATTGTGTCGACTTGTGGCATCAAAGTGCTTCCAGTCAAAGTTCAACATGTGTAGATCGCGTGCCAATAAAGCATTTTATGTTAATTACCCAACCAGGCGCTGTCTTAAACTGTCATATGTACATCTAAAATGTTTAGGGTTATTAGTAATAATATATATTGTTCTGCAAATCATAGGACTTAGTCCTGGTTCAAAGTGGTACAGGGTCATTGCCACCAAAATTTTAAACTTTTATGAATGCAACATCGAAACCGGTTTGGTTTTTCATATGAATTTTCACCTTTTTGTAAAGCTTAGATGCACTTTCTCGTTTCATGTAAACAAATCATGTGTGGGTCGGGTCTTAAGCCCTTCCCTGGACCCCGAGTATGAGTCATCCATTTAAATATGGTCTAGGTCTTCTATTAGAAGCTTCCACAACTCTTATTTGTAATTAAATAAGTTTTGCTTGTCTTTGTGCGAGATTCCATCAAGTGACAGCAATGAGTCATAAACCTCAAGCAAAAATTTCCTGGAATTGGTATGAGTTTTCTGCGTAAGGCACACCACAAGAATCTCCACTGATGACGGTGATACGTAACGGTGATCTCCTATATGTATGTAAATCGGGCAAAAGTCTTTTGATTTTGGTTATTGTGTTTTGTTTTGGTTGATTTGGAGGCTGGTTAATTTTGAGGGAAATCTAGTTTATGTTTTGGGTCAACTGGAAACCGACGAAACCAGTTTTAATTAAAAAGAAAAATTTATAACACGAATGCGGTTTTGTTTGTTAGCTTTTTTTGTCGCCGGACAGATGGTGAAAGTCTATTAGTTGGAGTCTGGCTTTTATTTAATTGTTATGTAAGCGTGGCCATAAAATCACTTGTGTTTCCATTAAAAGCCTCGAAGAATCAATTCCACCGAGGCTAACCTCGTAAAAGTTAAAAAATGTACTTGATTTTTTTCGTTAGAAGGCCAATTTGTTGGCTTCGATTAGATTAGACGGTTTGGAAGTTCAAGTCCAATATGTTGGTATTGTGACTTTTCTAAACAAATAAAAGGGGAAGTTTTGTCCTTATATAGCGATAGAAATAACTCTGCAAATTTGAAACAGAAATTATTGAACTTGTGGATAAATAAGCGAAAGGGGCAAGGCGCTGAGGTTTCCGGTTGCCACAGCCTCAGGATGAACGTGTGGGTGCGCCAAGATAAACACAGAGCAGCAACATCTGCCGCCAAATGGTGCAATCTCGGGACCGGGATAAAAAAAAAAACTGTCAAGCCAACAGCCAAAGTGACGCCTTTATTTTGCCCTCATTGCAGTTCCATAACAAAGACCTAATCGAAATGACGACGATGGCGAAGAGCAGTCCCCGCCCACTAAAAATAACAATTGTGGGCGATGGCATGGTCGGTAAGACCTGCCTCCTGATAACGTACACACAGAACGAGTTTCCACTGGAGTACATACCCACCGTTTTCGACAATCATGCCTGCAACATCTCCGTGGACGATAGGGAATACAATCTTACCCTGTGGGACACGGCCGGGCAAGAGGACTACGAAAGGCTACGACCATTAAGCTATCCAAATGTGAGTAAATTTAATAAAATCGAATCTATTTTATCAAGTCTAATGAAATCCGTTCTGTTGCCAGACAAACTGTTTCCTGTTGTGCTATTCCATCAGTAGTCGTACATCATTCGAGAATATCAAAAGCAAGTGGTGGCCGGAGATTCGTCACTTCTCCAACAATGTCCCGGTGGTCCTGGTGGGAACCAAACTAGATCTTCGCATCCCCAATTCCGAAAAGTTCGTGACCACGCAGGAGGGCAAACGGTTGCGCAAGGAGATCCACGCTTCCAGCCTGGTCGAGTGCTCCGCCAAGAAGAAAGAGAACCTCCAACATGTCTTTGAGGAGGCGGTGCGCGCTGTGGACAGGAAACCAAAACCGTCGCCATCGTGCACATTACTGTGAACTAAGTGTATCCCTATTGTTTAATATTGTTATTATGCGTAATGTATTATGTAACTAATTCTTCAGACTCTTTGTACTTTGTTTTCGCAAAACAAACACAATGTGTAAAAATTTACGATTAAGTTCTTATGATTTAAGTGCTCGTTGTGTGCAATTATTTTAACTTCCATGCAACCAAAGTGCACATCTATGTAAAAAGAAGAAAACAAAACAAATATAAAATGCAAAAATACATATTCAGAAAATATTACTTCATTGGGACTTGAATTACAGTGCATTTGAACAAACAAATATGTTTTGAAAGTATATTTTTATTAAAACTCTATTCGACACCGCTGTTCGTGTTTAAATTTGAATGAGACGTTAAATTTGAAGCGTTATACAGCACTACGGTCATTATCGATAAAATTTTAAATCGATAAATGGTACTGTCAGCTTAGAAAGAAAATTATTAAATAATAAGTTTTTAATGGTTAGAACAACAAAATAGTTTTAACAAATAAATATTCAAATTTATAGCTTGATAAATACAGAAAGTTAATTTTATTTATATCTGGCTATAAAAAAGCTGAATCCACAAACTGGTCATACCAAAACGAAGAACTAGGGATGCAGAAACATTGAATTTTGCAGACATCGATGATTTCGATATTTTCGGAAATAATAGGCAACCCTGTTCCAGCTGTCATTAAACCATTTGTTTGCGTGTTCAAACCGTAGAATTAAATCTCTTTTAGTGGCTTCAATTGGCAAATAAAAGCTCACCGAGCACGAAACATAGACTCGGACAGGACAAAATGATGCACACACTACTGCTCGTCGCTCTTGCGCTTGTCAGCTGCCTCTCCAGCGGAGCCGGTAAGTTTCGGCACAACGCGATAGACGCCGCGGCGGGATTATGTGGCCTTCTGTGATTGGCGACGCCGCTCCGGTTGTCCGCCCCCTTGGGGCCACTTATTGTAATCTGGCTTTAACGTTCCACTCTGTTTCTTATCTTCCAATCTCGTCCTGCAGCCAACCAGGCGAACGTGGTAACCTGTGGTTCCATTTTGAAGCTCCTTAACTCAGATTACGCCTTCCGGCTTCATTCGCACGATGTAAAGTACGGCTCCGGATCTGGACAGCAGTCGGTGACGGGCGTGGAGCAGAAAGAAGATGTGAACAGCCACTGGGTGGTGAAGGCGCAGACAGGGGAGCTGTGTGAACGTGGGGAGCCCATTAGTTGCGGCTCTACTATAAGACTCGAGCACCTGACCACCAAAAAGAACCTTCACTCGCACCACTTCTCATCGCCTCTGTCCGGCGAGCAGGAGGTGTCCGCATACGGTACCGATGGTCTCGGAGACACTGGCGACCACTGGGAGGTTGTGTGCTCAAATGACAAGTGGATGCGGGACGCCCATGTGCGACTGCGCCACATAGACACCAGCATGTACTTAGCTATGTCAGGCCGCTCCTACGGTCGTCCGATCTCCGGCCAAATGGAAATCGTAGGCGTTTACAAGCAACAACACGGCACGCGCTGGACCACGGCGGAGGGACTGTTCATCGTGCCAAAGGAAAAGAGTTCCACGCACGAAGAGTACAGCCACTCTGAGCTGTAGTTGGCAGGGCCCTAGGCTCTACGACTGCACCATTTCCGCCGCATCCTATTTTTAGTCCTTTAATATCTAATTTAGTTGAATTTTGTATGTGAAGCCAAAACACCGCGAGTTTATTTTGTATTAGACCAACAAAAAACAAATTAAAACTATTTAACTTCGATCAGGAAGGGATTATGTTTTTAAATCGTTGAGCTTAAATTTTCGTTTCAGATACTCCGCTTTAGAATCGGATGAGAATTGGGGAAGATAGAGCCACCACTGTGGGCCATATAAGGGAAAACTCCATTTTCAAGGGATCCCATCACGAAAAATGGACAAAAAATTGAAAAAATATTTTGTGTCAGGATTTTGATGCAGAATGGTGGAGAATCGATCCAGAAATCGTTTAAGATACTCCGCTTGGGAATCGGATGAGAATTGGGGAAGATAGAGCCACCACTGTGGGCCATATAAGGGGAAACTCCATTTTCAAGGGATCCCATCACGAAAAATGGACAAAAAATTGAAAAAATATTTTGTGTCAGGATTTTGATGCAGAATGGTGGAGAATCGATCCAGAAATCGTTTAAGATACTCCGCTTGGGAATCGGATGAGAATTGGGGAAGATAGAGTCACCACTGTGGGCCATATAAGGGAAAACTCCATTTTCAAGGGATCCCATCACGAAAAATGGACAAAAAATTGAAAAAATATTTTGTGTCAGGATTTTGATGCAGAATGGTGGAGAATCGATCCAGAAATCGTTTAAGATACTCCGCTTGGGAATCGGATGAGAATTGGGGAAGATATAGCCATCACTGTGGGCCATATAGGGAAAAACCCCATTTTCAAGGGATCCCATCACAAAAAATGGACAAAAAATCCAAAAAATATTTTGTGTCAGGATTTTGATGCAGAATGGTGGAGAATCGATCCAGAAATCGTTTAAGATACTCCGCTTGGGAATCGGATGAGAATTGGGACAGATATAGCCATCACTGTGGGCCATATAGGGAAAAACCCCATTTTCAAGGGATCCCATCACAAAAAATGGACAAAAAATTGAAAAAATATTTTGTGCCAGGACTTTGATGCAGAATGGTGGAGAATCGATCCAGAAATCGTTTAAGATACTCCACTTGGGAATCGCATGAGAATTGGGGAAGATATAGCCATCACTGTGGGCCATATAGGGAAAAACCCCATTTTCAAGGGATCCCATCACAAAAAATGGACAAAAAATTGAAAAAATATTTTGTGTCAGGATTTTGATGCAGAATGGTGGAGAATCGATCCAGAAATCGTTTAAGATACTCCGCTTGGGAATCGGATGAGAATTGGGACAGATATAGCCATCACTATGGGCCATATAGGGAAAAACCCCATTTTCAAGGGATCCCATCGCAAAAAATGGACAAAAAATTGAAAAAATATTTTGTGTCAGGATTTTGATGCAGAATGGTGGAGAATCGATCCAGAAATCGTTTAAGATACTCCGCTTGGGAATCGGATGAGAATTGGGGAAGATATAGCCACCAGTGTGGGCCATAAAAGGGGAAACTCCATTTTCAAGGGATCCCATCACGAAAAATGGACAAAAAATTGAAAAAATATTTTGTGTCAGGATTTTGATGCAGAATGGTGGAGAATCGATCCAGAAATCGTTTAAGATACTCCGCTTGAGAATCGGATGAGAATTGGGGAAGATATAGCCACCACTGTGGGCCATATAAAGGGAAACTCCATTTTCAAGGGATCCCATCACGAAAAATGGACAAAAAATTGAAAAAATATTTTGTGTCAGGATTTTGATGCAGAATGGTGGAGAATCGATCCAGAAATCGTTTAAGATACTCCGCTTGGGAATCGGATGAGAATTGGGACAGATATAGCCATCACTGTGGGCCATATAGGGAAAAACCCCATTTTCAAGGGATCCCATCACAAAAAATGGACAAAAAATTGAAAAAATATTTTGTGTCAGGATTTTGATGCAGAATGGTGGAGAATCGATCCAGAAATCGTTTAAGATACTCCGCTTGAGAATCGGATGAGAATTGGGGAATATATAGCCACCACTGTGGGCCATATAAGGAGAAACTCCATTTTCAAGATATCCCATCACAAAAAATGGACAAAAAATTGAAAAAATATTTTGTGTCAGGATTTTGATGCAGAATGGTGGAGAATCGATCCAGAAATCGTTTAAGATACTCCGCTTGGCAATCGCATGAGAATTGGGGAAGATATAGCCATCACTGTGGGCCATATAGGGAAAAAACCCCATTTTCAAGGGATCCCATCTCGGAAGGGTTTCTGATGTTTTCAGATTGGTAAAAAAAATTAAAAGGGTTTCGGGCATCTATTGGTAACGATCTGCCTTCATTTTAAATGTTTCAATATTTAATTTCAACTGCAATTACCTGCGACATTAATGTTATTTGGAATCCCAGCTAACTATTCAAATGCTAGCCCCACTACCGCTTCACGAAAGCATCCCGACCTAGTCCTGTTGTTTGTTTTCGTTCGCATGAATAAAACAATGGAGCTTATCCAGACCATATAAGCTATGTAAATACATTTTTGCATTGCCCGCGGTGCCCCTGCTATACCACTATCGTCACGTCCATTATCCGCTCGTCTGTTTTCTGTTCTTTTGTTTAGGGTATTGTCAACGCTTTGCCTGCTCATCCTCCGGACCCTCATCCCGCCTCATCCTTCCAACTAGAACTGATTGTGAGCCCAGTAAGGTCAAATGTTAGCAGACCCAGCTCAACCAGTACAGTCATTTATAGATTCTCATAATCGGGTTGTCCTTGTAACCATTTTGCTTAAATAAGAAACCGTAGTAAGGATTCATGGTCTTTTCTTTTGCAAAATGTTGCATCTTTGGTGGCTACAAGAAGATCTTTTCCTATTAGGTCCTGAAAGCTATAAGCTCTAAGAGTCGGTCTTTTTCTCAGGATCTGTCTTATCATCAAAATCTATTATATTATAAATATTTAAAGTTTTAAACAAAAGTTTCGGTACCGACCACGTGAAAGTGGTATTTATATTAACTGCCTTTGGTTAAGTAACTTGAATTTAAATAAAGTCAACATTATTGCCACATGCTGTGGCAACATATAATTTAATTTCACGTCAATTATCTTTTACAGGTGTTGATAATTTCCGTTCTGGGCGTTTATTGATTTACGTTTATCGCATTCGCGCCGCACACACTCTTCACGTATCAGATACGTGTGTGTTTGTAGAAATATCCTACCACGCTTTTCCTTTGTTGAGCCGCGGCACATCCTCATCGCCATTGTGTCCTTTTTGTATTGTATTTCCTATGTGACCGTTGATAAGCGAAATTCATCGCCAGGATATAGGCGGGTAGCCTACATTTAAAAAAAAATTCATTTAAATGAATAAAAAGATTATGAATTTTATATTAGAAATTGATAAATAATCGATAGTGGTAATATAATTTTTGCTATATTATTTTAAGTCCTGATTGGTTAAAGGATTCGTATTATTTTTTTCATTGTAAAAATAACAAGTATGTATACAAAACAAACCACGAGCGCCTTCGCTGGCATTATCGATTCCTGGTTATTGGCGGCGGGCAACGCAACCTTTAAAAGCCTTCCCAAACTGAGTGAAGGACTCGCCGCCTGAGTAACTGACAGATTGACACCAAATGTTTGAATGTTTGTTTGTTTGCTCGCTGGTGTGTGTAATGCGGGTGTGCGTGAGCCGCTTTTCCTGGCCCTTTTTAAAATAAGTGAACAGTATACGCACGAATGGCTTGGAAGGACGAAGGCTTCACAACAAATTTGCAGCATATTTATTAGCGCACCCTGACCTATGATATAAAACCGTCATAAAATAGTTATTTTCTATAGACTATATTACTAAAGCATTTTCTGATTCCGGGATTTAAATCTTAAACTTTTAAGAAGTGTATTCAGTTAAGCATATTTATTGGATTATGACTTTGAATTCCTCGAAAAACAAAACATCTTTCAATTAACGAGGCCACAAAGCTGCCACGTGCCGAATAAGAAACAACAACATGGTTGGGAAAAATAATAGGCAAACACAAGGATGCTGAAACAAGCGTGAAACTCACTTAGAAAAGCCGACAAAATAGTTGCATAACAACCCGCTCCTTATGGGTTCGAGTGTCCTGGCAGTCTCGGCAGTTCGCCTGCAGCTTGCTACCCACGCACTCGAACGAAAGGGAAATTGAAACCGCAGGCTAGGGTTGGGGATAATGGGATGAGGCATCGAGAATGTTGATAGCAAGGAACAGATGTTTAAAATTTACTACGATTGAAGGGCAAAGGAAAGTACTACTGGATTCTTTTACATAAATTCGTGAAGTTTATCATCTGTATAAATAAGATTAGAAATGTAAATCTTTCAAAATGGAGAACAGGAGGGTTTTGATAAAAAATAGGCTATAAAAATAAAACAAATAATATTAAGTATATGCCGTGCTCATGTTATAGCAAGATTATATAGAAGCCAGATATAGTATATACCATCTCCTTGATTAAAAAGTTTTATTAAATTTCCAGATAGCCAGATTTTAGACCGTTAAAATGGCTAAAATGACACCGCTTTATCACGCCCCTCCGAGCCTCCGTTCACGGTCTATCCATCCGTCTGTTTTTGCCTGTCTCTCTGTTGTCTCCAGTTGTCGTTATCGCTGTCGTTGCGCATTCGCCCCGTTGCACCCTCTTGGCCAGCCCCCTCACTCACTGCCTCTCGCTCACACTGGCTTGTGGCGCCTCCCACGCACTTAACATTGAAAACCGAAAACAAGCCCCCAAGTGGCCAAAAAGGCCTGCCATCGGCCGAGGAATGGAGCAGACTTCCACTCTCTAGGCTTGCGCATTTGGGCGGAGAGCTTAAAATTTATTTTACCCACCTATATGTATATATGTGTGTGTGTGAACCGCGATAGTGAAAGTTTGATGGCAAAACCAACAAAGGCAACAATAATTTGTTATATTTTGAAGTTTACAGAGCTCTGTTAGATAACATGCTGCTGCAATGTAGGCAATACTTTTTAGCTAAGCAATTCCATGCTGTACTTTATAAATGCAATTAAAAAAGCTTATTATAAATTTATAGAAAATGTATTTGTATTAAATTTTAAAAGTAAAAAGAATTTATATCTTTATTTA